GAGGTTATTAATTGCCACTTAAAAATGATATTAAGGGCATATCCAACCGAGACATCTTGTTTTTGGGATGTTAAAAATAATATCTCAACCTTTAGCCTTCATTCCACATTAGCTTTGACACATCGGTTGGAGTGATGTGAGATGTTATTTCTAGCCGTTAAATGTCTATGTGGCACTTTTGACATATCGGTTGGAGATGCTCTAAGATGTCAAATTGTCACATCAGCCATCAAATTTTAATTTGATGTTTGGTGTTTGACATTTCCCTTGGAGATGCTCTAAAACTAAAAATTGATGTAGAGTTTAATTCAACTTCAACTTCGTTAATAAGAGAAATAAAATAAATAAATAAAGGGAATCTTAGGCCAACACGGGTTGATTCAATTGATAAGAGCATCTTCAACCGATGTGTCAAAAGTGCCACATAGACATTTAACGGCTATAAATAACATCTCACATCACTCCAACCAATATGTCAAAGCTGACGTGGAATGAAGGTTGGAGGTTGAGATGTTATTTTTGACATCCCAAAAGCAAGATGTCAAATGATTTTTTTTTTCTTTTTTTCTTTTCTTTTTAATTAAAAATAAATCAACACTAAAATGTAATAAAAATAATAATGTAATTTGACATATCGGGTAGAGTGTAAAGCTGTGTAAGATGTCAAATTGCCACATCATCCATTAAATTTAAATTTGATGTTTGGTATTTGACATATCCCTTGGAGATGCACTAAGATCCTTGTACTTTGTGTGTATCTGAGTTTCGTTGCCAACAGTTCCGTGTTGGTGGGTACTCTATAAATCCAAAAAGAAATCTGGAATTTGCCCTAACCCTAAGTTGGGGAGGGTAGCCTCTCCCTCCCCTAAACTTTTGCTCATAAAAATATAAAGGGAACCCTAGAACTTTTTTTTCTTTTTTTTTCTTTTTATAACAATAGGTCATCATTGCGGTGCTATCATTTCCCATTGCATGCACCAATAGATACGCGCTCCATAATTATGTGTGAACATTATGCTTTTATGCCTTTTTTTTTTATGAATTATCTTCGATCGTACGTGTTAAAAAAATGGTACCATTAATTGATAGTATGAACTATAAGTGAGATAGATTTTTCACATACACAACCATTATGTCATGGGGGCTCAAACTTGAGACCTCGATCTACAAGTCAATACATTTTTCCATTGGGCTAGACCTTGACATCATTAGGGTAAATTTAAGTTGCACAATACACTATATAGCTATGGTTCACATATCCAAAAATTAGTGGGGCTGCCGGCAGCCAACATTAATAGAGGAATTAATTTTTGTCAACATTTTGGTTCCAAACAGAAATGAGTATAATGGGGTTTAAATAGAGAGAGAAAAAAATCCCTTCTCTTTCTTTTGGTTTGGTTAGATTTGGGTTAGTTATACCAAGCCCAATATAAGTAGCGTCACAACTTTCCTATGGCCTGGCCCGGCATCGCATGAGGACTCTATGAAGGCGATGGGCCCCAACAAGAGTTTTGCTTTCGGTAGATTTCCGGGCCTGTATTTATCAGCACGTGTGTTGTTACATGACTTATGGGAAATATTAAATTTATTAAACAATTTAACTTACAAAATTTATTTATTTTTATGGAAAGGGAATTTACACTCATACCACATACGCATTGTTGTAATTTTCCACTTGAAAACAAAAGGTTGAGTTAATTTTCTACCTTAATTAAAATTTTCTGAGATTTTAAGGACAAATCCTTTCATGCTTTTTTAATTGGGATGTTGTTAGTAATTAGCTTGGGTCTCTTATGGAAAAAAAAACTAAAAAAATATGTCAGTATGTGACATATGGTTAGTTCTGTTGATTTTACCGTCCAAAAAGTGATGCGTGAGTCACATGTGACTCTTGAAAAATAGTGTGCCACGACATCTTGAACATCAAAAATACTCTTCAAGAAGGAACGTGTGGTGTGATACACACAATTTTGAAGATGAAAAAATAGATTGCGTTATGTTATGAATGACACATTGCAATAAGGTTTTGAATGAAGTGGCAAATGCATTGACAGATCTAGCCATGTTTTGGGTAGGCACGAAAATTGTCTGAAAATAAAAATAGATAGATATGAAGCAATAAGACCAAGGAAAAGAGAAAGGGAAGAAGAAAAGAGAGAGAGAGAGAATCAACAAGCCAAGGGAAAAGAGAAAAAAAAAAGAGGGGGAGAGAGAGAGAGAGAGGAGGAAGGGACAAAAGTGACAGGAAGTCACGTGATTAGATATAGGTGGTATTTGACTCTATAATTATTTGATAATGGGTAAAATTGTTTGGACACCCAACTTTTTGTACACCCTTGCCCAATTTCTTGTATGCTAGAGCCTAGATTTTTTTAGCAATAGATGCTAATTGTTTTTACATGTATTAATTATTATTATTATTTTTTTAATCAAAATGCATTTGATTTTCTTTTTTTCTTCCTTATTTGATGGATGATGAATGCAATATCAATTTTGTTATTTATATTATTTTAATCATCGTGTAAGTTCCGCCTACTCGAATCCGTCATTGGGCAAATGAGTTCAAAGTTGGTTTTTATTTTTGTTTTTTCAATTGTAACAACGCCTATAATCACAGTGGTGTTAGTGTAATTTGGTTGATTATTCCCACGAAGGAAGAAACGAAGTTATTGTGAAGCATCGGTCTAAAAGTGTAAAGCGCGGGGCTGGGTTTGTTCTCTCTACTTTCATTTTCAAACCAAAACAAAATACCTCGGATTCGCGAACTAAAAAAGTACACATAAACAAAGCATTACTCGTTATCAAACCAAACCAAACCAAGGCAAAGCAAACCCCCCCAAACTTCACTGTCTGCCTCTGGAATCGTGCTATGGAAGCCCATTCTTCTCTCACCCTCCCTTCTCTTAAAACCCACAAAAACGCCACTTTTTTCTTCTTTCTCTTCTTCATAGAAACCACATTTCCCCTCTCTTTGTTCTACCAGAGACTAGGGTTTAAACATGTCTTCTGCTTCTCACTCCCAAACCCACCTTGGCCATGGCCTTCACCATTATATTCTACTGCACTCGTCTGAGACTTGCCTTGTTAAAAAAAGGTACCTTCTTTAGCTTTCTCTTTTAATCTCTTTCTGTTTATTGAGCTGAATGTTGCTATAAAAGCCCATTTCCCCTGTTTTTTTTTGGGTTATTTTGTTAGGCCTTACAAGGTGATTGAGAAAATGCATGGTTTGTTGATAGTGGGCTGTTATGTTTTTGTCAATTTATAAATTCAGTGATCAGATTTCATTAGACATACATTGTAGGGTTCTTTGATACAGACAGAAGAATAGTCTTTTAATTTTTTTTTCTTCTTATGTTCAAATTTCACTTCTCATTTTTCTAGCTTCATATGACAATGCTGATTTTCACTTTCCCCTCTACACTGGTATTCAGTTTTGTTCCCTCGAAATTGTGAGTTTTTAGGAATTTAAGAGATAAAGATCATGTGGGATCATGTGGGCTTCTTTTAATTGCATCAACCTCCTTTAGGATACACCCTTTTCCCTTAGGAATTCAATACAATCCTAAAATTAGGTGAGAAACTTTGACCATTGAGGTAATTAGTTTAGAGGAAGAGAGACAGATGTGTCTCCAAAGTCATACTCTCCCATGTGTTATAGTATTCTAGATGGGGATGATATAACGAGGACGAGAAGAGAGAGGGAGAGCAGGGGGAGGGAGATTGTGAGATGTTGCACACATGTGGGGTGTTCCTTTGTGTTCTAAGAAAGAAGTAACATGAAGAGTTAGTATGAAAATTTTACGGATATCTGTTGCAACCACTTTGGTTATCTTTTGCAAATGTATGTACGACGATTATCAAATTAATCTGTGGTTTTGGTTCAGTTCTAAAAGTTTAAGGACAAGGGCTAGTATATGTCAATGTAATTTTTGTCTGTGTTAATTATGGATTTCAAATTCTGAAAATTCTCAAGGTGAGCTTAGAGGCACATTTAGCCTTTCAATATTGAGACCTGTAGACATATATCTAAAAGACTATTCATATGTACCTTGTTGATATGAAAGCCCATGCATTTGTATCTTATTGTTGGAGTGGGCTTAAGGGTACAAGGGCACATGCATCTGTACCTTATTGATGCAATATGCCATGATCAGGGGGAAAATAGTACAAGTAAGAGAGATGATTCAAGCCATAACATAACAGTTGGGAGACATGGGCTTAGTCAAGTTGGCTAAAGCGGATGTGCTCCCCACTCTGCACTTCACCCGTGTTCGAATCCCCCTCCGCATAGTTTAGGTAAGATTAAAGTAAAATATCGCTTGTATACAATTTTCTGACAGATTTATTGATGCCTTCTTTCTTTGTATTTCCTAAGTGGCTGGTTATTTGGGCCTAATAGAATGGGGTCAATGTTTTGAACTAGTTTGGTTCTGTTTTTGTAGTTTGTTTTTGGTTTATTCTTGGGCCAAAGCAATAATCTCCACTGGTGTGCCATTACTTGACCTGTACTCGTGGGATGCCTCAAAACCTATTGCTTGAGTGCAATGCATTCTCACTATGGTTTGCTGACAAATAAACAACCATAAAATTTTTAGGTCGTGTGTTGCTGGTTCTTTGGAGTTTTGTTTCACTTACACTTGTTGTATTTGATCAGTTGTAGGTTCAGAGACAGAGATGGTTGCTCCAAGGAATGTGCTCCCTTCCAACATTGTACATGAAAGATTTTCCTTCTTTTAAGGTACTGTTGGGTTTATGTATTTGAAATACATAAGAGGGTTTGGAAGTGGGGAATGAAGCCAGTTGGTCCGTGTAGCATAGTTAGAATTGTAATAAATAGAATTTAATATTTTTTTGGATAATATACTTTTCTGCTGCAATTTCAAGTTTTATTGTCGTTTTATTTTACATGCGGAAAGCCACATGCCACTTTATACTGTGCAGTGGAAATACTCTGTTTTACGTACTGTGAATTATATTACAAAAGAACCTATGTCTACAACTTAGAACCTAGAACGCCTGCACTCCCTTGGACGACCCTGTGGAAATCGCTTCAGATCAGAGCAATAGTTGTAAATCATGAAGTACTTTTGAACCCACCTCAGTCTTCTACGACTATTTGCATCTAGCCCTTCAGTCTGCCAAGCATTATTTTTATTATTTGCACATGAAGATGAGCCCTTTGACCAAACACAAGCATTGGCTTTGAAGTTTCTGTAGAAGGCTGTGAAAGGAGCTTTGGACCAGTCTGTTTTCACTAGGCCACCTTTTGTAGCCCATTGGTCTGCGTTCCACAGGCTTGAGTATAGCTTCATGGGTTGTCTCTTGGGAAATGGAACCCCATACGATTCTCCATTGTCGAACACTCTTATGGGGATATTGTCCACTAAGAATCTTCATTGAAAATGCCAAAAAGGGTAGCAATTAGCATGTCATTATAAAATCGAGAAACTGCTAGAGATGTGATCAACAATGCGATCAACAATGCGATAGTATGTAAGAATGTGAATCTAATAGAGAAGTGATTGACAAATGTGAAAGTAATTAGCATGTTATTAGAAAAAGGAGGAACTAACTGAGATGTGATCCACAATGTGATTCTCTTTATTTAGTAATGATATGCAACTGTCTTACATTATACGCTGAGGGTTCCAAAGAAAAGAGTAGGTGTGAAAATCTTTTGTTGGGTCGAACCAGAGGTAGAATTGTTGCTCTCTGTCCGCTTTACCTTGAGTGTACACATTTGTGTGCACAACATAAGGGTCTCCACTCAAGTTCCCCAAGAACTCAAAATCAATCTCATCGCGGTTTGGCCCTTCTGAAGACAACTGCAAAGGGTCCCAAAAATGAAAACACAATCACAAGTTCCATAATCACTCATTAATAAGTTGTTTTACTGCTTTATTAAACACTAATTGAAAAGGGTAATCTTTGTTTTGGCTAATAAACAAACTCACATAGTAAGCGGTGACGGTTCCTGCAGAGTTTCCAGCAACAAGCTTGAGCTGCATGTCGATTCTGCCAAAGAGGTATTGTCTCTTGGATTGGAAGCCAGAGCCAGAGGCCTGGTCCAGTGAAAGCGTCAGAAGGCTGCCTCCACTGAGTATTTTTGCACGATGGTCACCCCATGTTAGGTCAAAATCTTGGTAGAAGTTGCCAGCTGAAGAGGCAGCCATAAAAGAACAGAGAAAGAGAGAGATCAAGATCGAGTTTGGAGCCATATTTGATAAGTTTGTGTGTTTTTTTGAGTATCTGAGTGGAGAGAGCAGCTTAGATATATAAAGAAGTGTGTGTGTTAATGTCTTTTTCTGGCTATATATCTGGGCTAATGGGGTCCGAGGAATAATATTTGATAGATGAATCTGATGATGTATATATGTTTCTGTTTGTGTAGATTATATATATAGTATATATATTAGAGAGATGTAGATTAGAGAGATTGTGTAAGGGACGCGTGTGGTTTTAGAACACAAAAGAAGTCACCGAGGCAGTACAGAAGAGAATGAGCTGGCTCTAGCTAATTTAGCAATCTTCTCAAAGTTGCGACCGGCCATGTGTTGGCATTATGCAATGGTATAAAAAGGATATGGCTTTGCTTCAAATTTATGGGTGTGAAGAAAAATTAATATCTTTTTTTTTCTCTTCCCAATTGGTACTGAGTTGGAGTGGAATTCTCATCTGCTATAGCTGTTAACTGTTGATGCATAAATATTAGTTAGTCGTTGATGCAAATGAGTTTTATTGTCGCTAACACGGCTCTTAACTAAAGTATAGGTTGTTGGGTCTTACTTTTCTCCACTAATTAATCCGTTATTAGAGCGATCACCTGAAGCTTTTAAGCAAAGCATGCATTTTGGTGGCAATTTTAATTTATATAATTGCATGATTTGGCTGCGTTTTCTTAGAAAGGAAATTCCAGAGCTAAGCAACCCCAAAATCGAGAATGCACGTGAGTTGCATAACTTGCATTGTTTCACTACAAAGTATCCTTTTAAAGTTAGGGCTCGTTTGGGAACTTTTTTTTTTAGGAAGTTCTGTTTATAAATAAAAGTGTTTTTATTATAAAAATTTTGAGTGCTTCTTGGAAAATCATTTGGCAGTGCTTTTTCAGAAAGTGCTTTTATGACCTAAAATTGCTTTCTGAATTTTTATACTAAACAATGTCAGAAACGCTTTTCGTTGTCAAAAAGTGTTTTTAGCCATTCTAGAAATACTCCCAAACAGGCCTTACGTCATTGGACTTTGAGTCAAATGATAGGCTAGGCCATATATGCGCAGAGCCAAACCCGTGTATAGCCGCGCGGTTATACCATTTTAAATAAAATAATAAATAAAAATACCTAAGTATAGCAGCGCGGCCATACATGCTCACTTATGGGCTTTTAGGTTTCTGCCTAAGCTTCTGTCTTGTAACTTATCTGTTGGGCTGCTGCCTTGTAAGTCCCATATGTCGCCTTTTCCTAATCAATGAAGTTTGGAACGCCCAAGGTAGATGATCCAATCTTGTTTTCTTTTTCTTTTTCTTTTTCTTTTTCTTATTCTTATATATATGTAACTTTCAGTTGTCTTTTGTTTTTCTTGTGGGGTTTGAAATAGCTACAATAATACTGAAACCTGATCCTTCCTCTCCATGCCTATCCAAAAGAACCAATGCTCCGAGTGCTGCTTTATATTCTTTCCTTTTCAGAAAGTGGGGTTCGACTGTCGCGCTTCAAAGTCTTAATCTGGAATTTCTGCCATTGTTTGGTTATTGTAAGGACTTGACCTAAATAAATATCAAGGCCAATTAAAGTTGACGCACGCCCACCACTTATTTCTCATCGTCTAATATCCCATTTTCATGCCTCTAAACATTGAATTGATCATATTTCGAAGGCTAGCTGCCAAGTTTAACTATTACTAAGTTGAAGGGCCTAATCATGCCAGTTGCAAACAAACTTTTTGTCCATGCGATATTAAATTACTCTAACGTAACAAAAAAGGTAAAATACTTTAACGTAACAAGAAGGGTATCGAATCACGTGTAAAGGACAGATACACTGTTTTCGCCAATAAGTAAAATATTAAGAAAAAGTTATAAATACAAAAATTTAGAGATGCATTATCTCATCATGAAGCTTGTCAAATTGGAATATAATTCTTATTCAAATGTATTATCTCATTTAATCTTCCATATTAAATCACAGGTATCCAACAATATCTTTTATTTGGTCTGAATCTGAATCTATTAACCCAACGGTTTATACTATGATCTCACACTCCCACCAAGATTTTCATTTATATATATATGATCTCTGTGATCAAGATTTTTGTTTTGTTTTTGTGTTTTCTAGCCAATGACATTTCAAATCCTCCACATGGTTTGACCAATTCTAGGATACATGCATATAGTAAGAATTCGTATACTAAGTCAAAAATGCTTTGAATGAGGTTAGTTTAGAATTGCATCAGCTTTACTTTAGTCAATTATCAAATAATTAATTACCCTGACAGTACATGCATATGCTATTACCTTCTAGATTTGTCCAGTGAAAAAGGATCTTGACTTGCAAATAAGAGGTTTCTGGTTCGAATTCTCACGGCATCATAATTGTGTGTGCGAAAAATCATCATTCTCTTTAGTTTAGACTATCATTTGTACTATAAAAAAACAAAAACAAAAAGATTTGTCCACCAGCAAATATTCTATGTACCCCTTCAGGCTATCCAAAAGGAACAGGCATATAAAAATGGCTATCGCCCACAATATTCTATGTACCCCTTGAATGTAATGAAATTAATATGAATTCAATGGTTGAATTCAGATAATAACTTATGCTGTAACTTCTTTAGATAGACTTTGATATCATATCATAGTGTAATCTTTCAAGCGTATGTTTTGGAGGCCAAGGCTGTCGCCTTCGCCTTCCCTGGTTATGCCTGAGGCCTCCTCTACTCTAACCTTGTACGCAGAAGACTTAAATCTTTTGTCGTATAATATGTCAAAACCAACATAAATTTTCCATCATGCCGTGCGTACGAATTTTGAACAAGTCCTGCTATAGTTAATCAAGTAGTGGGTTATTAGCTTGCCGTGAAGATATATCAGATCATCATTACCACCATTAATATGGTTTGTATCAACACAAATTAGTCAAAGCACGTGTAGGTTTCACCTAAAAAATAGATTCCATTAAGAGATTTATCACTTCTAATTGTTTACTTTATGTAGTAACTTTGATCATCAGTTCTATATTATTGTTGGTTATGAGACTAATGCCTTGACTAACAACCATTATAATTACTTTCCAGGACCAGGAGTTAATGAAACATGTATGTCACTCAACCATCATCCTTATTAGCATGCATCCATGCATGGTATGTGTATGTCTGTATGTATGTATGCATGCATATCAAGATGACGGGCTGAAAATTTTCCATCATTGATGACGATCGTTCCCATTATTTAAGTGAATTGAATATGTCCGCCCAATTAATTCATGATTCGCTTGTCTTAATCAGAAACGTGCTCTTAAAATACTAAACAATGACTTAATATTCGATTGGTACTCATAGTCAGACGACGTGTAACCAGTTTGCCGTAAACTATTACATGAGAGATCAGAGTCAAATTACAGGTATCAGCTTTTATAGGAAAAAAATGGATCATTAAGCACGTTTTTTTCATTTAGCATCTTAAACAATTCATTCCGTAAGTTCTTATCGAAAGAAACATCCATTAGGATCCATCACGCAACCTCAAAACGTGTTTTTAAATGTAGAAAAATGTGCATATAATTGTTATTGACACATATGATATAGATAGTGTTGATCAGTAGAAGAACAGTCGAGTTCAAACCTGACATGTACACCTAAGGAAAAATGATTCTCATTGATTTTAGATGTACGCAATCTTTTTCGAGGTGTTCTGAGTTGTAATAATAGTGTTAAAGATCTCGAGCTCTCTACTCATTGTCACTTGGTTTTGGATTGGATGCTAACATTCTAATATGGTATCGAAGCTACCTCCGTATGGAAGACACAACGGTCCATCCCTCCCATGTGCAAATTTGTTTTCCTAGATGATATTGCAAAGAGATAAGGGAGGGCTAGCAGTCGACTGATGATAATAAAGTTGGTTTTCATGATTCATGAGTGTTGATAGACTAGAGTAACTGATCACCAGCTAACCACAATGATGAAACATGTATGCCAATTTGGTCAAAAGTCATCTAAATAGTTTATTCAGTGTATGCTACATATTTTCCAAATGATATAAAGATTCATGGAAAGTGTCAAGCTATTATAAAATGGCCGCAACATTATTCTTCTGTAAAAGATTTATAAACTACTGTTCAGCACATATCAGCTGTCACCTAAAAGGATTGTTCCCTGCAATTTTAACGCATTCATCAAATTTTTACGAAGCCCAGAAATCGATTTTGCACCCACGAATTTTATGGGATACTGGAAATGCACTCAAAATTACCTTTCCAACCATTTCTGTACTATTTTTGGGTCTAAATTTGACAAAAACAAAAGCGAACTCTTGTACCTTATATTTTGACATTATATATATATATACGGGGCCGGATCCGTGGCACTATATTTTTGACACAATTTTTGGGCCATTAGATTACTCCACTTTCAATGGATAAAATTAAATATGACATGGATTTTTGACATAAAAAATAAATTAAAATATTTTTCTCTCTCTTCTCTCTATTTTCTCGGGTTGGTAAATTTCTCACCAAAGTTTTTTTTTCTCTCCTCTTTCTCTTCTCCATCACGTTCTCTACTAACTCTTTCTTTTATCAGACAAAAACAAAAAAAAACAAAAAACCTTCTTGTTCTTTCTCTCTTTCTTTCATTCTATTTAACTACAAGAAGAGGTACCTCTCTAGAAATGAAGTTATTCATATCAATAGGTTTCAAATTGTTGTTAATGAATCTGAATCTTTGGGTTTAGGATTTAAGGATTTTAATCTTCGCTTTCAACTTTGAACCAAGCCATTAAAAACCTTAACACATAATATCGCCCTGGTCTTGTAAAAAGAAACTTGTAAATTGAAGTTATACGAATCAATTTTATCACCATTTCTCAAGCCTTACAGATAGTAGCAGTAAGGAAGTTTGTGCAAATTCAAAACATTACTTGGTTATCATTCTTCTTCACCATGAGATCCAAGCTTGTTGAAAGGTAAGCCAACTTGGCATTTTTTTATTAAAGAAAAAAAACGGAAAACAAAGTAAAAATTGGGACTTTTCACCTAATATGTAGGATTTCATTAGAATATCAAGACACAAGGGTTTGAGCAGCTGAAGCAAAAAAATTGAAGAGATAAACGGAAAGAAAGAAACAGTGAAGAGCAAGATGGTTTTTTTTTAGTTTGATGAGAGAGAGATAGTAGAGCAAGATGTTTTTTTTTGGGTTTGACGAGAGAGAGAGAGAGAGAGAGAGAGAGAGAGAGAGATAGTAGAGAACGTGTTGGAAAGAGGAAGAGGAAAGAGAGAGAGAAAAAAAAAGATTTATTGAGAGAAATTTATCTTTCCAAGAAAATAGGGAGAAGAGAGAGAAATTTACTTTTAATTTTTTAATTTTTTTATATCAAAAAGCCATATCAAGTATAATCTCATTCATTGAAAGTAGAGTAATCTAATGGCCCAAAAATTGTGTCAATATAAAAGTGTTAATTAATCACAAAATTAAGTTAAAGTATGTAGGTGAAATTGTAGAGATAAATATTACTGTAATTTTGTGTTCCAAATATATTGTCAATTGATCTCCATATAATTACTATATTATAGTACTGCTTTGTGTAGCAGGACAGGAGTACAACAGCAACATGCATGAAACAAGAGGAGATGTAAATTAACATATGTCTGCCTGAAAATCTGCAGATAGAAATATGAGCCTAAACCTAGTATATTTACTGTTTTGCCATCCATTTTCTGCCTATATAAACATAGTGCACAGGTAGCCATAAATTTACACTTGAGCTATCACTAATCATATAAGACATAAGAAATGGCATCAATATCGCAGCTACCAGCAGGCTTTGAGAGCTCCAATTCACTCTTGAGCGTCCTGGAAATCACCAAACAGCCCCTCACTTCAGTCCCAGAATGTTATGTTCGTACCGTGGAACAAGAACCAGCCTCATCTCTCTTTGATGGTCATAAGGGCACCTTCCCATCCATCCCCTCCATTGACATGACCAAATTAGTTAAGGCAGAAGCCTCAGACTTTGCAGATCAACTGGAAAAACTGCACTCAACTTGCAAAGACTGGGGCATCTTTGAGGTCTGTATTCGAACTATCTCAAATTTCTTAGACCCTGGTATACACTTTAATTCTTATATATTTGGTATATATTTATATGTCTCATTTATATTTGGTATATATATAAGAAATCAATCTTGCATGTTGTAATTGTTTTCCACAGTTGGTGAACCATGGAGTTAGCCCTACGCTGTTGGAGAAGCTGAAGCATGAGATTAAAGAATTCTTTAATCTTCCCTTGGAAGAGAAAATGAAATATAAGATCAGGCCAGGTGAAGTTGAAGGCTATGGATCCGTAGTCAAGACCAAAGACCAAAAGCTTGACTGGGGTGACAGGGTCTACATGATAACCAACCCTATTCATCGAAGAAAGCCTTATCTCTTCCCAGAGCTCCCTTCATCCCTCAGGTACTCTCTCACACACACACTAAAAGATCTCGTGTATAGACAATCGTTCTCTCACATTCAAACGCTTAGATATCCGAAAAAAGTTATATACAACCGTTGTATGCAAGAATTTATATCTCCATGCGTATACATCAAGTACACATGCACTTAAACTTTTGATTCTTTGAGTTGACTTTTTTAAGGGCATGTGCTAGGAATACCTTGGATTCATACTTGCTGGAACTGGATCAGCTGGCCATGAGACTTCTTGGGTTTATGGGGAAGGCTCTGAAGATAGAGATGAGAGAGATAGAGGAGACGTTTGACGATGGGATGCGGTCAGTGAGGATGACATACTATCCTCCATGCCCGCAACCAGAGCAGGTGATGGGGCTCTCACCTCACTCAGATGCAACTGGGATCACCATCCTCAACCAGCTTAATGGAGTTGATGGTCTCCAAATCAAAAAAGATGGGGTTTGGATGCCTGTCAACTTCCAAAAAGATGCCCTTGTTGTGAATGTAGGGGACAGCTTTGAGGTTTGTCGTATTCTTATCTTCCTCATCCTTCTTTCTTCTACCGATCGATCGACCAAAATAATTATTTAAAGAGGAAAATAACTAAAGCAAAGGTGGCATATTGAACGTCTATATATAGTCAAAGTTTGTAGAAACCCCAACTAATAGTTAAAGTGCATTTGGGCACAAGTCCGCCGTCTCCTGGAAATGGGATTCCAACACAAGAGGGATAATTGTTTTTAGTCACTCGAGTTACAAATCTCTTGCATCCTCATATTTTATAAATCATATGTGTTTGACCATAAGACATAAATTACACTATAGTATGAAAAATAATAATAATAAAGACTAATTTATTACTATCTATATGTATTGAAGGTGTGTAAGTGTGTGTAGATTCTGAGCAATGGAGTGTACCACAGCATTGAGCACAGGGCAATGGTGAATTCAGAGAAGGAAAGGTTGTCAGTTGCAATGTTCATAAACCCTAAGTTTGAGGCAGAGATTGGGCCTGCGAGAAGCTTGATAACCCCAGAAAACCCACCACTCTTCAAAAGGGTTGGGATGGAGAAGTACGTCAATGATTTCTTCTCCCGCTATAAGCTTGATGGAAAGTCATACTTGGATCAAATGAAAATCTAAAACCCTTGACTAATATATGGCCGATCGATCCATCCATATGATCTAATCATATACATATAATACATTGTGTAAATATATATCACTGCATGGCGTGGGAATAAAGTTGTGCATATAGTGCACGGCAGCAAGTGCTTAGCGTTCTTTTTGTATATATGACATCAACGCTATAGCTTCAATAAAAACATGTCAATCTCTATGTCACAGACAGATGGTATGTTATGTGTGGAGTATTTGATTATAGTACATTGCCAATGTTTCAAACACTGGCTAGCTCCCTATTTTGTATGTTGTGTATAATCCTTTGTATGAAAGGAAATATGGAATGTGTGGTTGTTCTAAGTGATGAATTATCGTGTATCTTTTTATATACTAGAAACCATTAATGTACATATGCTATGTGTGTTCGAAAGTAATCTACATCGAAAGATGAAAGCTTAGCTTAGGAGCTTAAAAGATCTTGACCATCCTCATCCATTAGCAATTTACCTTACAAGATCTTGCTCACATTCTAATATGGTATTATATCCATGCCCCACATGTTCACAATTGTTTCACGTATATTGTCGAGTTGAAATAAAACATAACCAAACTCGAGAATAGTGTGTATGTGGATGTATAAGAAATTCCCACGGCACCTTGGTAATATGTGTGTGAGAAATCCTCATTCCCTCGAAGAAAATGTACTGTAATAGAGACCTATATAGAACCAATTGGCTTCACAAAAAAGAATAACAAATTACCTATACAAAATTTATAAAAATATAAATAGATATAAAATATGAATAAATAAAAAAATTAACATGAATACATTTATGTAGCCCATTCTCCTGAGAAGTTTGGGCCTTTTTGGACTTTACTTAATTTTGGATTTGAGCTGTGGGCCCAAAGCCCACAACCTGAGCTAACTGATCACGTGATGGTTTAACACGTGTCATCCGTTAGAACTTAAAGCACGTGGCGAAACACGATGCCTGAGCGGTGCTGTGTAAATAAGATAAGAGAGTTACCGAGCCATCGAAAGGCAAGTGTTTTACTGAGAAAACACAAAACGAAACGCCAAGAAAGAAAAGCGAGCAAGAAACTGAGCCAATCCAAGCAAGCCCTAAAAATGGTGGTCGAAGACGCACTCAAGACTTCAGCTTCAGAAGATCAGGCCAAGACCGAGACGAACCCTAAACCAAGGGAAGAGGACGATGAGCCCGAAGAAGGAGAGATCGTGGGCGACGAAGAATCGGCGTCGAAGCCATCGAAAGGAATAGCGCCACAGTCTCATGCTCTGGAGCACTCATGGACCTTCTGGTTCGATAGCCCCGCAGCAAAGTCCGCTAAGACTAAGCAAGAGGATTGGGGGAGTTCCATTCGCCCGATCTATACCTTCAGTACCGTCGAGGAGTTCTGGAGGTCTCATTTCTTTTTAATTTTAGCTTCATTATGTTTGTTTTTGTAATCTTCCTTAATTTCTTGTTTTCTTTATTTAAGTTTGTTTGGTTGGCGAGATTTAATCTTTTCCGTTTTGTGTGTGTTGGTTGTAGTTTGTGACTTGGGGTCTCTTGTGATTATCTTTTTGTTGGATTTGGTTTTTTTTGGGAAATGAGGATTTCTGGAAAAGGAAAGGACTTGACACGTTTCGTGGTTCATGTTGTTTGGTGACTAAGAAATGGGAAACTATTGAATTGACGAGAGTAGAAAACAATTATGGAAAAGGCAATGTTAAAACATTTAAGTTTAAGGTGACACAGCTTTGCGGTTTATAGTGGTTTGCTTTCTCTACTGTGAAAGTCCAAATTTTTCGTTCCTACAGTTTCTCAGTAACTGCAACCTTTTCTCTTCTTTTATTATCCTTTTTGTGAACTTGTAACTTGGTTCTGTTTGAGATAAATATTTTGTTGGTGTTTGTTTGGATTTGGGTTGTTTGTCTCTCTAGCTCTTTGATTGATTTAGAATAAGATTTGCCGATCTTGCATTTTAAGCATATGTCCGTCTTACATCAACGCATGCTGACAGGATTAGCTATTCATAGTATTAGCCTTGAAAGTCTTGTATTCAACCTGGTGTTGTACCTATTTCCTTGGTTTCCAGTCTTGCTAGTCTTTTAGTTTTAAATGGGATTTTAGAAGTTTCCTGTTTATTCATGATTTGGATTTATCGTAATTCATAATAATGAGATCATCTTTCATTGAATTTACTTCCTAGAAGGTGCTTCCATAGGTCTTTGGGATGCTTTGATTTGTATCAGTATGGATGCGTTCGATCCATGCATTGTTAATTATGCAATCATGGTTATATTACTGTGTGACAAAAATACTTGGTCATCATTAGATGTGTGCCCCTGTTGAGGGATTTGAGCTGCTGAGCTGAACGTGTAAACACTTTCTTTGGGCCCTTCTATAAGGACAAAACTTATTCCAAAGTTGTTATTTGAATAAACTGTATCCAGTGCTCGTGCTTGTTGTTTACTGCTGTTAATTTTTTCCTGGAAATGATTCTCACATGTGCTCATAAAATCTGTTTTGCATTCAGCATTTACAATAATATACGTCATCCAAGCAAGTTGGCTATTGGCACGGACTTCCATTGTTTCAAATATAAAATTGAGCCAAAGTGGGAGGATCCTGTGTGTGCTAATGGAGGGAAGTGGACTGTAACTTTTCCTAAAGGGAAATCTGATACTTCTTGGCTGTATACGGTATGGTCTAAACTGCAATTGATATTCGAGGTTGATTGATATTTTTGTGTGGCCTAATTGTCTGTATCTGCTGGTACTAGTTGCTAGGAATGATAGGAGAACAGTTTGATCATGGAGATGAAATTTGTGGAGCAGTTGTCAACGTCAGAAATAGGCAAGAAAAGATATCTATTTGGACGAAGAATGCAATAAATGAAGCTGCTCAGGTAATTGCTGCTAGACTCCCTGTATATCATATATTGTATGAAGACATAGCACATACTTGAAACCTTCAAAAGGTTTTGTATTCCTTAGATAGTACTTTACAGCATCACAGTTTTTATCTATGTTGCTTTAGCGTGAGGACAGACTTGCTATTTATTTCTAGCTGTGCATTTTGTTTATGTTGCTTTAGTGATCCTGGTTGCAAGGAAAAAAGAAGAAGAAGAATTGATTAAGTTGATGAATTTGTGTTTCTCCCTTTCCACAAATCTGTCGCCACCCATAGTGGTTCAGCGGACACTTGGCCGCTAAGACCAGTGGTTTTGTAATCTATTTTGTACATTACTTAATCATTTAGGCGAACTTATTACCTACTCCAAAAACCAAAGAATGGGGACAAGGCACTTGCTTTGAAAACATGGCACAGTGACATTTCATCAACCTTTTTTTATTTTATTTACAGTAATGAGTTTCATTATAATAACAAAATTTCAAAGATGTCTCATATCCACTTTCTTGCTGCAGCTGAGCATTGGGAAACAGTGGAAGGGGTTTCTGGATTACAATGAAACTATAGGGTTCATATTTCATGTAAGGATTTTGTTTCTTATGTACATTATTTGTTGTTTTACTCAATTCTTGTTAAGTTAAGGGCCTCATTAATAATGCCCTGCTCTGGTTTGTTTTGGCAGGAGGATGCAATGAGACATGAGAGAAGTGCCAAAAATAAATACGTAGTCTGATGTGTATATTGTTCTTTGCTAGTGCTTAATGCTTTCTAACTGCAACAGCATTCTATGCTGAGATGCAGAGTAACTTCTGGTTCACAATTACAGATTTTAGACTTTTTGTCAAATTTACATTTTAAGATGTACAATGGATATGAGCGGTTTACATTTCTACAAAATGTTTTGCTTGCATCTTGAAGTAGTCTGATTAAGTTATTGTTCCTACTCATTTGAGTAAATTATTTTCTTTTGACAAATGTGTGTGGTATTATTAAATCCAGTTCGCACTGGATTCTACCACTGTGGTCTTTGCCACTTCAAACCCTTTTTGGGGGGACGACAAACGTATCGAGAGATATATATATATATATATATATATATATTTCCACTGAAACCTAGTATGTGCTCTGAATTTTCTATAAACAGGAAAATGCATCTCAGGTTGTTTTAATATGAAGTGCGAAATTAAATTGTTATTTTTATACGAATAGGTTAGAAGATTGGCTTGAAAAGTTGTGAATCCCATCAAGTTTTAATCTTTATAATCCACCAATTAAATTGCGATTCATCTTCCCAAAGCCTTCAAAAAAACTAATTGCTTTTCATAATATACTCCTTCGTTTACTAACAAGTAAATTACATCTACAGCACCATTTTCAGAAAGCATACAACATTGGGATTTCAGTTAGGTCTAAAATTACATCCTCTTCTTACCAAAATGAACCTTAGCTGGTGGCCCAGAGAAGAAGATCAATTTGATTGTTTTTGGGACGCTGAAAAAAAAAGCCTTCAGAGATAAAATGTCCACAATGGTCTAGAACCCTTATTGATACCATGGCTGACCTATAAAACACATGCAAGCTCATAAAATAGCCAAATTGTTCAAACAGAGAAAAATCCACAAGACAAAAACCAAACTTTTGAATGAGAATTAAATGTGAAAATCTCTCTCTCTCTCTCTCTCTCTCTCTCTCTCTCTCTCAGAGCATGAGCGTGGCCGTTGCTTTTAAAGTCAAAAGTTCACAAAGATTACTTACCAAAACCGACTCTCCAAACAGCCCTTAATTTCAATATTTCTTTCAAAAAACAAACTTTCCTAATTTCTTTCAAATATTTTTTTTTCTATTTCCCGCTCACCAAAGGAAACTTTCCTATACTCATCAACAGGTAAAAAAGTACACATTTGATTAGAGCAGCGCACAGACAGAGGAAAGAGTAAGTAGAGTAAGAGAAAACTGATCAGACACTTTCTTCTTCGTTCTTTAAGAGAGAACTATAATATTGTTGTCTATTATATATACTCGTATATCCCCACTACCGGAAAAAGAAAAAAGTAAAAAATTATTTACAATGGTCTCTTTTCCCTCTCGATAGACTGATACAAAACATCTTGAGCTGGAAAAACAGAACACATACAATTAGTAAGGGACCAACACGTAGTGTATCAAACAATCTCCCCTTCCTCCCCATCCTCGTTCAGAATTGACTCATCATCATCCTCATCTCCTGAATATTCAGCCTTTATAAACAAACCTAACCGTTCCAAAGGCGATCGGAGGTGCGCTCCCCCAAACGCCCCAGACCGACCCTTACAGTTGAGAAGGGGAGTGGATGGAGAGAATCCAGTTAATCTTTCAAGTTCCTCTAGGATCTTCAAGTTTGGATCAATCTCGACCGTTCTTTGCATCTGGATAAGGACACTCAACAAATTAAGACCACAAAGGCACCAAAAGTGATAACATTCATGCAAGAAGTTGTAAATATGAAAAACAAAGGTAAACCTTCTCAAGTGCAATTCGAGCTTCTTCTCTTTTTCTCTTCCGTTGCTGCTTCAACTCAATCTCAGCCCTCATTCGTGTGGCGGCTTCAGCAGCTCTTATTTCAGCTTCAATCCTTGCCTTCTCTGTAGTATGGTAAAGTTTAAGATCATCAATTAATATAAGGTAGGTGCAGCAGGAGATTTTATTGATGAGTCGTGCAGTGTAATGCTTTAACAATATAATCATGATAATCATGATATTGCAACAAACTTCAACATCAAGATCCATGAATTTTGTTATCAAACACTAGGACTGGAGAGCTAGATTCAACATGGCCAAAACACTAGGACTGGGAGACCAAGATTCAATATGGCCAAAACAAAAAAGAAAGAAAATAGATAAAAGATTCAATTTGGCCTTAAAAAAGGGTGAACAGTTAGAATTGTTATCCACCCAAATGACCAAAAAAACGTTTTGGTACAAATCAAGAAAACTGAAAAAGAACACAAAGCATGTGTTTGCCACGCAGACAAGCCCTTAACTTAAAAATCGTGCACTTTCACATTGCACACATGAGGCTAACCTGATATAGTATAATTATTGGTTGCATTCTTATAAAATTAAGAATCTTCAAGCCCAAAATGATGGCAAAGAATAAAGGAAGAAACAAAGCCAGCTTTACCTTCATGCTGCCTCCTCTCCAATCTTTCTTTTTCCTGTCGCATCTTCATTGGATCACATCTACCACCCTGGATGTAAGAACGAAAAACAAGTAAATTATTAAAATTGCATGGAAACCTTCTCACTCAGTATCCAACTTGCCTTGCATGATCTTGTCAAAAAATGAAGCTTACTTGATCCAGGAGTTTTTCTTGTTGAGCTTTCCAAATAGTGTCTGCAAAGCGTCTCTTTAGCATTGCAGCACGGAGAGCTCTTTTTGGTGATAGTGGAACATCAAAAAGAGAAGTTTTCCATTCTGAAACAATTCAGTAAGAACACCAATTTAATAAATCCACATGTCAAAATGGACGATGCTACAACTTAATTTTGGCATTGCTGGTGCATAAACCTACCTTCTCCAGAAGCAGCATCCGTTACTGGAGTTGTAAGCTGAGGGCTGGGACAAACGTTTTCATCATCCAAAGCACTTACAGCCCCTTCATATTATTTCCAACACCAATCCAGTACTCAGATCACTAAAATAACTGGTTAAATATCATAATATAACAAATTGTTGTGTCATCTCACCATCAGATTCTGGATCTGACTTGCTCATATGGGATGTCGACAAGCTTTTTGCTTGACAATCCTAGAATTGAATAAGAAGTTTCAATTACTGCTAAAAGAACATAAAACTCTAACTTAAACTCTCAAGGACATTAAAAGAAATATTGTCATGCATACCAGTTTGAATGCATTGGGACTAGACAAACAATGATCTCTGCCCATTGAGTCACAAGGAAGCCCACATCGACATGCAAGGTTGCCACATGAACCACATTTTCTGCCAACCGGGCTTGATGGCTGCTTTGCATTCATAGAGCCTGAAGCTTGTCTACTGCCAGTATCAGTGCCTGTATGACACACTGAATTAGCACGCATAGATATCCATAAAGCAGAAACTTAAGCCTGAAGCTTGTTTTTCTTTCATACCTCTATTAGAGTTCTTTACTAACAATATGGGAATGCAATGCTGCACTGTTTTGGAAAGCTCTGCCTGTAAACAAAATATACATTACTCTGACAGAAAAGGAAATGCAAACTACTTCAACGGCATAACTACTAATCTAGAATAGGAAATGAAAATTTTACGTTTTTGCACCAATCCAGTAAACATCTTTGTAAGCAAAGGAAAATCACAATTTCTTACTTACCTCACCATCACTCGCACCAACATGAACTCTGACCTTCTCTTCGGAAGGCATGGACCTCTTGGTCACCGACATATTATGAAAGGGAGGAGTTCTACTGGGATTCTGCCTTGTATCAACATGAACTCTGACCTTCTCTTCGGAAGGCATGGACCTCTTGGTCACCGACATATTATGAAAGGGAGGAGTTCTATCGGGATTCTGCCTTGTATAAGTTACTTTCTTAATTTGACCACTCGATGATTTCCCCGGTTCAACCTTTGAGCTTCCATGATTCAATTTCCCCCCTAAAAGACCCCATCTCATCTCAAAAATCTTATTCAGGTTTTTAGCCATCTGATGAAAAATATTGGCAGGAGGATTGTAGACCATGGCATTAGAAAAAGTCAGTCTGACATCAGCTGCAAACTCTTCAGTGTTGCGATACATATTTTTCTCCAGCTTTGATTTTATCGTGCCCAAATCCATGGGATGAGAGATAATATGAAAGTAATCAGGAATGTTTAGAGACAAGGGATCAACTGGTTTACTGAAAGCCCAACCATCCTTATGAGTTATCAGTGTTTTCAGAATCGTTGAACACTGCAACGTCACACTACGATCCATCTTCAGCTTCTTCTCTTTCTGAGATTCGAGAGCTTCTGGCGCTGCACGCTTCTTAGAACCTGGGAAAGAAGGTTTTGCGATTGAGCTGACCTCATTAAGTGAGGCTTGATGCCCAAAGTCACACGAGCGTTTCTGAGGATCAGCTTCTATTTTTTTCCCAAGATCAGCTTCAATTCTTTTGCAGGCAAATTTAATCTTCAGCTTGCTGCTTGATAGCATGGTTTTAGTGGCAATCATACTAACAAACTGTGTCGATTCAAGATGGACAAAGCCCGAATTTCAAGTTCTTAGGAAAAATTTATGGCTTCCCTAATACCCAATAACTCTGAGAAAACCAGTGTCCTCTCACAACGCAGGTATAAAAACACACCACCCTCTGCAGAAAAAAAGTTCGCAAAAATTAAGCAACAAATAGTGCTATCAATGCACAAGAAGTGTACTGCGTAATACTTTTACAGTAAAAAATAAAAAATAAATTTAACAAAACACCTAGTATGTAGATATGTAGATAGCCCACTCTCCAGTTTTTTTTCCCCAATAACATACTAAATAAATTGAGGGGCCTGTGGTGATTCCGACTGTGTGACATCATAAAAATTCAATTCAACTACTCCGACTATAATAATTTCCCTATAGGATTGTATCTGCATAAGTACATAAAAAGGATTTCCAGAAGTTAAATAACAAATTAACCAAGCAACATATCGGCATAACAATGGCTAATTTTTAAACTACCCCCAAGTACCAAAATTCATGCTCTTGACACACTTTAATTAGGTCCCAAACACAACGAAATTAGAAAAAAACCCAAAAACATAAAATCACGAGATCCACACACAGATTCATGAAAACGCCAGAGAAAGAAAAACCCAAGACTACAAAGTAACAAGTCAGGAAACCCAGATGAAGACGACGACTAAAAACTTGAAAAAACAAAGTGAGAAAATCGTGAGATAAGTGTAGAAGACGAACTCACCGAAATTGATCGAAGGGAGAGAGCTAGCTGACCACCGACTGATTGTGCGTATAGAGCGACGCAGTGAGAGCGAGAGGGCTTAAAAGCCCCCTCGTGGTCGTGGGTATGCGATATGAGGAAGAGACTAGGGTTTAGAGAGAGAGGGAGCGTGGGAGTGAGAAGAAAGGAAGAGAGCACAGTGAGGTGGTAGGGGCTTAGGGTTTTTCTCTTTTTACTCGACCCCAAAACAGCTAAGCTTTTTTCTATTTTTTTAAATATATATTTTACGCGTAGATTTGGATTGGATGGAATTGGATCTTTCTAAGCGATATTTATAAGATTTCTTTCTTTCATTTTTTATGCACTGTGTAAAATTACATTTTTACCCTTTGTTTCCTTTTTGGTCGAAGTTTCCTTTCCTCTCTAGGATTTGGTTTTGTGAAATTCCAAGAGTGCCTAATTTATCATATTTTATTTCCATGTGTTATGTACATAAATTTATAAACAATCAGTTCTAAGTGAAATGATGGATTTTATTGCATATTGGGAGAATAATATATTAATTAAGTTTCTATTAAAAAAAAAAATTTTAACTTTGTAGAATCTGTTTAAATAGTCTCTTGGAAATACGCTCTAAAATACATGAACAAAATTCGAGTGGTTTGAGAGATATTTTTTTTATCGGTTCGAAAAAAAACATTACGAAAACATAGACACGTAGAGGGTGGATGAATAAACGGTGAATTAGTGTCCATTTAATTTGTTAGATGAATAATTATTTAAAGGCTAAAGATTATACAATTTAATCCTATGATCAGCCAAAATTTGTAAAATAAAATAATTAAAAAAAGCATCACAGAAGGTCGATCGGGTAAATGAGCACTCTCAAGGGTTAAAGAGTTTAGCAATCGGCGTACATTCACCCTTTACAACAAGTATTGGGTCATAATCTAAAAACCAAAATCAAACATTGCGATTTGGTTCAGTTTTGAGACCGTTCAACTTTTGATGGTAAAACCAAACCAAACCGCAATGGACCCTTTAGGTTTGGCTGATTCAATGCCAACCCCAACTGACCCCTTTGCAACAAGTATTGGGTCATAATCTAAAAAACAAAATCCACCATTACAATTTGGTTCAATTTTGAGACCGTTCACAACTTTTGATGGTAAACCGAACCAAACCGCAATGGACCATTTAGGTTCGGCTGATTGAATGCCAACCCCATAATCACAATCAGACAACCCCAACTGATATTAGCAAATTAAACTGAAACAAAACATCTAGTGCTAAAGATGCAAATTGAAACATATAAATTAGTGACAACGGTGAACGCTGTATTGGAACTCTAATCTCAATTCTCAACTGATAACAGAAAAAGTGCCACAAACACTTTGATGTTTAAAGTAAACTAACAAAAACTTGAATAAATCTTCCATACTTGCTTAAAAGCTCCAACAAAATAGAAGTGCAGCACAAAAGTACAAGCAAAATAATGCATTTAAAACAGAGATGTTCCCTTCCCCTTCTTGTCTCCACCAATTTCAAAGTGCTTGCACCTCTGCAGAAAAACAAGAGATTGGGTTACTTAATCGTTATCAAAAATCTTGGGTAGAAACCAAAAGCAACAATTAACACCATAACACTAACCTTGATTGGGTGCTGAGACACATGTTTGCAGCCCTGGCATTGGAGCCTCAGGACAATCTTCTTCGTGGTCTTTGCCTGTTTAGAGACATCGAGGTTAAACATGCACCAAATTTAAAAACTAATAACAAGACACAAGACAAAATAAATCTGACCGAAGCGAATAAGTGATAAAATAAGCTGTTGGAACCGAGAATTTGGCTTATACCTTCTTGTGGAAGACTGGTTTGGTCTGACCACCATAACCAGACTGCTTGCGATCGTAACGACGCTTCCCCTGAGCAGCAATACTAGCCTTGCCTGTCTTGTATTGTGTAACCTTGTGCAAGGTGTGCTTCTTGCACTCCTTGCTCTTACAGTAAGTCTTCTTTGTCTTTGGAACGTTCACCTGCAACATTACACCATGAGTTATGATCCATGTTCACATACTTCAAACAGAAAATCCAAATAAAATATGGACTAAGCAATTTGGAGAAAACCCAGTTATAGCAAGCAGCATAAGAAACTAATTACAAACAGAATGAGATTATGCCATCTGATAAGAACCCTATTCACAGTGAGCAGCGTAAGAACCAAATCAATAACAAATCTCTGTGAATAACAAAATAATTGTTTTGTGTGATAAGAACTTAGCAAGTTTAACAGTTGCACATCCCAATAAGATCAGTTCATTTTCAGATGTCAAGTTGCACTATATAACCCTAAGCTATCGTCAATACCAACTTCAACCCATAAAAACAAAGCAAAACAAAACAACATTGACGTTTAAGCTAAAGGAATCAAAAACACAAAATGAAAAGAAAAACCACAAACCATAGAATCAAAATTGATGTTTGATTTTCTCACATACACCACTTAAAACAAACAGATCCTAATCAAACATTAAGGGCACCCGATTACACCTATGTCTGTGAGAGAGAAGAGGGAAGAGGGAAGAGGGGAGAGGGAAGAGAGAGATACCATGGTGAAGGAAGCGGCGCCGATACAAAACTGAGCAAGAACACAACAATCGTAGTAAGAACCCTAGAGGGTATCAGAGTGGTAAGCGTCCGGTTTTATACTTGATGGGATGGGCTTTTTATTAGTCACAGATTTTCTTATTTTCAAGGTAGATTGGGTTTGGGCCTGCTGGCCTAATTTCAAAGTTGGGCTTTTGTATGGCTCTCAATCCGTATCACCTCTAAACAGACTCATATTCCCAATAAAAATAATTTTAAAAACTTAAAAAAATAATTACAAAAAATTGTTATATACAAGAATATCGGGTGCAAGAGTAAACACTATTATTATCCACTTGAGCTTCAATCTATTTTCTATGTTCACTTTTTTTTTTTGTGAAGAAACATTGCCAACGCCCAACAAAGAAACTAAACAATGGTTCAAGGTCTACATACTCCAAGTAAATCTTCACTAAGAAAAGACCTAATACTATCAGGAAGAGCATAGAAGGTTAACATAACATACCCAACTCAAGATATGAACCCACCCAATTCAGCTCTATGTTCACTTTTTAATTGTCCATAGATAAACAACTTTTAATGTCTTTTTAATTTCCTAAATAACATGGTGTGATTGTTACCACAATAGCTACAAGGTTAGTGTTTGTTGATTACAGAAGTATAAAGAAAACAAAGGTTTAACAAATCTGCTTGTATCCCTGTTCGTGTCTCCCAAAATTCAAGTCAACGTGATTGCCACACAAAAGAAGAAAATAATAGTCAAATAGGAATTTTACCCTATAAAAACTCAAGGCCTGTGAGAAATATGTTAGGATTTCAGAGGGACGGACCCTTAACCCACCATTAGCAACATCGATAGTATCCTCAACTTAACCACATGTTTAGCAGGTATGAAGTTTTATACAAAAGGTCTCGATGTTATTAGGAGTGGAACATTTATTATACGGAACTTTCTATTTTGTTAAGTTTCCAATGTGGTGGGACTTGTGTATTCTTCAACACTCCTCCTCACGTGGGATCATTTTTTAGTAGATCACATGTGCAATCAATTCCACATAAGTATATACAAGAATATTTAAAGAATTCGTTGGGACGTTGAATAACTAGCTTTTTGTGCTTCATACAGGAAGGAAGCAAAGATAATGACATGCTTCATTCAAGCAATCTACTTGCTTGAACTTGAGAGGCAAGAAAACAGAGATGGAGAAAATGCTCTTGCTCCAAAATGGTGGCAGGCCTTTGAATATAAGCTAGTCATCCAAACCTTACAAGATGAAAGTGGATCCACATTTGGTGCAATTCTAGAATGGGAACCATCTGCAGCACTGTATAACAAGTACCAACCAAGCAAACCGTAAACCCCTTTAAACAGCACAAGGTTCTGCATCAACTTATCAGTTTCCTTTTGGTAAAACTTTAACAAAATCTGATACTGCTCTTTCGCTATAACGCTTTATGCCCAACAACGATTGTTGGAAATGGCCCTTTTCCAATTAACTGTTTCATATGCCATGATATGGACAAAATGAATGCCCCTTTCCGGCCACTGCGTAAATACCGATTGCCATATCCTCTAGTCTATACAGCTGAAAGAAATACTTGGCACTGGACTTTTACTGTATTGAGTATTAGGCCGGTAAGTTTCACACATATGAAACTATCAATGATTCTCTTGAGTCTTCTCCAGATATCTTGCGATAGTAGGAGTAGAGAGCCAACTGGACAAGGCCTAAAATTGTTCCAATACCATTTGGGATCTGCATCCAAAATATCATTTGAGGACAGATAAACACAAGTCAATAAGTAATAAAAGCGTGATGTGGTTTTCTGCTTAGAGTGATATAATAGCTGATGGAATTTGGATTGGCATGTTAAGATCTTGCTGCAGAAAACAGAAGACTTACATAAAGGAAGGGGTCTTCCTTGAATATTCCATAGGCAGAGAAAGAGAGACTCATCAAGAAAGTTGCAAAAGAGAGATTAAATGGCATGAATTCGACACTCCTTGTTTTGATAACCAGTTTCTGCAAAAGGGTATATGAGAAACAACATCAGTGACAAGAAATTGCACGGTCTAAAAGCTATCTGAGTGAGAATTATTCCACACGAACTTACTATGATAAACAGCGGCGAAGCAAACATTGAAATAAGTGAAGCGACACTCAAATATCCAACGAACGTTTGCCTGTCATCATACTCTAAAATTCCTAAGCTCATGAAGACAACGAACGCAAATATAACAGCAACTGCCCCTAACAATCCCAACATCCTCAGCTGCAATGAACATTATAAGGAACAGCAGACAGTCATGCAGAGTTGTAAAAGGGATTTCAATAGAAGTGCAGGTCTACTGGGGAGAGATGATAACCTTAGTTGCTCTTTCAGCGTACGTAATGAAAATGCTCAAGTAGACTAACTGGAAAACAGCCCCAAATGAATTGACTGTGGCCACCAATATAATACCAGTCTTCACTACAGGCATGCCATACCAAAGACATATCAAGCAATTCAAAAGGGCATATATGTAAGGCAATCCAGAGAATTGTTCTGTTGACTTGTTTCTAATGATTCTCTTGAATGTTGGCCTGGAAAACATAAAAAGATTCATATATAATCAGTGGGGAAGTGCATAATTTCATAAATTTCCATTTTTTTCTCATATAAACTTTTTGAGCAACTTACAATGGTGACACAAACAGCACGAAGGCAAAGATATTCCCTGCAGTTGACAGAGATGGGTGTCAGAATGTTTCTTGGAACTCATAAAAATATATTTGATGAAGATTTCTTTTTCCTTAACTAAATTTAGAAAATGCTAAGCAAAACCATACATTTGCTATCCAAGCTGATTCCTATACATGCATCTTAAACAACATATGAATTTTCATCTTAAATTAACAATTCAAAAGCCTTCAATCAAGGTAAAGTTTTTGACCCACAACAGTATTACATAAGGTCATTCAATATAATTCATGGTTTTGCTTCCTGAAACAAAAAACACACAGAAAACTATACCTGAATCATATATTGAAAGAAGTTATAAGCAAATATATACAACGAAAGAAGCATATTGGAGCAGATATGGAGTCAAAATGAAGAAGGGTACCAGCAATGCCGGCTGCAGTACTGAAACCTGAATAAACAGAAGACAACCCAGTTGACAACATCGATCTATGAATGATCAAAACCAGATATTAGAAAATCTATGTACAACTTCACTGGCTGCTACGCAACACCAAACAGAAGCTCTCTCTCTCTCTCTCTCTCTCAATCTTGTAGCTTTGTACATTAATGGTCCGAAAGGGGAGGCGTTTTATTTATTATGTACTTGTTACCAGAAAACTGGCACCAGACATTATTTACCACCAACTATTTGGGATTATGTTAATCTAATGATCATCCAATTATGTTAAACTTGTAAATTTCTAATAAAGCCAAGAGGGATTTCCAAATAGGGTAAAGATTAGAAATTGGGATTACGTTAATCTAATAATCCGAACATGAATTTCCAACCATTGATTTTTCACTGCCATTCTTCTGATACAACTTCCATAACTTGAAAACTGATAGGCAGAAGGAGATAATAGCTAGCTAGGAGACGTCATACCGCATACGGCTTTTTGTGGCTCTTAGATAAACATAAACTTCAAGTGGGCTCATCCCTCACTATCAATCATCGATTGGTTTAGATTTTTACAGATTTTGGGACCGTTGAAATCATGAATGTTTTTTTCTTGTCTCTTATGCATATACGTGGTTATAATCACGTGTTGTATATAATAAATATTTTAAATTAAATATCCAATGAATATTATGCATAAGGTTTTGGTGGGCTAAAATTGAGTGGTCAAACAGACGAGTACCTGAAACTTATGTATAAGGAAACAAAATGGACCTCTCAACATGAAGTTTATTATAGCTGTCACGACAGGGCCAACTGGACTCATTGTTGTAATTGATCACGGCTTCTTCTTCTTTATTTTTTTTATTTTTTTTATAACAATAATTTTCATATAATTTCAATTAGTTTGCTCATCCTTCTTTGCCTGTTGTTGTTTTCGTTAGAAGGTATCAACAGAAAGATATCATATGACATGCAGAATTAGTCAAAGACACGACATGAACACTAAGTAAGAAATACAACATTTCAGGTTTCGTTCGGTGAGGATTGGCTTGTTTAACTTGTTGCCATGTGATTGTTCCATTCACTGAATACTTGACAAATAGCGATCAAATAAATGAATTGCTATAGTTTTTTATGAACACTAAAAGCAGAAAAATGGTGCAATTGTGATCAATGAATGTTCACCATATAGATATATTATTTTTTAGTATCAGTGATAATCTAAAGTATAGAGAAATGGAGTTTCACGCATACATACAATACAACAAAGATGCCATGAGGGTTTGAACCTCAAACCCCTAGACTCCATTGGCCACCATAGAGATATTATAACCGGGATTCTTCATTAATTTGTACTATTTTTGGCTCAAGTGATGTTTAAATTGTAAGATGGACACAAGAACTTCTCTTATTTGGGCCATTGTTATTTCTTGGCCTTTTGGGCTACAATTCCTGCCGACCACATTGGGTTTACTGAATGTGAATTTTTGTAGCAACTTTTGGGTTAGTGTATGTATCGATCATAATTTTTTATTTATTTTTAAAAAATATTGGAGGGAAAGAAACCTATAGGGTTCGATCAATTGCATTTCTCTTTGGTAAATGACGTTTATTGAATTTCCCTTTTATTAATAATTTCTTTAGTTTTTTAAAAATAAAATTTTGAACACTATACTCTTAAAAAAACTTCTTTTTGCCTCATAGAAAAAACACAAAACTCCTCCCCGCCAAACAAAGCGTAATTACCGGGAACCAAACATGCACCAATATATTTCCCGCCATTTTCCTTTTCCTTTTGGGGTCTCTCTCTCACTCCCTTCATAACCCTTTAGTTTTCCCAATAAACCCCCTCAGATGAAGCCCATTTTAACAGAGCTCATCGTCTCATACCGATTCTAGCTCTTTGAGGAGGAGGAAGATGGGGATACAAGGGCTATTGCCGCTATTGAAATCGATAATGGTGCCCATCCACATCAAGGACTTGAAGGGCTCTTGCGTGGCGGTTGATACCTATTCTTGGCTTCACAAAGGTGCCTTGTCCTGCAGCAAAGAGCTATGCAAAGGAGTACCCACCTCCAGGTCTCTTTTTTTTTAACGGAATTAGTCGAATTGGGATGATGGGTTTTTTGTTGTTGATCATCTGTGACATAGAGTAGCTGAAAATTTCGATAATTTTATGGAAATGGGATGATGGGTCCTTATTGCTTTGACCATTTTGATGCAAATTTGATGTTGAGTTGTCTTGGTTCAATCATCCTGATGCATTTTCCATGAATCATGATGGGTCTTCTTGTTGAGTTGTTACTGGTTCTTAAAAAATGATTTTTATTTATATTTCACCAATTTGAAGAATTAAACTTAAAAGAACCAGAATTTGCCAGTGACCTTATAAGAATGGACAAAATGGGTTTGTAAAGATGAACCATTTTTTCTTTTTAGAAACCCACTGTCACACTTTTCAGTCATTTTTTTTGTTGTAAACTGAAAATGTACTTAGATGTGGGGAGAACCCGCATTTTCCAGTTAGATTCTAAGGAAAGGTCAGTTTGACAAAAGAAAAGCACTAACTTTGTTAAACCACTACGTATTGAACAGTATATTCCACCAAGAATTAAAGATATTTCCCTCATATGATGTTCACTGACAAGAAGCTACTTGCATTTCTTTATGTTCTGTGTTTTTATGATTCCAAAGTTAAATTACAAAATTAGGATTCAAAGATGCAATAATTTATTATGACAAAGCGTCTTTAAGTTTAGTGCAATTGATTATGTAGTCGTGAGTAGATTGTAGTACTATTTGTTATATGTGATTCCTGTGCATTTCATTCCCATTTTAGGCACATTGACTATTGCATGCATAGAGTAAATCTGCTGCGGCATTATGGTGTTAAACCCATTCTTGTATTTGATGGTGGTCTTCTACCAATGAAGCTTGAACAAGAGAACAAGCGTGGAAGGTACGCTGGTATCTCTTTTTATTTTAATTCCACTTGTAATCCATATCTTTTTTGGTCTCTTTACTTAAGTGATCAATATGAAGTCAAATTATTCAACAAATTAATGAAGCCAAGGGATTAATATGAAGTAATCCATATAGCCAAGGGATCAATATGAAGTAATCCATATCTTATTTGGTATTTACTTAAGTGATCATAGTCACTTCAGCTACTTTGGAGTAGGTTGTATGAATCCTTTATGCCATTTATTTTTTCACTAGTTTCAGATATTTACTATTAGCTTTATGTCTTGATCAATTATTTAGGATGTTGTCTAAATCCTCGAGAAACTTTTAAATTCTCGTGTTTGTGCATGCTTAGAGATAAACAATTAGCGCATAGGTTTACGTATATGTATCCAAGGGATTATATGGGCAGATATGTTCAACTCAACTTCTTAATAGTCATCCTTTCATTGCCCCTGTGTATGGCATTACATCTATCAGCTCAACCATTTCAGCAAAAACACTTCCCTGTCTATGTCATTTCTACTACATTTGGAAAGCTTCCTATCTTTAACGTGATTCGTTTGTCTCTGCAATATGAGGTGGAGCTACTGATCTTTCTCTTGTATCATTATCAGTTTAATAGATCCAACACATAAGGGACTGGTGTTCACCTTTTAGTGGTTCGTGTGATTCATGGATACCTCAACTAGGAACTGCTTTGTATTCTTCTAACGCAGGGTGCGAAAGGAAAATCTTGCACGTGCCATTGAGCATGAGTCTAATGGAAACTCAGCTGCTGCTTATGAGTGCTACCAAAAAGCTGTTGACATTTCACCTTCAATTGCACATGAGCTAATCCAGGTAAAAAACAGGCAATTTTGGGTTATAAAAGATTAGTTTTTCAAATAATGAAACACTAGCTCTTTAAAGTATCAGATATTCAAAAAGGTTTGTTTTTCTTCTTAGCGATTTTGAATTTAATCTCCTCTTTTGTTGACAATGTTGCTCCTTGAAGGTGTTAAAGCAGGAGAATGTATGTTATGTTGTGGCTCCTTATGAGGCAGATGCTCAAATGACTTTCTTGGCTGTCAGCAAACAGGTAGAAGCTGTTATCACTGAGGACTCAGATCTTATACCATTTGGATGTCCCAGAGTGAGTTATCTCTATAGCACAGACCACCTTTTTTTCTTTACCATTAGAAACTTACTATTTGGGTGATACTATAAATCCTTTCTTTAATCCAGATTATCTTTAAAATGGACAAGTTTGGGCAAGGAGTTGAGTTTCAGTATTCCATGCTGCATCGGAACAAGGACTTGAGTTTTGCAGGATTCACAAAACAGATGCTTCTGGAGATGTGTATTCTGAGTGGTTGTGACTATTTGCCGTCATTACCTGGAATGGGCCTGAAAAGGGCTCATGCACTCATTAAAAAGTTCACAAGTTATGACAAGGTGAAGTTTATCATTCATGCACCCTAGTAACTGTATACATTTTTGGAATGCAGACTGACATTATTTGATTGCTTAGAAATTATCCTTATATTTTAATTTATTTTTTTGGTTTGAACATTTTGAATAACTCTGTTATAAAGTGACCGGTGGCTTTCCAATTCAGGTAATTAAGCACCTAAAGTACAGCACTGTATCAGTTCCTTCCTTTTATGAAGAATCATTCAAGAAAGCAATATTGACCTTCCAGCATCAGCGTGTTTATGATGTTGCTTCTCAAGATATTGTATCTTTGTCTGATATATCTGATGATGTTGGGGATGATTTGGACTTCTTAGGACCATATCCTTTGTATTTTTCATCTAAGTTAATCATTTCATTACTTTTTTTTTTTGGATTGAGTCATTACTTCCATTCAATTAATTTCAATGCTTAAGATTATACCTTAATCTGAGATACATCGATACCACAACATATAGCTAAAGGTATAGCAGAAGGTGATATTGATCCATTTACCAAAATGCCATTCCAGGTATCCTCTATACAATTTCTAAAAGGTTTCCTTTCCCTGATTGAGTTTTCTTCTTTGCATAAGATTTGAGGCATGTGTTTTTGCTTATTCTGATCTGTAATGTTTAGTACGATACAACATGATGAAGTCGAATCAAATAAGTTTTGCATAGAACTCTTCTTTCAATTGAGTTTTTGCAATTCTATTTTGTTATATTTTTATCAGAAAGAGTGTTTGTGATTAAACATTTTTTTTATTATTCTTTGCATCAACAGGAAGAGAACATTAGTGCTGACAGAATTTCTCAACCTAAAAATGTCAATCTCGGAAGGATAAAGAAAAAGCTAGATTTGCCTGTGCAGAATAATCTCCTGACTAAATACTTTTGTATCCTTTGAACCCCTTGTTTCTAAGTTTGATTAAAGGGCAACTAAAGAATCCGTATGGAAATATTTATTTTCCTGCAACTTTTTCTTTTTGTCTTTCTTTTCTTTTTTGCTTTTTTTGCAGCATATTAGGCAAACTATCTGTTGTCCTTTGCACTATGTACTGCTCATATATGTATGTTTAAGGTGTTTATGATGGGTTTGTATAAATTCAAAAGCAATAATTAGATAGATATAGTAGAATAGCTAAGATAATTAGAATGCAGTTCTGGAAGCACCAACAGTCTCTTACATATGGTTGTAGTGTTGCATTTGTCGTAGCTGTTATTGTGTTTGGGTTTGAGTTCTGTAATTTTTCTTTAACAACCAACAGGCTTTGCCTCTCTTGAAGCAAAGAGAAAATTCAGAGCCCCGCGGATGTCACCTGATTCTTCAAGTGCATTTGATGATTCTTCTCTCAGTCCTGATGAAAATGCCTCCTTGGATGATCCTTCTTGTAAAGCAAGCTGCTTAGAGTCATCCCTCAACTCTGAAAACACGGGCAATGTGCTTCCCAGTGATTCAGTGAGTTTCTTAAAGGGGAGAACATGATAATTTTCAATCAAGCACCACTTATTAATCAGCTGCCTTTACCCAGTTCTGTGATGTAATAAATTATCCTTGTCTTGTCTAGGTAGAAGATGGCTTTGACACTGATGTCCGTGATGTATTAGAAGCTCAAACTCTTGGTAAGGATATAATTTCCCCTAGATTACTTCATGGGTCCAGTTATAATTTTCCACTCACCACTAGTACTTACAACTCACTTGAATTTTATGTTCCTGACATTGAAAGACATGGTAGGCATGAGAAGAAGTCCAGAAAGTACATTGTTGCAACAACCCAGACATTCAATTCATAAACCTTGTCTAACACTGCTAAAGGAGCGTGAATGCAAGAATGCCCCAGACACAGTTGAGGGCGGTAAGACAAGAACGGAGAACAGAAAGGTCATTGTAAGGAGTTCTTATTTTAAGGACAAGTCAATCAATGAAAATGACCAGGAAGATAAACAAGAGAAACGCTTGCTAGAGGATGGTATTGCTTTGGACAAGAATGCTGTTCCAGAGAGTGCTCATTTCGAGAATAGCTATTTCAATGGCAAAGTTATGAAAAGGAAGACCTCCCCAGGAGATAGCGTTGAAGTGGTTTGTGTTTTTCTTTCTCTTTTGATTTTATGCTCAAAGTGTGTGTTTATGATTGTTTTTCTTATAAAATCGTTGTCTTAACTCCTTCAGGAAAATGTGAAACCCAAGCAATTGTGTATCAGTGCATGCCTTCCCGATGATGGTAAGTGCTAGTCGAAACTTAGAAAAACTGAGCTCTCTATTTTGATAAATCTATTTTATTTTATTGACCTATGAATGTGTTCATTGATCAAGGATATTGATTTTTGTTTTGTATTGTTTCTTTCATTTAGGTTATTTTGATAAATCAGTTTTTTATTGACCTATGAATGTGTTCATATGAGCTAATATTTGTTGCCTCATCAGTTTAAATTAAGAGGTCAATGAAACTGACCTATATCATTGATCAAGGATATTGATATTGTGTTTTTGTTACTTCCATTTAGGTAATTGTGCATGTAGCCTAAACGAAACATTTACAGGCACAAAAACTGAAGAAGGGAAATTTGGATCCAACATTTCCCATTTAGGCCGGTATTCTGACATAGCAGAGAAGTCGATGGAAAAATTTGTTTCAGTAATATCACCGTTTAGATATTCGTCGTCTGGTTCTCGAGCAAGTGGTCTTCGTGCTCCTCTGAAAGATGTCCAAAACACTGGTACCAATAGGTAAGATTTTCAAAGCTTATATTGCCTTCTTCTACTGCTACATTATCACCATGAATGACTTGATCTTTATTTATTGCAGGTCAACTGTTGCTGTTGACTTTAGCCAATTTGAATACGTACCAAATACCCGGAAGACTTCCACAGCACCTCGCAAACGCTGTTTTAGACCAGTTTAAAGCAACACTGTGTGGATGAGCAATTAGCAACCAGTTTTTTCACTTGCATCAATTGCTCTGAAGCCAATTCTTCCCTAATGACTGGTGTGCGGGCAACTTCAACTTGATTTTGTGTTTGCTTATCTGCCATTTTTGTTCTTTGTTAGTTTTTTTATTAACTTCCTTTTAATCATGGCAGATTCTCAAACACTCATTTTTGACTTCTTGAGGCCCTTGCTTGATCTGCCATCAGCAGCGCAACCTGCATAAGTTTAAATATCACTGTTTGTTGTTCTTGCATTGTCATTTATACAAATCTCTCTCCGATTGCAGCATCATCGCGTCCAGAGTGAGAAGCTGCTTGATGACGCTTTTGTTTACTGATATTCACGTTTGAGTTAAAGATCGACAGTTTTGTACTATCCTTTGTATAATCTTAAGGTGTGTGTGTGTGTTTTTTTTTTTGCTTCGAACTAAGCATCCCTTTTTAAACAAAAACACCCCCAACTGAGTTTATACCAACAAAATGTGTAGAGATGCTCGCCTAGTCTTCTAGGCCATAGCTTGACTGATTTCTACTAAAAAAGATCACACAAGGTGTGTATTACTTACGAGACATTCTCCAATAAGTATTTAAGTTAAGAATTAGTTACATATTTCTAATTTCGGTTGTTGGATTGCATCTATGAGATTATCAATACATTTAATGAATGCAATCTAACAATTAAGATTAAAAGTACGTAACCAATCTTTAACATAAAATACTTATTGGAGAATCTCCCTTAAAGTTCTACTTTGCGTAATTAGCAATAAGATTTGTCATAATCCATGCCACCTAAAGGAGGACAATTATTTATTTATTATTATTTCCTAGAGTCGTTGCTTTCTTCTAGTTCTCTCTAGGTGTAACGAGTAGCGCAAACCTTGGGGAAATTTAACTCTTGACCACACGTAATCCTCTCTGTAGAGTGTATGTATATTGTCACTTTCTTCTTCATCTCAATGCAAGTGACCATTACCACATTTATACTTTCTTCTTTTAGCTGATAGCAACAAGAACCCTATTACACTTGAAAAAGCACCATGTCCAAATGATTAAGGGCACTCAATCTGATTATATATATCTGCAAGTTGGGTTTGTGCTTTTCTCTTCCACTCTTTCATTCATGCCATTAATGGAAATGGAATGCAAGATTTCTTTTTGTAAAAGGAAAACTGCAAGTCATAGTCATACGCGTCCACAACTCAAACCTTCTTCGGGCATGTTTAAAACATTCGAATTTACTTAATACATGTTTATTTATGATTGCACATATTCATAGTTATATCTTAAAAGATGAAGAATAATCTAACTGGATTTTTAGGGCAAAAAACATATGAAAGTGTTTGTACTAAAGCATATTAAAGAAAACACCAGTATGGTCAATTAATGTCAGTTTTGCTACTATATTAGCATTTAGCACCTTTGTTCTTTCATTCGGACAAATACACGAAAACAACTTCTGTTACGTATTGCTTTCAAGTCTCATAAAATATTGCTTATGTACCATCAAATATGTGTTGACTTGAACGTGCCCCAAAGATTAACTTGGTATCTATTTTAATTGAGTAGAGTTTCTACCTAACTAAGTTTGACAACTTTTTAGAAGATAAAGGAACCATTTGCATCCCAACAACCACTCATTTTGCTCAATTTATCCAAACACTTTGTTTAATTGATACTTGGATTTGCTCAAGTGTTCAAGTCATCAAGAATTTTATTATTATTTTAAAGAGAGCATCTGCAGAATTTGCTTAACTTCTCTGCCTCCCATCCCATCCCATTTTGAATTCCATAATAAATCCCTTCTTGTGGACTCTATTATAATTTGTCGGTTTTTGAAGTTTGGATGCCATGAAGCTAAGGAACAAAACCTACACGTTAACGAACTCAAGCACCATTATTAATATTTAGTTTCCTTGGGAAAGCAAGCCCCGACAGCCACTGTGATATCTGATTTGGTTATGATTTTAAGAATCTGTGGCTCTGATGTGATCGGCATCATTGGTTCATGAGCTGACACTGTCAGGTTTCTTCTGACTTGCTGATCTCAACCATCCATGTGTCTCTGATGCTCTGATGCACACGTGGCCTCGGTGTCATGCCAATATTGTTAGTCGGATTCGAATCATTAGTACAACCTCTTTTTTTTAATTCAATTGAGATCCATATATAATACTATCGAATAATCATTTTTTCTTTTCGAAATAATCTTGGGTCATATTAAAATTGTAGGTATCATTACATTGGGAGCTACTTTTGTATTCAAAGATGAAGCTTTTTTGGCCTACAAATATGGATTGATATGGGCTAAACGTCTAGTAAAATGTTGTTTGATAGTAAATCTCTCGAGATTTCTAAAGGACCTTCCTTGCAATTTCCTTTTGCGTCAAATAAAGAAACCGTTTGATTTTGTTTTCTTCTTTCAATTTTAGTCATCAAACATGTCATGTCATATTGTTAATTTAATGGTTTTTAGATATCAAATTGATCACAATCAATACATCGTTCTCGCATCTATCTGCGTTTAGCTTGACACCTTCTCCAATCAAATAAAGACATAGGTGATTACTACGTATTATTGAACATGAGGTATTGATTTGAATAATGATAATGTAATACTATTGGGGGGCTGATCGTTGAAACACATGGACTGCAGGGTCGTATAGGTAGGGAACAAGCTCGGCTGAGCACAGAGCTTTCATGGCCATGGTGGGGGCTGCTCTACTTTTGTGCTTGATAAGATATTGAGTTTTGGAGAAGTGGATGAGGCCATGGGGAGGGGCCCCCCTTTCTCCTCATTCTTAAAAGCTAGACTCACATGCTCATCATCACAACCACCAACTATGCATGCGAACAATACGGAAGGGTTTGAATAAATCCAATTCTGGGAATAAGTTTTATACTTTTATTTCTGTCACGCTAATTTATCTCACCATTTGTTGTATGGTCAAATAAATGGTGTAATTAAAAATAACAACATGGCAAAGAGTTGTGAATTATGTAATTTTAAGTTCACACTTTGTTTTTTTTGGTTTTTTTTTTTACTACTTTTTTTTTTTTTTTTTTTTTTTTTAATTAAAAAACAATTGACTATGCTTGTTGTCATAAATTGTGCAAGGTACGTAACAAAAAAAATAAAAATTATTGGTTTGAAAAAAACAGTACGGAACAAAAATTTCTCTCCTTTTTATTCAGTTGAGTGACTAGATCACACGTATATCTTCATGTATATAATGGGGTTATTTTCATTGCAAGGACGAGAAGACTGACTCTAAACTTTGTATTCTGTTTTTATTTATAATATTTTGATTAGTCAATTGTGGGAAACGAATTATGGGAGGATCTGAACAAGTCAATCCCCCTCTCTACCCAGCCTATTGTTTAACTCTTTCCATATTTTCATACAAATTATGTAGCTCAATTGGTTAATATCAGTTCTTCTAGACTTAGCGTGTTTGAATTCTATTCACACACGAAAAAAAAACTCAAATAGTTAAACCCTTTGTTTAGATGTGGGAAAATAACTCGGAATTTAGTTAAAAGTATGGAATTTAAGAGAAGAAATTAACAATTCTCTTGTTTGTCAATTTAAGCACGTAATTTATTAAATGGCGTGTGGAAAAAAATTGTGGAAATTGGGGCATCAAATTCCCGAGTTTAATTTCCACCAAAATAGGTGTCATTTTCCAATTTTCATAGTGTCATTTACACAATTCGACATACATAAATCAAAACATTGAAATCTTCAATTGCCAGAAATTGAAATGATGGAAATCTAAATTCTATCATTTTAAAACTCTATGTAATTTTCAATTCCTTCGTCCAAACGGAGGGTAAAGATCTTGTGTTCAAATCTTTCCTCCTTCATTATCGCTTATATAAAAAAATAATAAATAAACTGCGAAAGAAACAAAAGTGACAACATTTTTTTTTCATGACCGCTACCGAACACCTCTCTCTTTCTCTTAAATTCTCACCGAAACCAGGCTGGTGATGTTGAGGTCTGCCAATACCAGACAAACCTCCTCACTCGGGCAGACAGAGTGTAGAAGGGGCGGTGCACTGCTCACCCTTCTGCACACCACCATATCTCCATACATGAACAAAACCCACAACACTTCCTGGCCAACTTGCAATGTCAAGCTGCTGTTAGCTAACAAAAACCTTAAGCTGCCCGCAACAAATTAAAAATCAAAATATTGAAGCTCCACAAGAATTTTCAATTGTTTTTCAGAATCAACAATGATCTTTTAAATTTAAAAAAGAACCCAACAAATTCACAGTAATTGACATTTGACACGGGAGAACCTTTGTAATTTGCTTCCCCCCCCTATTTTTCTCATCTAATGAAAAATAATTAAAGAAACGAATATTTTCTAATTCGAAATTACAATTTAATTAATTAATTTATTAAGCTTCCAAGAAGCCGGTCATTCTGAGAATCGAATTCCGGACTTGACTCAAATCCCTTCCTTTAAGCGTCCGCCCGTTCCCCGTGCACACCGAGAACGCCATCTTCCCCGCAATACGACGCCGTACTATCACATGCGGCGGCACCATTTCTCCCTCGTCCCATTCCTCCTCCCTGTAATCATCGCCGTCGCTTTCGTCGTCGGCGCTGCCGAACCGTTCGAACGCGTTGTTTGGGATTTTCACCGGCACCGACTTGCTATTATCATTACTAATATTATTCCCCATTGCCTTCTTCTTGGTGAAATTGGACTTGCTGTGGGGGTGAAGACGAGACCGGAAATCCAAGCAGCTTTCGAATTCTTGATTGTCGGAGAAGATGACCTCCGATTCTTGGAACTCGTAGTCGACCATAGCCAGAGCCATAGAGCTGAGGGTTTTGGAGAAATTTGATATCAAATTGAAAGTGAAATGAAAGTTGGATTTTCTGCCAAGTTTGGCGATTTGATGGGATTTATTTGTATATTTATAGAGGGAGGGATGGAGGGAGGGAGGAAATGAAAATCGTAGCGAGTACACTTTGATCGTTGTAGTGTTGTCAGATGGCGTCACTGTCTAAAGGCTTTGAGTGCGGCCCCCGCCACCCTCTTTCTTTATTTCAATAAATTATTAATTTAATTTAATTATCTCTTTTAATTTTATTTTTTTATACAAGCAATATTAAAGGGGTGGACAATTAAACCTGAACATCGGACGTAAGCATAATCAACTAACTTGAGCTATAAACTCCTTACACGAAGAGAAAATTTAAACATAAATGCAAGAGTGCGGGCAAGAGCGCGGACTTACTACCTAATAAGCTACCTTGATTATGTATCAGCTTTTCTGGCTTCCTCCCTGTTTTCATTATCTCACGGCTCTTCTCTCCTCTTGGCTAACTACATATTTGACTTGGTGAGGTTTGGGTTGCGTTTTCTACTTTTCATTTTTGGGGTCAAAATCTGGGTAGCTTTCTACTTTTTGTTTCAAATACGGATGCAAGGACTTGAGTAACTGTGCACGCTTGGTCAATCGACATCCTTTTCGGTATGTCAAAATTCAAAAAATAATTAATAATTAATAATATCTATTTATATAATGGAAATGAGACACAGAAATATGTGGAATATTTTGCTGGATTTTTTAAAATAATTTATATTGGATAGAAAATGCAGAATGATGTCAATGCTTAGCAACACGGTGGAGAAAATTTGTGTTATGTTGTCATCCTCATTAATTTCGTATCTGATTATCAACACACATATACACACTAAAAATATCCAATAATATCTCAATATTTAATTCTAAGCTCGAATTTTCTTTTTTGGGAAATGGTTACAAAGCACGGGCTGAGCATTGGAAATGACATACAGAAATATGATTTAGGAAAATTAATGTCACTTTTCTATTGAATTTTGAATTTATTGGAGCTCCGCAATTTTACCACGACCTGAGAAACAAAAATTGATGGTGAAACATAATTGCATCAAGATCAAATAAGCGTCCAGGTTCGAATTCCAGCCAAAAAAAGAAGAAGAGAAAAATCCACAAGAAAAATAAAAAGGAATTTAAGGTCCATTGTAAAAGATATTTAACGAGAGCTCGGATATTTAATGTATTTCTGTGGGAAAAATCAAGAGGATTTAATTTGTAATGTATTTCTGTGGGAAAAAAGAAAAGAAAAAAGAGTTATAAACATAACAAGCCACTGGACAAGCCGAGCCGAGTTGCTTGTAGTAAGTAACCAACACGCGGTGGTGGTGACTTGTTGAGAGAGCTGTAATATTCATCAATGATTGGGAGGTGGTAAAGGCGTCGGTGTAAAGCTAAGGATCAGCCAGCTCGGCGCATCAGACGGCTCATCCCGCGCTCGAGAGTGGGGCCCATCTCCCGGTTCCCGAGAGCGTGAGTTGAGGTCCACCTAATTTATCCGTAATAAGAGAAGAATGATTTCGAATACGACAAGCCAGTGGAGGAGCGACACGTGGGAGATGACATCACCAGCCACACAGGCACAAGTTACACGAGGCGGAATCTCAATGATTTGTGCTTGGGGTGCCACGTTCCCGCCGTTGTTTTCGTGTAATAATTGGGTGAAGCAATCTTTTTGAGGACTTCTAAAGTGGTAAGTCTTGGTGTTGATGTTTAGGAACCAAACAAAACCCATTAATAATGCCCCGAGAGATGGAAAGAAAAAACTATTGTTGTTAACTTGTGAAAAGGGAGAAGGTGGACTTTTGAGGGTGTATTCCCCTTGATATAGAGTAAGTTGTCATAATTTTAATCAAATATTGTTAGCCGACCTTGCACAAGTGAGGTAGGCTACTTGAATACAACAGTGAATCCACTATCTCATACGCAAGTTCGAGTCCCCTTGTGTTAAATTATCAAATTTGAGTGAAGTGCTTAAATCAAGATTTGCATTTTAGTATTTAAAATAGGAAATGGAGTTATGAACATACGATGAGAATGAATGAGACACATTTTAATCCAACTTTTGATAAAATAAATTCTATAACATATTAATCTAAAGTGCTTATAACCAAAACTATATAATGTGAGGTGATTTAACCAAAACAATATTATGAAAAAAACGAGAGCAATAAGCAAACAAACAAGCAATGCAAAAACCATAGGGATAGGGGAAATGCACTGGACTACACTAACAAAAAAAAAAAAAAAAAAAAAAAAAAAAAAAAAAAAAAAACCATTTACAAAGCTTTGAATGCAAGCTTAGTTAGATAAACGTACATAACTCTTTTTAGTGAAAGCGACTAGTTAAGCATAAGGTTTGGTAATTGGTCGATAGATATTTTTATATGTATGTTATTCAATCTCATCTCTAATATAAATGAATGAATACGACTTCAATCTCATCTCTAATAATCCGATTCAAAATCTGTCATTTTTGTCAAACAAAAGTTTAAGAAGGATACACTAATGTAGTGGTTTAAAGCACTCCTAACATCCGTTTAGTATGTTATCGGCCATCTCAATGTGAAAGGTTTTTTCAAAAAAGTGTAAGAAAGAAATGTTAAGTGGCGTGAATTAATGTGAAATAAAAAATAAAAAATGTTGAGTGGCATATGTTTTTATTCTTTCCTTAGAGTTATGGTAATATAGATGTACAAAGATATGACGAGGTATAACAATGGACATACATTATGTTTTGGTCTGGCTGATATTCTACGAAACCTTATATCATATAAGCTGCATGTGATTCACTCCAGTTATGTCCAACACACGTAATATAATGCGTTCACATCATAACATTGGATCGTTTTTAAAAAGCAAGCCATTAGTCCCAGAAAACTAGGAACTTTGAAGACATTTTCTCCAAGCGATTAAGGGCTTGTTTGGGAGTGATTCTGGATAGGTCAATCCAAAATCACTCCCAAACGACCTCTAAATTCCCACAAAACATGGAATTTATTTGCTGTTTTGTTTTTTGGGTTGAAAAATTTGGTTGGGTAAGCCCAATCAGTCTGGCTTACTCTGGACAGCTGCTAAATGTCCATAATAATATATAGCCCGCATAAATTACAAATCCAATCCACCGTTTGAGAACTTATTTTCTGGCACCAAAAATAAAAAAACATTTGACAAGAAATTGGCACAAGAAAAGTTGCAAAAATCCACATACATAACTTCTCAAGTTCAACACTAACATCAATGTTTTTTTTTCGGTCGAAACTAACATCAATGTTTATAAGGGAAACAAAATGAAACACAAGACTTTTGAAATAAACTAGGAACATATATAACAACTAAAAGATGTGACTAAGGCTCAATAATCAGTTAGAGTGTGACGTGGGAGCACGTGTGCCGGTCCAAGATAATTTAAACTATTAAACTCCTGGACGATTGGCTGCAGAGGAGGTCGTGGTTTGTTCGTGTGCCTTAGTTTTGAAATATATCTGCAATGTGAACATTTTAGAGTCTGGATCCCAATTTGAGAAAAACTTATTGGGAGTGGTTTTGTCAATCTCTGTGCTAGGAACCCTAAAAGCAATTGTGTCGTAGGGTTCGGCTGCAAAGAGAAGATACTGGTATCTTTTGTCCACAGATTGAACTCTCTGCTCATAAGATGACATAAAACGGTGCCGTGGCTTCGCATTAAATTCAATCTCAGGATATTCAATCTGGAACAGAAGAGACCTCTGCTTTGATTCTTCATCAAACTGCTTCGTCACTCGGTAACCAGGCCTACCAATTTTGACAGACTTTCGGACGTTCCCTTTGCGCTTTTGAGGGTGCAGGGGCTGAGGAGCAGGAGGAGCTTCTTTGGCCTCACGAGCAGCTCGCTGTGCCAAGTTAGTCTGATGGCGCTTTCCTTGCGTGTGGGCCAAGTAATTGCCCTCGTTCTTGTGCAGTGTCAAGCAAAGCTTGCACTCGTAGCTTCCGAGGTGGTTGCGCATGAAGTAGGGGTCTTTGGCAAGGTCGATGGTCTCGAGGGCGAGTCTTCGGAGACGCTCTTTGCGGTCGATGGCTTCGTTTTGGGCTGAGGCGGCGCCACCACTGCCCGGCTTTGAACCCCATTCTCTGTCCATCTTCTCACTTCTCAGTCACTGATTGTTCCTCTCGGTCTTGACGGGTTTACGATTTGAGAGAATTATATTGGATAAGTAGTTCTTGAATATTTTGATTGTATGATGTTATGTTAACTAGAATATATAGTGCCTTAAGCTTTTTCCTAAAAGAACTATTAAAACCTAATTCTTGTAAGATTATGAATGAATTATGGTTAAAATATAGTGCCTTAAGGTTTATGGTTTTTCCTACAAGAATAAAAGAAAGAAAAAAAAAAAAAAAAAAAAAAAAAAAAATTCCTAGTTCTTGTAGGATTATGATGAATTATCGTTAAATACATAAGGCTTTTCCTACCAGAATTAGGAAAGCTTCTTTTCCTAATTCTTGCAGGATTACCAGGTCTATATATATAATAGTGTCACACAATCTTTTGCTTCACTCTACGACTTGTGATTAAACTCAGTTGGTCCTTGTTTTTTCTGCAAGCACAAAAAATCTTTGGTTTTCGTTTTGTTGTTGTGTGCTTTGTATTTATTAGGGTTTCAATTATGTGTTGGAGAAGACAACAAGGTGAAGGTGGTGACCACAGTGGTTACTATTCTCAACCGTGGAAGAATCATTGGAGTTCATTACAGAAGAAGAGAAAGCGACAAGATCACAGCGTGAGCGTGCCTGACTGGGAAAAGCAATTCTGTATGAGGGCTGGCTCAGTTCCATGGGGAAAACTAGTAGAAACAAAGAAGTCCATGCTGTCTCTCCACAAAAACATTGTTCAATGGAGCGATTCTGCTGGCGAGGAGGGATTCAAAGATGCGAAAAGCCGGTTCTGGGCGGAGATCAACGGCCTTCCTTGCAACATATCTTTGCCGGATCCTGACGCTTATATTGATGAGGTAGATTGGAACTCGTCCAACATTGATCCTGAGGTGATTTTGGACTTGGAAAGGAGCAGGGAACCTAAACCCTACTACTATGATCATGGTCAAACCCTAGATCCCGAGGATGTTGTCATTATTGGCCTTCATCAGACGGTCTCAAATGAGACGGTTGCGTGCACATGGGGTGACTCCGAAGAGGATCTCAAAAATAAAGACAATGTTCATGAAAATCCTTGGGAGCCTGCTTCTGGTCATCAGAGCAAAGGTGCAGCCATGGGTGAAGGATGGGGCAGCAACACTTGTTACAAGTGGGAGAATAATTGCTCACGTGATGAATGGAAGTATGGTTCAAGGAAGACTAGTTATTTATGGAAGAGGTGATCATGGAGTTTCTTGGGGAAATTTCAAGTCGGATGTAAATGGTGGCAGTTGGCGCCAGAACTCAAGATATAAGATTTCGAGATTTCTCGGTGATGATGGTGATCAGAAAGCTGGAGAGCGGTGGAGGAAGGAGGAACAAAGTTCACGTTGGTGACGAAATTACCTGACTTGATGAGGAGACTTGGAAATGCAGCAAGTTTTAAGGTTCCAATAGAGAAACCAGTTTTGTAATGTCAGCAAATTACTCACAAAGGATTAGTAGTTTTGTACAAAGATTGATCATTTACAATACGATACAATACAATATAATTTGGTTTTACTCTTTGTTGTGATTTGTTTTTCTGATAAAATAAAAAGAAAAGAAAAGAAAATCTCCTTACGCAGACTAACAGGCTCACTGCGGTACATCTAAGTCCAGGCCCAAACTCATATTAGCCCACACAAATGACAAATCCAATCCACATGGAAGTTCCACTCTCTCTCGCTCTCTGTCCTTGCCTCTGTAACTTATGACCTCCACAGCTTCTAAGCTTAAAACCCAGATTTTTCAAATCCCCAAGGTATGTGCACTCTTCTATTTGCTATCAATTGAACCGAATTTTATGTTTATGCACCAAATATTCAGCTTCATCTTCAAGTTTGCTGAGTTCTTGATGCTCTCTAAGCTTCTTTCTGAATATACCCATTTCGCACCCAGCGCCGTCGCACCCGTCGCCGTCGCCATCTCCATCTCAGATTCATTTGGTTGGGTGGGTTTCGTCTTGCCGTACCTGTATCCGTATGGGTGCAACAATTTAATGCGGTTACTGAGAATTTGTTTCACAGTGGGAAACTGTATTGTGAAAAAGGAGAGGAGACTGATGTGAACTGCTCAAAATATTGAAAATTAAAGAAGAGAAGACGAATGTTTGTGAGTTCCGGAAATTCTACTTGTTGTCAGTTCCCCTTACCAGGAATTGATCAGGTGAACAACTGAGCAACCTTATTCATAATTTGTCACATTTCTTTCCAACTCTACCTTATTCTACTTGGGTATTTAATTTCACTTCTTGGCTGACTCATTAGATGAAGACAACTGAAGCAGCTTTGTCATTGGGGTTTGGCTTTTCTAATTGTAGAACTTCTCTCTTGTGGAAGGTAACTCAATTTGTTGACCTCATTGTTAAGGAAAGCAAGAACAAAATTGTCATGCATTTACTTTCCCGCTTGATTTCTAAAGCTTGGAAGTTTTCACTTAACAGTCTTCATCTCTTTATCTTTCTTTTTCTCCTAGAGAAATTCTCTACATCAAACGGTGTCTATAAATGCATTCAATGTCAAGTGCTCCTTCAAGCAAAGTAGACAACCTCTAACCAGTTCAAAAGCAATTGAGAAGTAAGTTTTCTGTCTTTCTTTATAATTAATTAACTATAATATGTGCTTTTCAATGTAAAAATTCAAATGCTTCAAGACACTGCTTTTTCGTTCAAATGCTTGGCTGCACTTTGTTTTAGTATAAGCTGGCATCTATAGCTATTTACGAAATGTCATTTATGTAGTCATTGGCCTTTAGGTTGTCATATTGCTTCAAAAGGATGTACTTTGCATGAAATGTAGGAAAACAATCAAGAAGGTGGGAAGGAAAGAGCACCACTTATGGCAGAAAAGAGACTCGGCTGGGTCTGGGCAAAAGGCACTCAATCTTGTCAGAATTGTTAGCCTTCTTTCCTTTTTCTTAAGTTTCATAATCTTGCCTTTTCTCTTTCAAGCTTTATAACCTTGTAAAACACATTTATTGTTTATATGGGATGTATAACATGTTTTTTTTTTCAAAGTTCCAGATTTTAGATAAAATGTTTGAGATCCTGTTGCTGTGCTGTTTTTTCTTCATTAACATTGAAATGACAGGTCTCCGGTCTACCTAATGAGAAAGAGACAGTTTATGGAGCATTAGATAAATGGACAGCTTGGGAGACTGAGTTTCCATTGATTGCAGCGGTTAAGGCCTTGAGAATCCTAAGGAAGAGGAGTCAATGGGTGCGTGTAATTCAGGTATGGCTTCTTTAGACTGTACTTCGGATTGTGTAGAATTGGTACTGCTTTACTTCAGGTGCAACCTGCTCTTAATGACCCCTGTTATCTAATAAATGTTTTCTAGAGAATTCATGTAACTGTCAAACAAGTGGAAAATTCACTTTTTCTAGTGTCCTTGCATGTAGTATACAAATTAGCTTGGTTCAATTTGACACTTAATGTGCATAATTCCTTTATGGTATCATTGCGTGTGGAATATAACTTATCCATGTTCAATCGGAGAACTAAACGTGACAAATCCACTTAACATGAAAACACAGAGGACGCCTTGAGGTGGCTTTGGATAATCAATTTAGCCTTTCTAAGCCTTCTTAGGATCTTTTTTCTTTAACCAGCCTTATTAGTTGCTGGGTCTTCTCATTTTTAACTGTTCTAATGGTTTTAGGGATATAATTTTTTGTATATAGATTAACTTGTTTGATTAGCAGAAGTTTAAGTAAGGCCCCATAATAAGGCAAATGGATGGATGCATTATAGATGGCTAATCCTTAGTGCTGTTTAGGTGGCAAAGTGGATGTTGAGCAAAGGCCAAGGAGCAACAATGGGAACATATGACACCCTTCTGCTGGCATTTGATATGGATCAGAGGGTAGATGAGGCTGAATCACTGTGGAACATGATTCTGCACACGCATACACGCTCTATCTCAAAGCGGCTGTTTTCTAGGATGATATCTTTGTATGATCATCACGACAAGCAAAACAAGATAATAGAGGTAATGCAATACCACCCCACTAGCATTTCCGCCTTTTTTTGTTTTTGTTTTTTTCATGGTAAGGTATATTGTACAGTATTCTGGAAAAATGTCATAAGTTGAAGATGAATAGGAAATATCATCTTAATACTAAGATTTAAATCGCTTCCTGAGAAATTCAGGTATTTGCAGACATGGAGGAGCTGGGTGTAAAACCAGATGAAGATACCGTCAGGAGGGTGGCACGTGCTTTTAAGGAACTAGGCCAAGAAGAGAACAAAACACTTGTTTTAAGAAGATACCAGTGTAAATGGAAGTACATTCACTTTAAGGGTGAAAGGGTTAAAGTGAGAACTAATGCATGGGACGAAGATGACAACTTAAGCAACTGAAATGGACTTGCTGGCATTGACTTGAGGATGCACAATCTCATCGTGATATCTGTTTTTCATTTTTCTTTTTCTCCATTTTTTTACCCATAGATGAAGATATGTACAAATATAGGGTAAGATTCATTGCTACATGCTAAAGATAAAATTCCGTTGTAAGATCGACGATTCTGTATGCATCCATTTGAAGTAATGATAACTTTATGAGATGAGCATATCTGGATCTTTAGGTAAATTGCTCAAATTGTCTTCAAATTTGTACCCGATTTATATTTTGGTCAATAAACTAAATTATTCATTCAAATGGTCCACCAACTCTTTAATAATCGGCGCTTTGGTCCTACCGTTACATTTTCTGTTAAAATGTATCACTTATGTATCACCATTTTATCACCTATGTATCACCACTTTATCACCTATGTATCACCACTTTATCACAATTTTATCACAATTTTATCATCTATGTATCACCACTTTATCACCTATTTGGGGAAAATAGGACGGTTATGAACGGTTTTACCCTTACATTTGACGGCAACATTAACATAATGTAACGGTAGGATTAATGTAGCGATTAATATAGAGTTGATGGACCATTTGAACGAATAATTTAATTGGGGGACCAAAATGTAAATCGGGTATAAGTTTGAGGACCATTTGAGTAATTTACCCTAAATCTTTTTATGTAAGTAGATAATTTTCTTTAGATGCAGCCATTGTTGCATATTTAAATTACGGTTTTGATACAGGGTGTTGTTAACATAAACTCTTGTTATCAGAGTTCTTCATCCTTTAGAGTTTTCTTGTTATTCTTTTATCCTAAAAAGGGTGAAATAGGATTGAGACTCCATGGAGAAAATATTCCGTAAAAGCCCCTTGCTCCCGCAACCCCTATCTCTATTTTTGTGTTCCTATGACATGAATCAAAATCTAAAAGAGATGAAAGTGGCCACAGGAAGATTTGTTAAGCTAAAGACACTGCAATGGGACTCCTTACAGTATGGAGTCCATCAGTCCATGTGTACCACCCAAAGACATACTCATCCTTGTCATGCTCGCTAAGCGTCTCTTTTCTTGCTTTTACTGTTATTGTGAAGCTCTTCTTCTGGCCAACATGATCAAAGAACAGCATGCTCGGGGAGGCCTTAACTGAGATTCCCAGAGGCGGTTTGGAAGTAAAGAAGTAAATGCTTTTGCCCCCTCCAACATTTGTGACTGTCCTCTTTATGGTGATGGCGCTATTGAGTTTGGAGATTGCAATGGAAGGGTAGTTCAGGTTGGTTGCTGTGGGTGGTGATCTTGGACACTTGAATTTCAGGTCGACGTCCTTGAATCCTCCTATGCTGCACATGTGCAGAAGGTAGTCTCTGTATGAAGCATCGTACACAAGGCCAGGGTCTGCTGCCTTGGTGGGACGAAAGTGGCCAGAGCCATATGCAAAGGGAGTAGCAGCATTGCCTGATTCATCATTCAATGGCATATCCAAGTTGTTTCTTATCTCAGCTGCAAGGCAAACGATAAAAGTTGGAGATATTGGGTCATGACAATGCGATGCAAACAATTATGATCAAACACAAACCGGTTTCTTTGATCAAGTGTCCTGTCATGCCTCCAAAATGTTCTAGTATTTAATTTTACCTGTGGTCATGAGAGCAGATCTTATGGCAGCACTGCTCCAACTAGGGTGGATTGCTTTGAGAAGTGCTGCTGCAGCTGCTACATGAGGGCAAGACATTGAAGTTCCAGAGTAGATATTATACTGAGCAACTCGGTGATCGATACCATTCAACTTGGAAGGTGGATCAGCCTCACTCCATGCTGCCAATATATTCAGTCCCGGAGCTGTGATATCCGGCTGCTCGGGTGAAGGAAGAGAGTATAAGTTTAAAAACCATTAGAACAAGGCTATAATCACTGCAAAAAAAAGTCACAAAATTTACCTTCAGAATGTTAGGGTCAATGACGTTGGGGCCTCTGCTACTGAAGGAGGCCATGAATGGAGCTGGCTTTGTATGCAAGACTGTCCTTGCTGGTATAATAGTTGCAATTGGATGCTTGGTAGAGTTTATGTATTCAAGAATTCTGTTAGCATCTTTATGAAGCACTGAAGTGGCAGGAAGAACATGAGCATCACATGCAATTTCAATCCCATTTGCTGCACTGTTGCCTAAGATAAAACCAACACCCCCTGCCCTTTTCACTTCCATGCCTTTTCCAACTCTCATCCCACTACCTCTCATGCACAACACTATCTTCCCCTTAACCTTCTCAGGTGAGAGAGAGCCTGGAAGGCATTGTCTGCAGCCACATTGGGTTTTACAAGTCATTAATTAGCTAATCAAAGCAATAAAGTGACTACTAATCATCTCTCAAGAAACACATAAATTAATTAATTAAATTATAAATAATAGAGTAAACTTTACCCTGCCATATCTTTGGGCACACCAGTGTTGATAACATCTGCAGCATACACTAAAGGGTACATGTTATTCTCTTCCAGCTTGCTTGGGGTCACTGTTTCTCCCTGAATGTTGATTCAAAACATTTTCAGAACTACCATTTTTGTTTTGCTTAAAATTTTAGGAGCAAAACTAAACCAAATTATGCTTTAAAAAATATGTGCTCTTTTAATTACCTTAAGTCTGATGCCATTTCCAAGCACAACAGGTGAGACAAATGCCCGGTCGAGGCTACTAGCACCAACTGTGATGACCCATGGAGCTGGATTTGACAATGTAGCTGGGGCAGGGCCAGAGTTCCCAGCACTACATGCCACCACAATGTTCTTCTTAGTAGCATGCAATGCTCCAAGAGAAATGCCATCACTTGTGTAATTGACAGGGTGACTTGTGCCAATTGATATGCTCAATACATCAACACCATCGCCTATGGCATCGTCAATGGCTGCAAACATGTCTTCTTCAAAGCATGTGTTGCCATCAGCCTTGGACTGGCCTGGTATTGCCCAGCACACTTTGTATATGGCAAGGTGTGCCAATGGGGCACCGCCAGAGGCGGTGCCACGGGCAAAACCCCCCATGGCCGAGGCGTTGGGAACGAGCAGTCCTGCCACGGTGGAGCTTGTGTGTGTGCCATGGCCATCCATGTCACGTGGTGATTGGTAGTCCTCTGAGGCATTTAGAGGGCCGTAGTTGTGCTCGAATCCTTTGAGGTAGTAGCGAGCTCCTATGAGCTTCCTGCAAAATAAGTCATCAAGGGTAAACTATGTGTCATATACTTGTGATTTTAAGCACAATGTTTGATTATTTCTTAGCTAGTTTCACTAGCTGCAATGAAATTCCAAGTTCCACTCCCAGTTAAAATTGTTAGAAATAATTATACCAATGGGTCTTTCTTACAAGTAACAAGTGTAACACATTATTGGCTACAAACTATGACTGTCTAATGATAAGTCAAAAAAATAGAAATGCGGGTTAGGCCAATATGTTTGTTCCCTTGAGTTTAATTTGTTCACTATAGTTTATAATTTGTAAATTGTTTCAATTCAAGGACATCTATACACGAAATTACTAATAATTGAGGGATCTTCTCGAATTAAAACAATTTGGAAACTACACGAACTAAATACGATGCAATTGAAAATATAAAGATGAGAGTGAAACTTATGAAAACTACAGCCACTAAAATCGTGATTTAGACGCAATGTGTAATCCAAGTAGCATTACTCATATAAAGCTGAGATAACAGAAGTGAGCAAACACCACTGAACTGCCCAATTGAAGTGGTCTCTTTCTCTGAGAAGAAAAATAGTTTGAGAACTGTGCATAAATAATTGGAAACTGGCATGGGGTCCATACTGGTTTTAGGGTCACTTTCCAATCCCCTCTATAGGCTAGGCAAATGCCTGGAAGTCCATGGTCACAGGGCACCAGCCAAAAGTTCACGAGATGTGAAACAAAAGCATCCAAAATAGAATTAAATAAGTTATTTGTTTGATTGAAACAAACAAGCAAGGGATCATGGATGCAGGCCCAGAAATACTTTTAAAATTTCAGTTTTCAATAATCCCAGACAACTATTTGTCAATTATGCAAGTCAAGTGGCCAGAAATATTTATCAATTATGCTTGGCCAGAAATACTTTAAAAATTTTATTTTCAATTATCCCAGACAAGTATCTATCAATTATGCAAGTCACTGGAAAATGCTTCTTTCATGCAGTGGAAGGAAAGATGAACATGCATGCCAGCCAGGCCAACAAAAAATCTACTGATATCTTGAGTTCTTTGTACATAAACTAATTTTATAATTTGTTATATAAAGAAGGATATATTTTTTAATCTAATCAGTGATTAAAACTCTAATTCCTTGGTATCAGCAAAGGTTTCTCATTTCATTTACATTCCCAAAACTTACACTTCTGCAGAACCCATTTCTGTCAAAATATCCAGGAAATAAAAAAATCATGAACAACCCTCATTCAAAGTCAAAAGATTTGAGTTATTTTTTATGGCATTTTTCATATTGTGTAAATTTTCCAAGTCAAAAGATTGGAACTTGGAAGGCATGCAATACTCTGGGTTCCTTCTTGACCCATCTCATGTTCTCTAGTGTGGTGGGGTCTAGGTCTAGATCTAGCTAGGCTTCTAGGGTAAAAATCTTACCACACTAGAATCACCAAGTCAGAAAATTAAGTGGCAGCTGGAGAAATATTTCCTCAAGACAAGAGAGAGAAAAAACATAGAAGACCACATGGACCCCCATGAAATTAAAATAGTTTGAAGTTAAATATGTGTTTCAAAGCGCAAAGTTAGCCATATGTTATGGAATTAAAATCACCTCACATGTAAACTCTAATTGCCTAAATGGCTGACACCAGCACAATTAGCTATACATAAAAATGGCTACATATCAAAGAAAGTAGATGGAAGGAAATTAACAATTAAATTTAACAAACCCACCTGTTACAGTGAGATGAATTGAAACCAGGTCCAGATTGGCAGATTCCCTTCCATGATTTTGGAATGGGTCCCATTCCTTCATCACTAAAGCTCTTTGATTCTGGCCAGACACCTGATCATAATGTCAATCACATCATCATCACATGCACCCAATGGTACCCTCTTTTCTCTGGGAAACGCTTGTGTAGAATAGGGATAACATTGTTTTGCTATTCGAGGCCAATCACAGTGTGCCACGTGTAATAACTTTTTCACCTGGCATGCCGGGATAGTAAAACAGTGTTATCACTCTATTACACAAGTTTGTCTGCTTCCCAGACACACAAATACAAAGGAACTCACATGTGAAAATAGTCATTGGACAACAGAAGTCAAATATGAAATTGTTTGATTATATTGATGTTTTTTTTTAGTTTCTTTACCACTGTCAAGAACCCCAACTATGATGTCCTTGCCAAATCTGGCTTTGGATAAGAAGTCTCCTCCCATCTTGTTGCTTGTCCAATGCCTCTCTTCCTCTTCCATTATGCCTACAAACTTCCATGACCTTGTGGTGTGCATAGAGTACTTTTTTGGGTGGCTAGCCCACACAGAAACAACTTCTTCCAACTCTGCACTTACCATTAATTTCTGCAGTATTAGAAACAGAGAGAGAAGAAGGGTTTTTCTTTTTAATTAAGCAAATCCTGAATGGGATTTTGATTCGTTTGGTTTACCAGATAACTGGGAAGCTTCATCTTGAGTAAGCACTGCTGCAAAGCCATTGATGCTGTGCTTGTAGCTGTAAAGCAGAGAAGCTCTGGCTTCTTCCGCTGTTTCTTTCACAGAGAGCAAATATGAGTGATGTGTGTCCTCAATTTCATGCAGAGCTTTTTCTCCACTGTGCTCACCAAAGTACACTATGTAGACCTGTCATAACCAAACTCCACCACTATAAGAATTGCAATGGAAAAAGATGAATATAAAATGGAGCAAAAACAGAATTCCATAGCCAAAAGAAGAATGACCTGTTTTTGTTCTGCACATGAGGCTAAGAGAGGAAGGAGAAGGAGAGAGAAGATGAAAAATGTCTTCATTGGTACTGTTGAAGATTGTAGTGCACACAATCCTGGACTGATCATAAGTGCTTATATATAAGTTAAAGAATCTAAAACCAAATTCTTATCTCTACATCAAAAGGTCCCTCATTTTTAGAGTAGGGACCTATATGAAATTTTGTATTCATATGGAATTATATTATAGATAAATTTTCCTACTAACACTCATCTGCAGTGTTTACTTTATACTGGACTCTTCTTTCTTCACAGGATTAGTTGACTAGTATTAGTACGTAACGTAGAGCCCCTCATTAGTCATTATCAAGAATAAACAAAAAACAAAAGAAGTTTGACTCCTACCAAAACTGCTAATTACATCTTACAAGTGTTTAAAACGAATCTATCCATTCAAACTTCCAAATTAATCCAATCCAATCGAATCTAATTGTATCGATTTCAATGACTTCGAGCAAGATGGAGGTCCTATAAATTCATACACCAATATGGTTGGATAGATTTGCAGGTTTCTCCGTGAAAATTCGTTGGGTTGTGCCCTTTTTTTAAGGTCTGGTTGTGTGTGTCATATGTGTGGCACAAAAGTATGTGATTTTGTATTTGGTTCTCTGCAACAACAAAAAATTATGTTTCAAACTTACTTCTCTTAATCCAAGGTCGGATTAAATTTTCCTACAGAGAATAATATTCGAAACATTATATGAAGACAAAGACAAAAGGGTAAAACCTTTTCAATCAAAGAACTTAGTCTTTTTGCAACATGAACATATTAACTGTTCACTATGTCATCATTGAGCCTAATCTGGTTTAAAGTATAGCAATCATAATCGATAGGAAAAAGAATTGTCTTCGTGGGTCCAAATAATTTTTCAGTCACAAAAATAATACAAGCAAATTTTAAAGTAAAATATATTTGTGTAGAGGGTGCTTAGGCCTTAGAGAGGGGGAGCTCCACTTGGTGTGTATAAGTCTAAAGAAAAATATATATTTGTGGGCTCTAAAGGAACCCAAAATTTCAAGGCATGCATGCACAGCCGATGGATTTGCCTGGATCATTGTACCCAATTGGCCCATGCTTACACCTAGCAGCATTGTCAATTACAAACAAATAATTCTCCCATGCCCTCCTATCTGAGAATTGGTGATCCCTTGCATCTCACGTTTCTTCTTGCCACCACTCACCTTGTTATAACTTTTTTCCAAGGTTTGAAAATCATAGAATTTTCCAACTTCAAATATATATGGACGGTTCGGATCATTGAAATACAATGTCGGGTGCATCCTACAAGATGTTTATGCTGAATGACTTCTAAGATTTCACTTCTCTTTGAAATCTGCTCATATGGATGACCTATATTATATGCAAGCATGAGAAAGACATGGTTCGTCCATTTCAAGAATGTCAAATGGTGGGCTGCTCCACTATGGGATTGTGGTCCTTGATTATATCAGCTCTTGATCACTGCTTTGCTTTGCTACTTGGTTGAAACGTGAGACCTTCTCTATGTTTATAGCTAATTACCCATAAGTTATAGGGGTTCATGGTATATGGGAAAGCTGCCAAATTAAAGTTGGACTTAATATTTGGGGAAAAAAAGACTCGGCTTCAAAAGCCAGAGAAAATAAGATAAGAAAAACAGAGCCTGATCTATAGGCTATGCCAGCCTGCTAAAGTATGATAGCTAATCAAACAAGAAGCATAGTTGCAAAATTTGGATTAATGTGACAGGAACCATATCAATTTATTATTTCTTCTTTTCAGCTTTGTTCAAATTTAATGAATAATCTGAATATTTATATGTGCAATATCTTGTTTTCTTCTAGCTACAGAAGCAATGTTTTGTGGATCACAAAACCCGTCTAGCTAGTCGAGTTGGAAATTGTAGGGGAAGAAATTGGTGTGTATTGTGAAAAAAATCTTGCAACTAATGTCACAGCAAAACCATGCTATCTGGATCTCAATGCTTGGTTCTTCACCTTTTGGCTTGAGCAGCATTGGAATTAGGCTGTCATATGATGAACTCCGTTATGAATCCTCAGCCAGCGCTTTCAAGAGAGTGACAACGTCATCCGATGATCCAAGGAGATATCGTGCACTCGATCTCTTTCGTCCAACAGCACAAGAGAAGTAATTGTCACCCTTGAGGTCAAGCACTGAAGAACCTTCATGCAGAGACATTTTATCACGCATTAGTGTTGGCCTCCAAGCATTCCCAATTCCATGAACCGTAGCTCTCTTTTCCAAAGTTGACAAGGACCGTTGTTTCTTAAGGCGAGCTGCTCTGGAACCACTTTTAGTTGTGGAAATCCTTGGCACATATGTCATGGCAGGATTGGCTGGCGTAGGTCTAGGAACAGTTGGTGGTGCCTCCGAAGGAAGCTCTGGTTCAAAAAATGTGTAGACATCTTCGTCCTAAAGCAACGAATCCAAGTGCGTGACAAACTCTTCAACTATTAAAAATTCTATGACAAAAATGATGATTAGGTCAATAAGTCAAGAAGAATCGGACCTTTGGTAGGAAGTGCCCAATACACAGGACATAATCAATTGGTGCTTTCATGCCTTTGTTATGGACTATTTCTCCTAAAATACGATCAATCGCTGCACCCTGAAAATACATGGAAGCAACACATAGGATCAACAAACAGGACCATCAGGTTGATCTAAAATATGGAAATAGGACTCCCATCTAATTAAAATGCATGTACCTTTGTAACACCAACTGCTCGGACCTCCACGGATCGACCACCTTGGACGACATCAACAGATGCATTTGAGATTGGGCCTGTCCACAGATGCTGCAGCAGATCTCTTGCTTGGAGCCTTCCAAACTCAATGTCTAATATTATAGAAATAGTGGCAATAAGTTTATAATGGAGGAAACAAAAATGTAGCAGTATCACAGATTTAACCAAAATAAAAAAATAATAATAAAAAGAAAGACAACGACTCTGCTACCTGCATACTTGTAGTTCCATACAAGTGAAGTTTCACGAAGCTCAAAATGAGACCGCGGCGTTCTCTCAGTAAAATACTCAAAAACATGCTGAAATCCAGAACGAATGTTAGAAATTTCAATTTACAAATGAAATTAATTCCGAAGGCAATGAAGACTGTTATATAATTGCTATATGAACCTTTACGCTGTCGACCCAATCCATATTTAAATTTTCTGGCATTGTTGTCATCCATTCTCCCATTGTAAGACGTAGGAACATCCCGTTTTCTGCTGCCAGCCACATGTTGTAGTCACCGAAGTTCTGCATAGCAAGCTGTTAGTCCAAAAGTATAACAAGCAAGGGGCCGGAAACAAAGAATTGCTGAAGAAGGTAACGGTACATCATCCAAGACACTTCTGTCACTTCCGCTGAGGACAACAATTGTTGTCTTTGAGTCATCACAAAGCTTTTTCAAGGGTTCCTTGAGATCTGGATGCAATTTAAGTTCCATTTCTCTAATTTGACCACCCCTTCTCCCGAGGGTGTCCTTTGGTTCAGTCAAAGTGGCATTGAATCCCTGCAATGGAAACACAGTGACGATGAAGATGAAGAAGATAATCTAAATTTGGGCCTAGAGACCCCTTCCGCAATCCAAATCATTAATTGCTACAACCATTTTAAATTGGAGTAGATTTGTAAAAACTTGCTTGTTTTCACATATAAGCAAAAGGGGGGCAAGCACAAGCTTGTAGGGTAATTTTGAGTTAGTAAAATTGACAGATGTTTTAACTCATTGAAAATAATGTTATTCTGACATTGTTTCAACTACTTGTACTTGTGCAAGTAAAAATCAAGTATGCTCCAATAAAGAGTTGCCCACAAAAGAGTCTTGAATATACATTTATGTCATGACATGTCCTACTTAATTTCCAAGTTCTAAATAACAAATTCAACTTCCAGTAATGAAAAAGAAGAAAAAAAGCATTGAGAGCATACCAGTATAAGTAATCGATTGCTGGATTGCAAATAACGATCAACTGCTACTTGGATTGGAAGTAAAGGAGGAACTTGTCTCGTCCTTAGTTGAGCTTCGACAATTGTGTCATTGAGTTCGCTACATAAATGACAAATTCACCATTAAGCATGAACTTGAAGAAACAGGGAAAGAAATAGAGTGGAAAAGCTATGTAATAGCAGAATAACTATTTTTGAATTAACCATCTATTGCCCTTTAATCACTTTTCTTATCTAGTGTTTTCACAATTAGCTCTAAAAGGAAAATACAAGAACATAAGTTATAGTAACAATTTATATATATATATATATATATTATAGCACCATGATTTGATCAACACCTTACAAAGGTTGCAGCCCACTCCTGAGACGTGTGAGTTGTTACATGCATGAAGTTATGATGGTGACGCTTTTCTCTTTCATCAGCTGGCATATTTAAAGCATAACCTATGGAAGCAGCTACTTCTGTGACATTCCACGGGTTCACTAATATAGCCCCTGCACCAAGTGACTGTGCTGCACCTGCAAACTAGAAATGAACAGAACGATCAGAACAGAAATTGCACTTAAACAACTATGACTGTAATGGTTAGTGACTACAACTTGATAAATCTTGTATCCATACAATTAGAAGATTTTATTGTGACGGGTCAAAAGAGAAGCTAAGACACCACTAAAGTTCTTCTTCCTGCTTCCAAACAGCAAACGTCAAGTAAGGTAATACTTCTACAAACCCCTGAAACAGGATTTAATCCTTTTATCCACCATCATATTGCTTACCGACATTTAAGGTCACATTTGCCTAGTTTCTGGAAACCTTGAAACGATCTAGCTTTTACTGGAAGAAGCCATATGGATCTCTCTCTCTCTCTCTCTTTGTGTTTTGTTTTTTTTTTTTTTTTTTTTTTTGTTTTCTTGGGAACAATATATATAAAAACTGAATCATGGGATTTTAAGTTACCTCACTTAGGATGAGAACTCCTTTCTTGGAAGCTTGGCAAGCAACAAACTCATAGCTCACAAGATTCATTCCATCCCTTAAAGATGTAACAAGGGCTACATCTGAAAATAGTAGTCAAAGAAATAAAGGAATATTACCCGTGCAAAGTCGAAGTACATAAACCATGTTAAAGCATGACAACCTAAAGTTTGGATAAAGCAAAACATAAAATCATATTTTTCCTAAATAGAGACGGCAGGGAAAGGTGTTTCCCCTTCTACAGAAATGGAGACGGCCAGTTGTTAATACACACCATCCATGCCCTGGGTGCCTGGTCCTACATGGGCCACCCACATTTAGATAGATAGTGCGCCCTGTAATCAACCCTCTCCATTTCAAAGTCGGATCCAGAAGAACATGCATGCAGTGCATCCATTTTGGAGGAATTGCTACACTTCAACTATCAGTAACTGAACACTGATAGATTCCAATTAACAGTTTAGATGTACAATGTTATCTTGACAATCAAATGATTTCTTCCATTATCAATATCAGCATATAGTGCATTTTTATTTTTGTTGGCTAGAAATTGAAGAAGTATTATTTCATTTAACACTTTAAATGCCTCGGCCACCTCATATTGGGGTAAACAAAGATTATCCAGTGGTTTGTCAAAAGAGGCAAGACTTCAGAAAATTTATTAATCATTAAAGACAACAATGATTAATGCAGTGAGTGTTACGGCACAAAAATGAGTACCAGTAACAGCGTATAGTGCACATAATGCGTGAAAGTCAAGAGATCGATCCTGTAAATAAAGAAGAAGATGCTTTAGAAGTCTTCACATACGATACGAGTTAAGAACACAAGTTGAAAGAGGAAATTTATGAGAAAATGAGCCAAAGTCTCAATCATTAACATGATGGTAGTCTAATTTTAGCTTCACATCTCCCACACAGCTTCATGAATTTCTGGAACTGACAAGCCAACTTAGACAATTCATAATTCAATCCCACACAGCCAATCAACAAAATCTCTTGTTCCATTCTATATCTACTATTGTGAAAGATACTTTACAGATATAAAATTGGAAGTAAACAAGATAAATACAAACCAGATGATGTATTGGAACAGCAGTAAGAGTTCCAAACCTCCCATTAATGCGTCCAACAATCTCATGAACCTGGCTTGTGAGCTTTTGATCTGTGACAAACACATAGCATAAATGCATATCAGATTCTTCAAGGTGATATTGAATTTGAATTTTCATCGTAGGACTATCAACGGAAGGACAAGTTATAAGGAAAAAAGGAGATCAAACCGAACATTGATGAGTAGAAATGCAACAATTTGTATATAAGTTCCATCCACTTGATATTCACACAAGTTAGTGCATTTAAGTTGTAGAAAGCTTATTGAAAGATATACTCTGAATTCTTAATGTACATATTTTTGTCTAACCGTCCTACATACTCCTGTAATAACTAAAGACTTTTAAGATAATACATATACAGCAGGCCAAATGGGCAAACAAACCTAGAAAATAATGAAAAAACTGTTAATACACATGCATCGTAAAATTCATGCTCTAAGTTGCAGAAGGTTGTACCACAGTAACAGATTAATCTGAATACTATTTATTTTACAGACAGTAATTAGAAATTCAGTACTTCTGCACTAATCTAGAAATTATAATAATAAAGAACAATATTACATGGTAATATGATCCATTAACTGTCCAACTTCCCTATGAAGCAAGTAGTACAATAGAATAGAATAAATATGGAACACCATAAATGAATAAATACCAACTTAAGGCTTCAAATATATTGAGAAGGAACCTACACTCAGGAACGTCTGTTCTTGTCGGTACAGCAATTTGCAGCAAGACCACTTTATCACGCCAGTTCAAATTTTCCTCTAGAAATTTTTCAAACGCCAAAATCTTTTGAGGAATCCCCTTAATCATATCAAGACGATCAACGCCCAACATTACCTGTCAGTAGTTGACTGGAACAATTTAAGTATTTGAAAATGAAATGCACATGGGCAATGCAAGCTCGTAAAGGAAGGCCATGGACTCAGAATTGAAACCATTGGCACAGAACAAACTCATTTGGTCATGTGTAGAACCATGAACAGAGGACACACTCATTAAGCACAAGGCACAAGAACTAGGGTGAACAATGGGTGTGTTTCATAAGTATGCCTTACATGATAAGTTTAATGTAGAAGTTAAGATATAATGGCATAGGATGCAGTTCAATTAAAATCAGCAAAATAACGAAATCGTGATTTTAAATTTTAAGGGAAAATGTAGTAGTTCTTACCTTTCTGCCAGCAAATCTTTCTTTCAGTTCTTTCATGTGCTCCTGGACTTGAGGGAGTTCTAGAGCTCGAATGAAGCGATCTGAGTCTATCCCAATTGGAAACTATAGTTTCAAGGGGGTAAAAAAGGGGTGTCATAAGGATGATTGACGGAGAGTTCATATGATAAAATTTTATATGCTGGTAAAACATCTGATTAACCAGGCTAACAGATAACCATCTGGAAAATGAAAAAGTGAAAGCTTATACATACCGCAGCCACACGAGTCAGCTTTCCTTGATCCTCTACTCCTTCAGGTGTACCCTCTAAACCAAGAATACGAGTGCAAGCACTAACGAAATGCCTTGCATAATCATAGGTATGGAAACTGGAAGTTGAAAAATCCGCCCATCAAAACTGGCTTGGTCTTCAGACATAACATAATATGATACCATACAGAACACATTTCACAACAGAATACTGACAGAATTTTATTGTGTAATGACAGCGTAATCTGTTCATAAGCAGGCAAAAAATAGGCTGCTTAAAATTTATTCACTATGCAAATTAAGGGCTATTGAATTTTCAGTATTAAAGTAGATAAAATTGGGGTGCCTGACAATAGGAAAACACTTCAATTAACTGTGAAATCTTAGGAAGGGTATATGCAATGTAATCGTAAGTTACAGCTTGGATCAAGCTCTTTGAGAAACTTAACACGAGGCCTTGGATGTCACCATTGCAACAATTCTATTATTTCCAATTTCAAAACTGGAGGAAATCTGAAGAACTATAGGTATAAAACCTCAAGTATCACATAAGTAACTAATTAATTGTATGATATATTATGCAGAAGAAGTAATAATAAAATGTGACAAGCATTTTGAAATACTTTTGTGGAAAATACATGTCTTACCCAACCAAATCAGCAGCAAGAACAGATCGCAACAATTCTGATCGAGATGGCAGTGTCCTATGTATTTCTGAGGAAGGAAAAGGTGTGTGGAGAAACCAACCAACTTTCATTTTGTTGTTATGTTCTTTTAGGCATTTAGGAAGAAACATGAGGTGGTAATCGTGGCACCAAACAACATCTCCATCCAGGTAGTGTTTGTGTACAACATCAGCAAACATTTGGTTTGCCTTCTTATATGCATCAACTGAGATTGGAAACTTCGGGTGGTTGCAAGGCGGTCTTCTTGTGGAAGTCCAAGATAATGGAAAAGTGGCCACAAGATGTTGTTACAATAACCATTGTAATATTGATGAACAATTTCTTCGTCAAGAAACACTGGGATGCACCTCTGCAATAAATAAATTAAAGTTTTTCTTCCTTGATGCATAATCAAACAGCTTGTATGTCTGTGTGTGTGTGTGTGTGTGTGTTTGTGCGTGCACACTTCATATGCCAGTGTGTCCGTGTTCTGAGGTATGTGGGAAGGGGGCAGAGGTGACATTATAGATGGCCAGCTTATTAGCTTGAATTCTATGAAAATTTCAAGAGGAGATCAAGAGTTTTGAACCTTTTCAGCTAAAGCTTTAGTCAGTGCTTTTTGTCCAACACTATCAGGTACATTTACACCAGCCCAACCAATCCATCTTGCATCAAACTCCTTCACGCCTTCAAGAAAACAACAAAGCTTAATATAACCTTTGATTTATGCCATTATGGAATTTAACACATGCATTAAACAAATGAAGGAAAGAAAAATGGTGCAAACACTATTATCTGTAAACCTAAAGTAAGCTCTTTGAGGTACTAAAAAGAATGCAAATAAAATAAAAAGGACAGCATGCACTGAAAACAAGAAGGATAAGACCAGATGATTATTATCATTTACCTAAAAGTGCACTGACTAGCCCTCCTACACTCATCTCAAGCTGCCATGAGTCCTCACCCTTCCTAACTGCAGAGACAGGTAACCTGTTAGCCACCACCAATAAACGTTGCTTAGGAGTCCGTCCCTCTTTCCATTCACATCCATCGGCAAAAGCTTTTGCCGCAGCAACCCCTTCCGGAAAATCTTCCTCACTAGATAGACCAAAATTTTCACCCTCAGTCAAAAAATTATCATTCCCTAAGAGTTCTGCCTGTCTGTTTCCATCTTCAATTGGATGCAAAAAGCGGTTTGATCTCCTTAGCTCTCTTTCCCTGAGAAGCCTTTCCAATCTACTTCTGGGTGTGGAAGGATTGCAGTTATAATTGTTTCCTGGCATATGCTTGTCCTGCAGAGAAGGCTGCAAGCAATTTGCAAATTGTTATAGGTGATTCCTACAATATTCATCTACTCATTCATGTGTATATCAGCTCTCATACGACAAACGTTTCTAGCTGATCATTTATTCATACTCAAATCACTTCAACACAGATACAACTAAAACTGAAAGCACTCAAATTGATACAACATATTTGTTTAAGTGTGTAAGTCTCACAAACAACATGCATATATGCAAGCACAAGCAATCATCTTTCTTCTGTAGTACCTATTTTCGAGCACATTTTCTATATTCAACCACTCATTTCAAATACTGCAATGGATGAAAGTGCTTGCCATAGTTTTGTTCTATTGTCTCCCTAACTTAAAATAATCTTCAATATAGTTTTGTGGACAACAATTATGAACCAAGTAATAACAATTTAGCAGCAGGAGGATACTGCAGTAATTCAGATACTGTAAAGGAATTGACACTTCAGTGAATATCAGTGGACAGTGAAATCAAAATGGTAAAAGGAAATAAAATAAGATGAGTTAAACTATACACATTATCCAGAGTCCAAGAAATTGCAGAGATAAAAGACTCTTGATCCCAGCTAAAGTTATAACACGAATATGATTGTTACGCTTCTGCACAGTAAATAAACTCAAGTAACAAACAAAAACAAAAATGCCCACAATAAAATATCACTTAAAAAAGAAAGAAAGAAAAAAATCGCATGATCAAATTAAGGGCGCATGTCACGACAAAAATAAAATTCCGTCAAAATTACACAATGGTGCATATAATAAAAAAACACAAGCCAAGAATCCTGGAAAAAAAAACAACGCAACAATTCCAGGAAAGACAAAAACTTTACGAAATAAAATAGAAAATGGAAGAAACCCAATAGAGGAGTCTGACCGGAGAGTTATGCAGAATGCAGATCTCAGTTGGATTCAGATAGTGTGAGTCTCTCTCGCATTCAAGACGAAAATATTAGAGTGACCCTTACCCTGCTTTTTTTGGTTGTTGTTGTTGAGAAGCGTTTTTGAAAAAAGCAGAGGAGAGAGGCCAAGTGGATATAAACGTGGGAGCAAGTTGGCCAACCGATATTTTTGGGGGTGGCTGTGGTCACACCGAAAGATGCAGAAAAATCTCAAAAATCAATCCGATTGTGATGAAGATTATCCATATATAGCTCTAGTCACCGAAACGAAAAGGAAAAGAGGCAGAGCAGAGACATAGGTTGTTTTTGTTTTGTTTTGTCTTTGGTTTGGCCATGCAGTGCACTGCAGATGAACTATGTTATATATATGTGCAGCTTAGGAGTTAGGACTTAGCAGTGAACTATGTTTCTATGTGAATATAGCTTTATTTTTTTTTTGGGGTACATTTCTTCTCTTGATTTAATGCAGAAATTAAGGTAATAGTTTAAAGTATATGAAGGAAGATGTTATCGTACTCTAAAATAGTCATCGTCCACTCCTTTTTTCAAAATTTCTTTAGAATAAAATAATAACATAAGAGCGTAAATTAAATGTGATTTTTTTAAATACAAGCGATAATATTCCAAGAAAATATTAGAACCTCTAAAATCTTTCTTTTGATTGAAACACTTGGTCTGGAATGCAGGTAGCAAATCTCACAAGTTCCACGTGTGAATAGTCAATACATCTAATATCTTAGGTCATTATCATAAACTTTTCAATTAGCGGTGGTAGTAGTACAGATAAGTGCGTACTTGGGGTGCAAAAAAAAAACCTTAGCCATAAGCTTTTAGCCTCTAATGATTTTAGATATTCTTTTTGTTCTTATTATACAAATTACAAAACCGACGATAGTAACATTAAAAAAATGATTATTGTCATTATCGTTTTTGAGTGTCCAAATTTCAATCGCTTTCAAGGCTTTACAATTATTAATGATCTTTTATTTATTTGTTTATATAAGCGATATTGGAATAGGAGTATTCTTACACATGAACTCAGATAGAAGAGTAACTACTCTGAATCACTTGAGGTACAAGTCTCTTTCATTAACAATCATTTTATATAAAAAAAACAAAATTATTATAACGTAAAATTATACCATATGGACCACAACATATACATCCAATCCAACTTCAAAAGTAGTTCATTGGGAACCAAGTCAACCCCCTTCACTTTGTGGACTTGAATCATCAACACGATATTTCCAAAACAAAATCAACTCAACCACAAAAACATAGAACGGAAAAGTTGGCGGGGATATCCTCATCCAGATCTATATCGCATATTCTGTTGGTTGTGTTGTGAACCATACCAACATGACATTGACTGACGTAATGAGAATTTACAAGTTAAGAGAAAAATAAATGGTTGAATATACCTGAAACCACGCGTTAGTCGAGAGTGAAAAATTGAGAAATTCTTCGGTGATGATGGTTAAATAAATTGTTAAAAATAATCGAAATAAACTATGTATGTGAATGTTCATCTATAAATTAAAAAACCTACGTAGGGGAATGTTAACGTGGTGTTACATATTTTCTCTTAAAGTGTAACCACACTTACCACCTACTAATTAAAATTCGAGTCAATTTGATAACACAGTAACACCACGTGTCAGTATGACCTTAACACCACACATAATATTTTTGTTGTGAATAATGTAAAATAGTTATACTATCTTCAATTTGTTATCTACTATCAAAATTACTTTTTTTTTCCATCTCCACAAAGCCCAATAATGTAACTTTCCTTTGGGCTCATCACCAGCCCACAATCCGCCCTTCATATTGTACCTGGGCCGTCCACGCCACCACATGTGTGACGTACCGGCCTTTCTTCGTTCTCTTCCGTCCACTTCAAATACAACGGAATTCAAAGTCAGGGACGAAACATAGCTTTGGTTAACTTGGGCTACAGCCCAGGTTGCTTTTAAAATCCAAAAAAATATTATAGCCTAGCCATCCAATTGAATATCCTACTCTTCCAAGGAATTCTTTACTTGCACTCCCTTGCACGTGGAGAATAAAGGGTGAATAGGAAAGCTACATAGGAGAAAAAAAAGAAAAAAAGAAAAAAAGAGAAAAAGGAGAATGCACACAGCCGATAGAAAAAAACAAGAAAAAAAAGAAGAAGAAGAAATTGTTTAACTGTTTCTTAGAGTCGTCGACTTTGTCAACAAACTCATATTGCACCCTTGCACGCTTAAATGAATACTCTTATTATTGTTGCACTTACCTTCAAAGCTTAATTCAAGAAGCGAACAAAACCCCTATATTTGTCAGGTACGAATGAAATTACATTGATATTTGTTAGGTATGATAGCTTCTCTCATTATGTCCCCCCTTGAGTAGGTGTATTATTAATCTTTTGTTATCAATGAAATTACATTGTACTATTGAGTTTTCTATTGACCTAGTATGTTTATGTAAAGTAGCCCAGTCAAGTTTGAAATCCTGAGTCGGTCCTGTAAACATTCTCAACCGTCGATCAAGTTGCTCACCGAAACTCCAACAACCCAACATGGAGAAAACGACACCGTCGCATCCAACCCTTCTCTTCCTCACCGTCCTCCTCCTGACAACCGCGCAGCCATCACAGTCGTTCGCCTACTCGCAGTACCGAACCCTCTTATCCCTCTCCCACTCGCTCATGACGCGAGTGGCCAACCTCCGCGAGGCACGTGGCGACGTTTCGGGGGCTGACCGGGCCAGGCTCGTCGCGGCAAAGCTGGAAGGGGGGCGACTGGGCGAGTGGGGGTTCATGTGGTCGGCGGCCTGGGACTACATGAAGAACTACGCATGGAGGGAGTTGCCCTATTCGGAGGTATACGGCGCCGTTTCGGACGCGAACGAATTGCTCAGGTGGCTGGGTGAGTTGGGTCGAAAGGAATCGGACTCGGAGAGAGCCGCTTGGGTGGGACAGAATTACCAAAGTGTCCTCAGAGTCTCAAATTCGCTGCTCCGTAGGCTCCTGACGGTGTTCTATCACTCGGTACGCACCGTTTCACTTATTACCAAATACTTTTTCCTCTTCTTTTTTTCATAATGAATTATTTTTGGGTTTAATTAATTTTGGGTTTGGGGATTGTGGTGGCAGGGAACGCTGAGAGAATTGGTCAAGGCAGTGCAAAGCGAGGTGAAGGAGGGGGATCTGTTGAAGGATTTTCTTGAATTGGGCACCAATGATTTCAAAGGTTTGATCCAAATTCTCAAGGATTTGGGATTACAATACGGTCCCTCTACTCTGCACCAAGATTTATGACGTATATGTAGTTAATTTGTAATCCTTTTACTACACACAAAAGAAAACGACTCTTAATTTTTTTGTCTGTTGGGTTATTTGTATTTTCTTCTTGTATGTTTGATGAACTTGAAATGAAATGCTCCTTTATTTTAGAAATAATGAATAATTATAGTGTTATCCCCATTTGGAAAATTCATCATTTTTTTTACCACATCACTAACACATTTTTTAGGGAGGATAATTTCACTGCAGATGTTGTAGCTAATGTGGGTCATGGCCGAGGCTTCTGTGGTTTGGGAGCATAGTTTGGCCCTCTCAGTTGTATCTCCCTTCTAATTTGACCTCTTTGGGCTTTCTTGTCCCGGAGGTTTTGTTTTGTAACTTTCGTTTCCGTATTCAAAAAGGAACGCATTTTTTGAACATTGTACTTGCTCACCCCACTTAATCTTAGGTTACATTTGGATGGATGAATTTGACAAAAATGTTAAATTTGCTATTAAAAAAACAAGAACGAAATAAGATTGAATGTGTTTGAAATAACTAGATGTAGTACATTTGAAATGAATATATGCATTGAATCATTTGAAATCCATTTGTTTTCTTTCTTCCTTTCTTTCTCGTTCAAATCTTGGCATAAATGAAAATTTTGTGGATAATTTGGGAGTGTTAAACATTTTGCTCCAGCCCCAACTTCATTATCATCAGACAAGCTTACTCTGCAGAGTACTGGAAAAGGCCAATAAAGAATTGATTAATGAGATCCAGCAGCTCGGGCACAGCATCAGCTGCAATTTTTGCCAGCTTATAACTTATCTGTGAAAAGTGAAGGCCAGAATCAAACCAAGGCCGTAAATACAGTAACATAACACACAAAGCAGAGGTGATCATTACGGTAATCAAATTTGACAGCACTGTACGGTCAAGTTCCTCTCTGTAAGCACCCAACAAGGTAAGCGATGAAGCAAAAGACTGCTGGCAAGCCATAAAAAGGAAAAATGAATCATCCAAAATTCCTGTCAAAGGAAATTTTTTTTGATGAAAACTAATGTTTAGTTTGAGCGCCATTGTGGTGTTAGTTGGATTGGCTCATGTCTTTGGTGTGCTCCTAAGTGGTCATAAGTTCAAGCCTCAATAATACCCGTGTGTGTGAGTTTCCTTTTCCCCCTTCCTAACTTAGGCCAAATTATTTTTTCAGTCTGAGCCATATATCCAAAATCCCACTCGAGTAGAATTGTGCCTGCCATTTATTAATGTCCAGTCTGAGCCATACTAACGGTTGCTGTGAGGCTAAAGTTCATGCTAAAATACTATGATTAAGGTCCGCATAATTGGGCCAATAACCAACAAAGCAAACGAATGTTAACTTGCGTACCAAGAAGACCCGGCCGGCTCCTGTCCGCTTAAAACCCTGAAGACCCGGCCCACTCCCCTCCGCTTAAAACCCTAACTCTCTCTCTCTCTCTCTCTCTCTCTCTCTCTCTCTCTCTCTCTCAGAGTTTCCTTCCACAGCCAGCCATGGTGAAGCACTACAGGCCTCCCGTAAGTTCTAAAATCTCTTCGATAAGTTGTTCGGCTATATCATCAATCACTATTCACTAACACTTAGACGCACGCATGCAGCTGCTTAATTTTCTTTTCGTGTCTTCTTTCAGGGCAAGAAAAACGAAGGTAATGCTGCAAGGTTCATCACCAGGTCAAAAGCCATCAAGCAACTTCAAGTCAGTCTACCCCTCTTCAGGTCTGTCTCTCTTTCTCTCCATCTTCCCTTCCCCATATATACCTACCTTCAGATCAAGGACAGATTAAACTTGTAATTCGTATATTCGTTCATTCTCATATCAGTTTATATGTAACTTCCGCATATATTTGTTGGAAATCAATAAGAAAATAATTTTCCGGTCTTGTACATATTACGCAATAGTATTTCATGATGATTTTTATGGCTATGCATGCAAATTTTAGGAAAGTATGTATTCTGAAGGGGATATTCCCTCGGGAGCCAAAGAAGAAGGTGAAAGGAAATCACCATACTTATTATCACTTAAAGGATGTTTCATACATCCAACATGAACCATTACTCGAGCGCTTGAGAGAGATCAGGGCTTATCAACACAAAGTAAAGAAAGCCGAGGCCAAGAAGAACCCGGATCGTGCTACTCTTCTCAGACAAAGAAGTCCTGCTTACAAATTAGACAAAATTGTTTTGCAGAGGTTAACTTTTAATTATTCTTATTCAAAATAAATAAAAACTATGCTCATTTTGCTTCTTTCTCTCTCATTGTATGTAATTGTTATGTTCCATGAAATTGCAGGTATCCGAAATTCCTTGATGCTCTTAGAGATTTGGATGACTGTCTCACAATGGTTCACCTCTTTGCCGCCTTACCTGCTATTGAGGGCTGTATTGAAGTGAAACGTATCCATAACTGTCGGAGGTGAGGCTGGATTTGGAGCATATGAAATAACAATTATGTTGAACAGCATCATTCCATGCACCAGTTCATGTTTCCGAGTCTGATTATCTTAGGCCTTTTGTTGCTTTCATTTTTTTTTCCAGGTTGGCTCATGAATGGCAAGCTTACATATCCCGTACTCATAGATTGCGTAAAGTCTTTGTGTCTGTTAAAGGCATATATTATCAGGTGCAGTATCATACTGTATATATATCACTGCTTCTTTAAATGTTTAACTGTGGCATCTTTCGGGTAGGGAGGATTTATACGGTAGCGTTGTGTTGTTTGTCGATGCAGGCCGAGGTCAAAGGGCAAAAGGTCACATGGTTGGCTCCTCACCCTTTGCAGCAAGTTGTGACGGATGATGATGACTTCAATATCATGCTAAACTTTTTGGAGTTTTACGAGGTTTCATTCTTTTATTCTTCTATTTTAGTTTTTTCTTCAATCAGTATATGTGCTAGCCGTAAATGTTATTTGGTATCCATTAAGCAGCTTCTTTTGCTTTCCTTCCAATGAACCGATTACTTGATCATCTTGATCATACACGAGTTGTAATATTCATCAAGCTTCTTCTTTCCTTTTCTTATAAGAAGTTTTTGCTCACTCGGTGCAGGCTCTTCTTGCCTTTGCGAATTGTCATTTATATCATTCAATAAATGTGAAGTATCCACCCATTCTTGATCCTCGATTGGAAGCTTTAGCAGCAGGTATGCAATGCATTTTTACTAGTTGCTTAAGAGAAGCTACGAGGTCCTTATCTTCTCTCTTGGCAATGTTGAGTTGTGGATCTTTTGTGTGTTAATGGAGCATGAATATTATTTAGTTTGATTGTAGATCATTATGCTCTATCAAGGTATTTCGATGCAAACTCTCGATCCTCTGCGTGGGATAGCCAATATTCAAGTTTGTCTGGATCTGGGAAAGTTGAGAGCCAGCAGATTGGGCCTTTGGTGGATGAGTCTGAACTAAGACTTGCCCAACTGCAGAATCAACTCTCCTCAAATGAACCTGGTGCATTGATGCACCTTGTGGAGGATGTTCCAGGCGAGGATGAAGAGGATAATGATACGAGGGAGTGCAAGAAACTCTTCAAAGATATGAAATTTTTCTTGAACCGTGAGGTAAGTCCTAAAGTCTTACATCAGAGATTTCAGAATCATAATTTTTTTTTTCTTTTTTGAAACTTATTTTCTTACCTTTAATATGTGTCACTCAATTTTCTCATGCTATTTCTTTCTTTTAGTTGATCGGCAGTAGAATAACTTGTGCGTGTAATTTATCTATGTTCAGGTTTACAGAGATTCTCTGCTTTTTGTCATACCTGCTTTCGGTGGAATTGTTTCCTGGCAAGGAGATGGGGCTCCCTTTGAGGAAGATGATGACAGCATCACCCATCAGGTATTCTGCTACAATATCTTTATGCCGAGTCATTGATTTGTTAAGACATCACACTCGGACAACATGTATGTACTGTCTCTTGCCAAAAAAGAAAAAAGAAAAAACCAAAATCGGTCTTTAGTATGACAATTCTGACAGCTAGACTGCTTGTGTGTTCTGCAGATTATTGACAGGCCAAGGCAGGATGGGAAGATCTGTGGTAGAGAATATGTTCACCCACAGTGGGTTTATGATTGTGTAAATGCTCGGATCATTTTACCAACTGGGGATTATTTGGTGGGAAGGTAATCATGAAGGACAATTTTTCTTATTTGCATGTGTTGTTAATCTCTCTGCCTTGCACCATGATGAAATGACTGGTTATAAGACTCATTTTCTATGGTCTGCTTCCTTTCCTAGCTGTGTTTTTCATTTCTCTATTGGCTAATAAAAGTTCATGACTTGTAAGATGATTGATTTAGTGCTCTTTTTAAAAGGGATCCTCCTCCACACTTGTCACCTTTTGTTGACAATGACTCTTTCGAGACCGAAGGTGTTATTAACCCAGCAGAAGCAGAAGCAGAAGCTGCAAGGGAAAAGCGGAAGAAGGTAGGCAGGTTTTAAATTTCTGCTATTTTATTTTATGATGTGATCATGATGTGATCATATGACAGCATTATTTTATGGCGTGATGCATGCAGATGAAGGCTCATGAGAAGCAGCATCATCATGAATTAATTATGGAACTTGAGGGTATCACAGACTCATCATCTATCTTGAATATAGATAATCTGAGCTCTGATAGGGAAGAACCTGATCATGATTATGAACAAGTTAAGGAGGATAACAGAATTATGTCTGTAATTGAATTGTCACGTCAGTTCAGGGGGATTATTGAAGGCATGAGGGTAAGTTTGTTAATGCTATCATGCAACTTTTATTGGTCTCTCAAGTGTGACATTAATAATTAAACAGGTCAAAACAGCAGTTCGAAATCAGATCGGAAAACTTATGTTTGGTTTGATTCCATTGTGAACCTGTTTTGAGATTTGAATTCCCGGCTTGAACAAGAGTTATGTGTGAATTCAAATGCTGTGTTTTCTTTAATAGAAAATTGTGTCTCACTTGCCATTAATTTTTATAAGTTTTATGTTTCTTTAGAACTCCAGAAGCTACCTCTTTGTTTGATCTTGTAAATGTAATAGATAATATTTTGTCCTGGATATCTGATTCTTGGATGTTTCTTCATTCAGATAAGCAGGCAACGAAAGAAGCACCTTAATGATGTTATTAGGCAACGGAGGAGAAACATTAGAACATGAAGATCTGAACTTCTTTTGTCACGTCGGATCAGGAGGGTTACTAAGGATAATCACTATCTAGGAATTGCTTGAGATTAAGAGCCCTATGGTTAAATTTGGTAGTTCTGCAATTCATATATATATATATATATATAAAATACATATATAATAACTATATAGGATTTGCTTGAATATTCCTTTATTTACAGCTTTCACTCACCTAATCAGAAGCGTTTTTGCTAGTAACTTATTTATTAATAAGAATTCAAGTGCTTCCTGAAAAAATATGAGCCAGGTAGGCGCTATGTGTTTTCACTTTTTTGTTTTGAGTACAAGCGATAGTTTAAAGTACTCACACACGCACAACTATGATGCCATTCAAACCTGAAACCTCTGGTCTGCAAGTTAAGACCCTTTTTCACTGGGATAGATCCCATTGGCATGTGTTTTCACTTTTAGATATAGAGAGTTTAGCAGTGCTTGAGTGCCTCTGGACCCAGGCTTCCCCAAAACCTATCTTTTGGTAATCAATAGAAGATTTGAAGAAGACAGTTGAGTTGATTTTGCTGGATATATCCTGGCCGTAATAGGAGAATAGTGACCCGTTGCTCATAAATAGGTCATGTGGTGGGTGACGAAATTCAAGTCTCTCAAGACAAATATTTGATAGTGATGTTGTGATGAGCTCAACCACCTTTCTTCAATTGTGTCACTCCTTTCAACCAAAAACTCTTTTCTTAGTGCTAAATATCACGTGATTTTTAATGCTATCATTTCCTCATCTTATCCCTTCTGAGATTAGCCCATAGTTCCATTTGATGTATTAAGTTTTAGCAATGAAATGAGGTCTTGGACTGGTGCTGCTCTCATTCAAATTCTGATCTTGTTTACTATTTCAAGATTTAGCTATTTGTCCCAAGCTACAGCCTACAAGCAAGTTTTAGAATAACAAAATGTGTTAAACAAACAGTAATTCATACTTACAATAACAAGAAATAGACAAATTTTTTTACTTACACAAATTCACAACCAAACTCCCAACTTGACGATATCTTTCGCCTAAATCGCACGGAGGCATTGTTACAAAAAGAGGGGCAATGCCCCGGCTCTGATTCACTATAAAGAGCGTGAGATAGAATGAATGAATTTGCTGAAAAGATAAAGCGATCATACAAGTTCTATCTTTCTTTCTTTTTTTTCCTTTTTTTCAGGCCCTATGTTAAAGCAGATTTATAATGTCTTTGATAGCTTTGCGGTGCACACCTATATATGCCAACTGCTCCGGGACCATTGTGGATTGATGAGAAAAATCATGATAAAAATAGTTGGTTTCTATGGAGGTGAGGGCTTTCAACTTATGCCACCTTTCTTTCCCTTCTGAGTCAACTTAAAAAGGTTGACTTTAAAACCCAAACAAAAGAGAGCTTAAAAAGGTTTGACTCAACACCCCCTTCAAGTTGACCAGAAAAACGTGTCCAAACTCCAGTTGACTGACGATATCTGCATCATGAATATCCCTTTCTAATTTCACTATGGTTTGCTTCTCTTTTGTGGGTTTAAATTTAATAAAGGAAAAATTTGAAAGACTTGTTTTTGGGGTTACTCGGCTTATTTGTAGTTAGGTGTTTACTGTTTTGGCCAAAAAAAGAAGTTAGATTCATACTGCTCCTCATGTTTTGGGTAGCTGGGTTTGCTTCTTTTGTAGTTGGCTTTCACTACATTGTTCATTTGTTTGTCTTCTCCTCCACATGAAAAGGAAACCACCGACGCCATAAGTCAATGACAACTTAGCTAGCAGAGACATCTTTTCTCACCAACTGCGTTTCTTATTTCTTCTTGATCTTGTTATAGGGAGATGGTGGTAAAGGCTTTTTTCTTTACACGGTATGCAATGACTTGGTCCCCCCCAAAAACATTTAATTTGGCCACCCTCCCACATTAAATGGCATGTGGGTTGGTGCATTTTTGTATAACATGTTCAACACCAATGTCATTGCTCGACAGCTTCTTTGCTCTCTGCACAGCATTCAATTAGGTCACTGTAGTCTTGAATCTCAGCCCTTGAAGTGATCTCTTCCCCATGACCTTTTTTCAAAGATCATAATACATAGCGCGCTCTCTCTCTCTCTCTCTCTCAATTTGCTTCATCAGCTCTGCAATGCACTAATTGGTGATGAGCCAAAGTAAACGATGGACAGAAAGACTGTCTCAGAGGGCCACAGAGCTCTAGAAGATTGACTGTGCACATTGAATTAATTTCTTTGATACAAATGATAGTCTAAACTACTCTAAATTATAACCTAAACTACGGAAGAGATACTCGAATTTGGATGCAAGGGTGCTGCACATATAATTAGTAACATACTCATTTAGGATTAAACATTAATTATTTATCATTTAGTTTATCAATGTCATTGATGAACATATATGGTGGTCCCTTTCAACGTCCAAATTGGTCTCCAATTTCTGTTGTCAATGGCTCACCTTCACCTTTGGTAAAAATAGGTTAGAGAACAAACCTAGCTAGAAGCTAATGGTGTCTAAATTTAGCTAGGATCCTAGGAACTACACAAATTTGCATGGAAAGCCAGTGGTGCCTTGCTGATTAATTACAGATTGAATGTCATTGAGATTAGTTACAACACTGTGATGAAATGCAAGAGCAATAAGTTATTGGAATTCAAAAACTTATGAGAATTCAGAGCAGATAGCAGAGAGAGAGAGAGAGAGAGAGAGAGAGAGAGAGAGAGAGGTGTCAGAGCTGGCCTTTGCCATAGACAGTCTCACATTATATCCGCGTGAAATTAATGCATCGAACTAACTCTCTCAACTGTAAAAGCTATGTCGACATGTCCAATCTCATTTGCTTTGGCTGGCATCCCACTATTATATATACTCATGCACCTTGCTTTTAAGTTCCTCACACGCACATCATATCTACCTTTCCATATTCTTGGTCATTTTCATTCCTTGCTATCCTCAAGTTTTTATTGCTAAATTTGGGCCAATGGTGAACAAAATGTGGGCGTTGTGTTTGGTTGTGGTTTTGGCGTTGAACTTGTGGTGCAATATTGGGGCTAGAGCTGCACCACAAGTGCCTTGCTACTTCATATTTGGAGACTCCTTGGTCGATAATGGCAATAATAACCAGCTTCAGTCCTTGGCCAGGGCTGATTATTTGCCTTATGGGATCGACTTTGGTGGACCTACTGGAAGATTTTCCAACGGCAAAACCACTGTTGATGTTGTTGGTAAGCTCCCACCGCCCTTCTCTCTCTCTCTCTCTCTCTCTCTCTCTCTCTCTCTCTCCTCTCTCTCTCTCTCTCTCTCTCCCCCCATAGTATCATTTTCTGCTAACTTGTTAATGATCACGTAATCTCTTTAGTTGCCTCATCTAATCATGCTCTAGGAAGTAGAGTTAAGCGTTTTGGTAATGGGATTTTGAAACTAAGACTTCTCTGTGTGTCTTGGATTTCGGATGCATGCAGCCTTTATGATTATCATCTGCATTCTGAGGGACCATTTGTTAAAGTACCATGCTTCTCCCTATTCATTTTTTTGAAAATAAAATAACAATAAAGAATGCTATAGTAGTTCTCAACCCATCTGCCTTCCTCATTTATGACATTTAAGAGTGAAATTTATTTCTCTGAGCCTTTCATCTGTTGCTTTCTAAAAAACCCAGAAATCACAAAAATAAACTACATGGTCACATAATTCAAGATCAGGAAAAGAAATCTGCTTGTGTAAAACGTAAAAAACCAAAACAGTAAAATTCAGCATTACTCTATATGATATATGTACTGATGATCAAGTGTCCTTCAAATTATCTGCAGCTGAGCTTTTGGGTTTTGATGATTATATTCCACCCTATGCAACTGCTAGAGGCCAAGACATACTCAAAGGAGTAAACTTTGCATCTGCAGCTGCTGGGATTAGAGAGGAAACTGGACGTCAATTGGTAATTACAACTTTTTTCATGACACATATATTCACTAAAACATAATTATGCATGTGTTTATAATGTTAATTATATTCTAATCATGTTTTTGAATGTTGCAGGGAGGCCGGATTACATTTAGTGGTCAGGTAAAGAATTACCAGAACGTAGTGTCCCAAGTTGTAAACTTACTTGGCGATGAGGACCAAGCTGCAAATTATCTGGGTAAATGCATATACTCAGTTGGGTTAGGCAGCAATGATTACCTCAACAACTATTTCATGCCACAATTTTACTCCACCGGCAACCAATTTACTCCCGAGGAATATGCTAATTCTCTTATCCAAGATTACAGTCAACAACTAAGGGTTAGTCTTTCTCCCCATTCCATTCATTTGTTGTGCATTTAGGTTCATCAAAAACATTTTTTATGGTTACTTCTGACATCTTATATTGCCCGACAATTTGATGAGAGAACATTTCTTATTAATCTTGTATGAATTTTGATAACTGTGAGCTCAAATCTAGTCCAAGTTTAAAATGGGCCTTAAGTTATTCTCTCACCAAGCCCATCTTTGAGTTGACATTTGGGCCTTCTTGGGGTCGAGTTCTATTTATGTATACAGTTGTAGATGGGTATGTATGTACTTGGGTACTTGTTTCATGTGCATGCATACATTATACATACATACATATATACCTATACACAGCCAGTTTCCATTATTTGGTTTTCTTTACAAGAATTATACTTTTAATTGTTGAATGCTGATTGGCGTGTGTTGTATAGATTTTGTACAATTATGGAGCAAGGAAGATTGTGTTGTTTGGAATTGGTCAAATAGGATGCAGTCCAAATGAATTGGCCCAAAATAGCCCAGATGGTGCATCATGCGTAGAAAAAATTAACTCCGCAAACCAAATTTTTAATAGCAAGCTGAAGGCACTTGCCAATGAATTCAACACTAACCTATCAGATGCAAGAGTTATCTTCGTAGACTCTTATGGCATTTTCCAGGACATAATAACCAGCCCTGCACAATATGGTAAATACAAGGGCTAATTACAAAACCCCCTCTTTTATTCAACTTCGAAATACAACTGTTTTATTTTGTGACATTTCTACTGTATTTGATCTTCTTCTTTTAGTTCATTCCATTCAAATTAACGAAAAAGCGGTCACATAACCAGTTAAGTAATGAAGTAGCTTGGTCACATCCCGCTTTTTCGTTAATTTTTACAGAATCAATTAAAGGTACATTTGTCACAAAAACAAATATTACTTAAAACTTAGTGGTAATTTTTATTTTAACTTTTTAACTTTTAGGAGAACAATTATGTGACGCGATTGGAACGTTCTTTTTTTCTTTGTTTGTTTTGATTTCAGGATTTAGAGTTACAAACGCAGGGTGCTGTGGGGTAGGGAGGAACAATGGCCAAATTACATGTCTTCCTCTCCAAACTCCATGCCAAAATAGGAATGAGTATCTGTTTTGGGATGCATTTCATCCAACTGAGGCCGGAAACAACGTCGTAGCAAGGAGAGCATACAGCGCTGTTCGTGCCTCGGACGCTTACCCTGTCGATATTCGCCGGCTCGCTCTGCTTTAATCAAATCCTCCTCCTGTACATTTTGAATCAATGGTTGCAGTGACATATAATCATGCATGCACCATAAGATTCAAAAGAGAAAAACAACTTAGCTACTATATATTAACATATGTTATATATATCATGCATTAGGACATGGTATTCTTTGTTGCAGTGATCGTGTGTTTGGTCTTTAGAATTTTGAGATGTTCATCAAATTTGTGATCTTCTTCTTCTTGTGTACTGAAAGGTTTAAATTATATCAATACGAAAATGAGTTTGTTTGGCTGTGAATATGAGTTTGCATGGACGTACGGCACCGACCTTGTCTCAATTATTTTCTAACTATTTTTTTCCTAATAAAAACAGGGAGAACATATATATATATATATACAGTATATAGATGTAGGTTGAATAGGTGAATTGCAATATCACAGCGTCATCCCCACCACCACTGTGATATGATGTCATTGTCGAAAGACAATCACTTGTCTTTGCTTTTGAAAAAATTTCTTGGCACACCGTTCACGTTTTTACACAGGAATAATTTAAACTTTTTTGTTCAAAACATCCTACAATAACATTTATGTAAGCCACAACTTTTTACTTTTAGATTAACTTTTTGACACACATTATATTTCCAAAGATATTCATTTTGTTTGAAAAAAATAAATAAATGTATATATAAATCAGATCCAATCTCAACCGTTCAGTGTTTAAATCCAATGATCTAAAATGTGTGTGAAAAATGTGTCCCGGGATTCTGACGATATATATATAAAATGGTAGGGTTGGATTCAGAGTGACATGATTACTAGCTAGGGTTTTGGAGTGTGAGAAGACAAAATAAGATATTTCATTGTATATTAGTTGAGCTTTCATGCATCCGGCAGACGCTGGAAAGACTGTTATTTTGCCTGCTAGCTGCGAAGATAAGTAGGGCATGCTTTTATGGATTGTTTGTCGTCCTGTTAGTTTTGGCTACAGGCACCAGGCAATGTGGGAAACGTGAAAACTATTTTAATAATAAGAGCTAATAATTCACTTTCTTTTATGTAATCAGCATAAATCAGAGCCACATATATATTTACTAGTACTTGCATATACAGTATAGTCAACAACCCATACGCTTTATGGGTGCGGCTCTTGAAAACCGGATACTATTCTGATTTTGACTTCAAGGATGCTGTGCTGGCTGGGAAGTAGATCCTCTTGGATCTGGTCGAGCAGTTAGGTGGCAAAGATGCTGTTATGAGTAAAGCTAGAAGGCTTATTATGAATGGTGAAAGCACCATCATTTGGTCTGATAATTGGGTCACTCAGATTGGAGTCATTGTTTTCTAATATTACTGCCTGTGGCAGCTACTTTCTCTTGGAGCTACCGTTTGTCAAGAATACTATTTCGATTCTTTCTGCCAACAAGACACAGCAAGGCTTGTAATTTATTCTTGCCTAACTTGATAATGTCAATTTAGGCATGAGGCTTAAAATTGCCTATGTGGTTTAGGCAATTTTGCTTGTGGTGTTCTGTCAAATCTTCAATTTTCGTCAATTTTGTGTAAGGTGAAGTTTACGTATGCGTCGCGTCACGTGCAAAAGTATTATTTTGTACCTATTTCATTATTGGGTCTCAATAATTGTGTGCAATAAAAAATACACGACTGATTTTTACCACCATTTGTGGTATTAAGCCTTTTCATAATGCAGTTGGTCCTTAGTCTGACAGTTCCATTATCCTAGCCCATAAAAGTAGCCACTCTGGCTTTCGTTTTCTGCCTCATTCTTTTCCATTCCTTAATCTTGACTTAAAATAATTTTACCAATTCGTTCTTCTGTTTTCTGTGTTCAAAATGGCTTGTGGCATGAAACTATTGTTGGTAGCAACTGCTCTATATTTGGTGTTGAACACTCAACATTTGGTCAGGGAAAGCCACAGGTGCGAGAGCCACAGGTACCCTGCTTTTTCATATTTGGAGACTCTGTGTCTGATAATGGCAACAACAACTTGCTTCCCACATTTGCCAAAGTCAACTACAGTCCCTATGGCGTTGACTTTCCTCAGGGCCCAACAGGAAGGTTCTGCAATGGCCGAAACATAGTTGATGTGCTTGGTCTGGACCTCTCTTTTACCTTCATCTTCTTATTTGGTTTTTGCTTCAATATGCAAATTGCTTTGAGATAAGATTGTTTACTTTGTAGTTTATGTTCTGTTTTCAAAAGGGTAGCTGTATAAAATTATATTCTCCTGTATTTTGGTAGAAAAACTTGTGTGAAACGGGGATAGCCAATCATGGTATGCCAAGTGCAAAACAGTGATATCCCCGTTCCACACAAGTGTTTCTCGCATTTTGGGGTCCTTTAATTGTGTTTAAAAGATATAAACACAAGACTGGTTTGTGCTAATTGAACATTTTCTCATTACAGCTGAGCTTCTGGGATTTGAAAACTACATTCCACCATTTGCTTATGCCAATGGCTCTGAAATAGTTAAAGGCGTGAATTATGCATCTGGTGCAGCAGGAATTCGAAAAGAAAGTGGGAGGCAGTTGGTATATACTTAAATCACTTGATTAACTTTTTCATTTGACAGGTTAATTTCCAGTGTCTAATTATCGAGCACTTAAAAATTTGCTATTGCAGGGTGCACGTATCAGCATGGGAGAACAGCTGAAGAATCACAGAACCACAGTCTTGCGAATTATCGACATACTTGGGAAGAGAAGCTTAGCCAAAAAGCAATTAAACAAGTGCTTATATTCAGTTGGTATGGGCAGCAATGACTACATTAACAATTACTTCCTGCCTCAGTATTACCAGACCAGTAAAAAATATACCCTCGAGGAATATGCAGAAGTTCTTATCAAACAATACACCCAGCAAATACTGGTTAGTAAATGCATGAATTGTTTTTCCAAATTTCATTGAGATTAAATGAATTTGATTGAAACAACCAAAACAACAACAAAATTTGATTCATTTGCTTGATGTATTATGTTTTGATGTTTTGAAAGAGGTTGCGCAAGTATGGAGCAAGGAAGGTTTCTTTGGTTGGCCTGGGGCTAATTGGCTGCACCCCAGATGCAATTAAGACCTATGGCACCAATGGATCTTCTTGTGTGGAAAAATTGAACAATGCATCCCAACAATTTAATCAAAAGCTTGTGGCTCTTGTTGATAAGCTCAACACCAATTTTACTGATTCAAAATTCATCTATGTCAACAGCTATGAAATGGGCTCAGGGGACCCTACATTAGTTGGTACATATAATTCAATTCTGAATATCTCTCTCCTTTTTCTGTTTTTTTTTTCTGCTATATTAAGTATGGAATTGAAGCCAACGGGGTCTAGCCTAGTGCTTTGAGATTCAAACCCCCAGGGTACCTTGTCAGTGTGTGTGATAAACCCCCTCCCCTTTTTAACTTCGGAAAAAGAAAAAAAAGAGAGTATGAAATTGAATATTTGTTTTTGTTTTGGTTTTGGTTTTACAATTTCAGGGTTCAAGGTTTTGGATGCTGGGTGCTGTGAAGTGGATCAATATGGTCAATGTGCTCCTAACAAAACTCCATGCCAGAATAGGACTGATTATGTTTTCTGGGACGGATTTCATCCTAGTGAGGCCTCCAATTTAATCACTGCCAGCAGAACCTACTCAGCTTATAACGCTTCAGACACTTATCCAATGGATATCAGTCACTTAGTTCAGCTACAGCTTGAGCCTCAAGTCACGGCGATCTAGTTACCTAGAAGCCTAGAATCCTTGCAAATAAAATTCATGTGAAATCTTTTCTTCATCCAAGCAACAAATATGTTTGTTGCTAGATAAGAATGTAATTGTCACATATCATATGCATTTTTTCCGTTGATAAGTTGGGTTTTACCAACTAACTTTTGATCTAATGGTACTTCATTTTCCAATTTTGGACACGATATTAAGTTCGAATCTTCCCTCCCAACAATTGAAAAAGAAAAAAAAAAGTGAGTTTGGTTATTGGTACCTAGCTATTTGATTAATATTTCTCTCAAAAAAGAAGAAGTTCTAGGGCTTTAGATGGACTTTAGCAAAAGTCAATGGACCATGGGCTGGCTCAAAAAACCTATGCATGGGATGAACTCGTTCATGATCTCTTTTCCATTTTGGCCCATTTTAAAGGGCTTACCCGAGTGAACAAGTTGTCGGGTCGGGTCGGTACATGCTGAAAGCTTGCTCGTCAATAGCTTAGGTATTTCTGTTTCTCTTAAAAAATAGGGCTTGTCCAATATAGATCCATACATTTTCTATTTCCTAGACATATACCTATCACTTTATAAATCTATGTGTAAAACCCAATTTCAAATTTAAATGACCAGTAGAATATAAGAGGTCGTAGCATTTATATGTTTTTACATCGTTGCCACTAAACTTCATATTTTATTTATAATTTATTTCAAGCATTTCATTAACTATCATAATTGTAATTAATATACTCCCTATTAATAGCATATCAATCACCCCATTTCTTATAGTTGTCATTCCCTCTCACATCTCGCCCCCAAATTAAAATAAAAAAAACAAAAAAAAAAAAAAAAAAAAATAAATAAAAATATCCAATTAATATACTTATGAAAATTATAATATAAATATAGGGCTTGTCCAATATAGACCCCTACATTTTCTATTTCCTAGACATATACCCATCACTCTATAAATCTTTGGGTAAAACCCAATTTCAAATTTAAATGACCAGTAGGTATATTGGATGTCATATAATGTAAGTATATTAGAATAGATAATTATGTACACTTTTCATACTAGGTAAATTATATTTTTCATAAAACAAACAAGTAATAGGTACATTATTTTTTCAACATAATCAGTATGTACAGTTTTATTCATAAACAATTATAAAGTGGATTATTAGTCATGTATAATTCATAAAAAGAAAATAACATAAACATTTTATTAAACAAACCGATTACCCAAATTTGAATTTATTGTTAATTTTTTTTTTAAATGTTTCAAAATTAATTCTTACATCCATTACAACCATTTGGAGATCTTTCCAAATTCAACATCTGTCATTATATACAATCCAATTAAAAACTATTTCCATATTGATTCCTACATTAATATACAAAATGCAATAATGGCTTAGTTGGGGGTATTTTTGGAATATGAAAAGTACAATAAATCAGATTTTATGCTTAATTAGGTAACTTGCTGAGTTAGATCCTAGTCATGGGTTTTTACTTATACAAATTGGGTATTATTTATAGGAACAAAAAGTGAAGGTTTTAGGTACGGCAAATTGAATTTGAAGGGTGTAAGCCAAATTTACTATATAAATATATACATATAAAATATAGGTATCCAATAATTACATATCCAATAAATAGGTACATTATTTAGATAAATAATAGGTACTTTATTCGTAGTAGGTATATTATTCAAATGGTAGGTACATTGGATGCCATATAATACCTAAATCCTAATTGTAAGTACATTAAAATTAATGTAGGTATATTGGATGTCGTATAATGTAGGTATATTGGAATAGATAATTATGTACACTTTTCATACTAGGTAAATTATATTTTTCATAAAACAAACAAGTAATAGGTACATTATTTTTTCAACATAATTAGTATGTATAGTTTTATTCATAAACAATTATAAAGTGAATTATTAGTCATGTATAATTCATAAAAAGAAAATAACATAAGCATTTTATTAAACAAACCGATTACCAAAATTTGAATTTATTGTTAAATTTTTTTAAAAAATGTTTCAAAATTAATTCCTACATCCATTACAACCATTTGGAGATCTTTCCAAATTCAACATCTGTCATTATATACAATTCAATTAAAAACTGTTTCTATATTGATTCCTACATTAATATACAAAATGCAATAATGGCTTAGTTGGGGGTATTTTTGGAATCTAAAAAGTACAATAAATCAGATTTTATGCTTAATTAGGTAACTTGCTGAGTTGAATCCTAGTCATGGGTTTTTACTTATACAAATTGGGTATTATTTATAGGAACAAAAAGTAAAGGGTTTTAGGTACGGCAAATTGAATTTGAAGGGTGTAAGCCAAATTTACTATAAAAAATAAAATAAGACTACAGTTAACGAACCATGAACTGGCAAGTCTGAGTTGACCAATTAGTAATCAATCAATCAAAACCTCCACAGCACATTCTTTTGATGGGTTACAAAACTGAAATCTGAAACAATTGGATGGACAAAACTGGCTCCTCTCTATAAATGCTCTCTCCTGCCTCCTTTGTTTTGTCATAATTTCATAATGGCAAAAGAGATAGCATTAGGGTTCATCCTGATTGTTGTTTTGGTGGTTTCAATTTCGCAATCTCGTCTTGTTAATGGAGCACCACAAGTACCTTGTTTTTTCATTTTTGGTGATTCATTGGCTGATAATGGCAATAATAACAACCTCCTGAGCTTTGCTAACGCCAACTACCAACCTTACGGGATTGATTTTCCAACAGGACCGACGGGAAGATTTTGCAATGGCCGGACCACAGTTGACATACTAGGTCTTGTATTGCATCACTCTTTTCTGAATCTCTTTAATTTAACGTGCTCGCTATAATTGTTGTTTGTTCACATATATTCTCCTCTTGTTTTCTTTGCTTATTGGTTTGAGCATGAGCATATATGTTTTCTAGGTCGTGCTAGGTTTAAACTTTCACGGTCACAAAATATTTAAGTTTACTTGATGCGTGTGGTTTGCAGATGATAACACGTATTTAGAACCATTTTTACTTAAAGAAAAAGTCGACCGTATTAACTTTCCTCGATGTGCAAATATAAGTACGGTTGCAAGCATGCAGGAATGAGGCTAATTACTATGACATGTTTACATTACAGCTCAACTGTTGGGTTTTGAGAACCCCATCCCATCATTTGCAGCTACTAGAGGCCCAGACATTTTAAAAGGTCTGAACTACGCATCAGGCTCGGCAGGAATTCGAGCAGAAACTGGCTTCCAAATGGTACGTAATTACTAATTAATCACAATAACATGACTTATTATATACATGCAAACCATAGCTAATTAAAAAAAATTAACCTCCATGCAGGGTGCTCGTATCAGCTTAGATCAGCAGCTACAAAATCACCAAGTCACAGTCTCACGCATTGCTTCCACACTTGGAAATAACCAATCGGCTTTGCAGTATTTAAACAAATGCTTATATTCAGTGGGAATGGGCAGCAATGACTACATAAACAACTATTTCCTGCCTCAATATTATGACACCAGTCGCATATATAATCCTGAACAGTACGCCACAGTTCTTATTGATAAATATTCTCGTCAAATAGCGGTTAGTAATTATTAATTTGGCTTTAAAAAGACTATATTATCATATTTAATTGAAAATTTACTGTTAATTTGTTTCATATTGTTTTAACAGAGCTTGTACAAGAATGGAGCGAGGAAGGTGGCCTTGATTGGATTGGGACCAATTGGCTGCACCCCAAATGCAATGTCAACATTTGGCACAAAAGGGTCCGCATGTGTGAATAATATGAACAGTGCGGTCCAATTTTTTAACCAAAAGCTTTTAGCTCTAGTCAATCAGCTAAACACCAATCTGACCGATGCAAAATTCATCTATGTCAACAGCTTTGGAATGGCTTCAGGGGACCCAGCAGCTGCTGGTACAAATACATTAATTCTTGGGACTAATTAACCATGCTTAATTAATACAAGTGACATTAATTAACAAATTAATTAATTCTTTTTGTTCGTTTTCAGGTTTCAAGGTTGTGAATGTTGGGTGCTGCCCAGTGAATAATTTGGGTCAATGTGCTGCTGGCCAAACTCCATGCCAGAATAGGAGTGAGTATGCGTTCTGGGACGGATTTCATCCTACTGAGGCTTTGAATCAAATCACTGCAAGAAGAACATACACCGAGTTTGATCCGTCCGACACTTATCCGTTGGATATCAGTCACCTTGTTCAGCTTAGTCTATCATCATGCGTGTAGCCCTAGAGGCCAAGCAAATAAATTTCACTGGGAAATTAATCTTCCCCATAGAATCTGATCAATGAATTGTTACCTGACATGGGATTAATATTTTATTGTCACCTCCGTTTGATAAAGTTTCAAAAGTGATCATATCTCGACAAGTAGAAGAAGTGGTCAAAATCTTTTTTTTTTCTTTCTTTCTTTCTTTTACAAACTATCACTATCGATATGCGATCGGTGAAAATCTAATTTAAAAGGATGCATTTGTAATTATGCCTTCAATCTTGATGTCATGAATTAGTTTCAACTTTTATACTTGAGGAAGTACTTTGACTTACAAAAAGCAAAATCAAACGTCAAACAATGAGCACTTTAGGTAGGCAATTTTATTTCTATATCACACGTGCTTTTGTAAAACTTGTCAAAAATAATTTGCATGTAGACATCATGATGTCCCTCTTTTAGACATGATTGAAGTTGGTTAGAGCTAGCTTCAATATCTTTGCCAATCTTGACTCAAATCATATCCATACCCTATGGGAGAATATTGGGAATAAAATCCTTTGCCCATGCCATCTCTGGTTGCCCAAAAATAAATAAAAAATTCATCCACAACCCTTTACCTTGTTAATTTCTCATATCGATCGTAAGCGTTATTATGGTTTAACCAAAATAAAATAAAATAAGCGTTAAAAATAAAATAAGCGTTATTGTGGCAAGTTTTCTTGTATTTTTGTCGATGACATTTAAATTAAAAAAAGGGCAAAGCTATCAATCTTGACTATATAGTTTGAGGAGCCCTCTAATTGCCCATTTGGCTTCACATATGCATGTAACGTTTCCAATTCCCTCTCTCTATAAATACTCCCCCTCCTGTCTCCATTTTCTTCACTTCTTAATTTGTATGCTTCCTCCTCCCCTGTCAGTGTTATAATTTCCATAATGGCAAAAGTGCCAACAGTATTGTTCATGATGGTCGTCTTTTTGGTGGATCCAATTCATGGAGCACCACAAGTTCCTTGTTTTTTCATTTTTGGTGATTCATTGGCCGATAATGGCAATAATAACAACCTCCTCACCAGAGCCAAAGTGAACTACCAGCCATACGGGATTGATTTTCTCACTGGACCAACCGGAAGGTTTTGCAACGGCCGGACCACCGTTGACATATTAGGTCTTATATATTTCCTCTCCCTTTCTAAATTTCTTTTATGTCTTTGTCCGTACATTGTTCTGTAATACTTCACATATATATACATATATTACAGCTCAACTTCTGGGTTTTGAGAATCTCATCCCACCATTTGCAACTAGCAATAAGGGTCCATACATTTTAAAAGGTCTGAATTATGCATCCGGCGCAGCAGGAATTCGAGTCGAAACTGGCTCCCAATTGGTAACTAGAACTAACATCATTGCAAATCAGCTTAATTAAATAAGTTATTAACATGTCACATTATATATTTTACCCTTGCAGGGTGGTCATATCAGCTTAGATCAGCAATTACTTAATCACCAAGTTACAGCCTTGCGCATTGCTTCCATATATACTCGGAAGTAAACAATCAGCTTTGCAGTATTTAAACAAATGCTTGTATTCAGTTGGAATGGGCAACAATGATTACATTAACAATTACTTCAAGCCTCAATTTTATCCCACCAGTCGCATGTACACCCTTGAACAATACACCACAGTTCTTATTGAACAATATTCTCGCCAAATGATGGTAATTAGTTACTAATTAATTTTCCATATGTCTTTGTGACTTGAACAAACAATTAATTAATTAAATTTATTGGTTTTGGAAGACTTTGTACGACAAGTATGGAGCAAGGAAGGTGGCCTTGGTTGGGCTGGGACTTATAGGCTGCACCCCAAATGCGATTTCAACATTTGGAACAAATGGGTCTGCATGTGTTGATAAATTGAACACTGCGGCCCAAATGTTTAACCAAAAGCTTGTATCTCTGGTCGATCAGCTCAACGCCAATCTGAGAGATGCAAAATTCATCTATGTCAACAGCTTTGGGATGGGGTCAGGCGACCCTGCAGCTGCTGGTACATACGTACGTACACATTATTTCTTGGGACCAATCTCTATTTTCCATGCTTCATATTATTATGAGGTGATTAATTATTTTGTTAATTAATTTCAGGATTTAAGGTTGTGAATGTTGGGTGCTGCCCAGTGAACAATATTGGTCAATGTGCTGCTGGAAAACTCCATGCCAAAATAGGAGTGAGTATGTGTTTTGGGATGGATTTCATCCTACTGAGGCCTTGAACCAGATCACTGCAATAAGAACTTACACTGCTTTTGATCCGTCCGATGCTTACCCAATGGATATCAGTCACCTCGTTCAGCTTAGGTTATAATCATGGAGCTTTTATGAGAAGTCATGCAAATAAACTTCACATAGAAATTGACCTTCCCCACATAATCTGATCAATAAATTGTTATTTGTAGGAATCTTTATATGGTGTGCGGCGCCTTTTGGTTTCATAACATTTTTTAGTCTCGGTTGATTTGGAATAACAACTTCCATAATGTACTAATCCAAATTTGGTTATATGAATTGTAGCACACATCATATTCGTCTAGCTTTCTAGTTATAAGTATAAGGATTTTGTAGTTTACGTAGTTAAGAGCATTTACCCCCTGCACTCGATATACTAAATTCAATTCCCCCTACATAAAAACAAAAATGTTTCATTTAAGTTGGAAGAAAATTTGATTGGAAATCCTTTCTTTTTTTTTGGGGGGGGGGCTCAATTGGAACTCTCCTTTTGATGAACAATACATGGCCATGGGTTTTATGGGTTTTATGGGCTTTAGCAGAACTCAGCAGACCATGGGCTGACTCAAACCTAGTTATGGACTGTCCCAACTCATTTATTAAGGACTTGTCTTAATTAAGCAAGTTTCTGTAGATGCCATGCTGTGCGCCCCTCCCAAGAATTCAATAGTGTGGGCTTTATATATGGTCCTTAGATGAAACCCTATTTCTTAGTCGCTGGATTAAATTAATTAGCTTGATTCAATAGTTAAGAGATAGGACCTTACCTAAAGGCCATATATAAGGCCCTCACTATAGAATGACTCGTGCCCCTCCTAGCTATGCTATCACTTCATGCTTGTTAATAACCTTAATTTGTTTTAATTTTAAATAAAAAAGTTAGATCAACCGAATCTGCAACACTTTTTTTGAGAAATTTTGCAGTGTTATATTCATACCTTAATGAATTTGTAATAATGAATTTGTCATTATGTTATCAGTTTCAACTTTTTACTATTCATCACTATTGTAATTAAAACCCATTTACCATGATAGCCCTAATTAGTCAATAACGACCGTTATCTATTTTCTTTGGTTTCTGAAAAAACGGAGGAAAAGAACTATAACCTCCATTCTGTATTATGGCGAGTTTTACTTAGGGTTAATTTTGTTTTGTAACGAAATTGACTCAAACAAGTCTTTGTGTCTCTAATTAGTAGTTTTTCATTGTATTTATGTGGTCAAGAGCACAACATGTTCGGCCTCACGAACATCCAAGTATTTAATAGAAAAAGAAAAACACTAAAAAAAAACCCAAAGTTACAATCCCTTTCTTTCTAATCCTATAATTAGCAGCTTACAATTCTTTGATAATGGCGACGAATGACACAGTAATATGGGACGTTGATGATTGTTGTTTTGGTGGTTTTCATATCACAATCTTGTGTTCATGGAGAATCGCAAGTGCCTTGTTTTTTCATTTTTGGTGATTCATTGGCGGATAATGGCAACAACAACCACCTCAAGACCCCGGCTAAAGCCAATTACCTGCCTTATGGAATTGATTTTCCCAAGGGACCAACAGGAAGATTTACCAACGGTCGAACCTTCGTTGATATAATAGGTCTTTTCTTTCTCTGCACTGCATACTATGAGAATTGCACATGTTTTATGTTATCATGTATTGGTATGGTGCATTACATTTGGCTTTAATGATCCCCAGATTGGAACTAGTGAGCCGTAAATTAACTCACGATTACCTTTAACTAGAACCTTGATACATGTAAATTTACTTGATATGTGTGGTTTGTAGATGACTTTACGTATAAATTTGAGGTCAGGGGGTCATGCATATTGTTTTTTTTATTTTTTATTTTTTTATGTGAGTAGTATAGATATCTATACATATTAATTAATAATAAATATATACGTTTGCAAGGCATTCACAAAATGAGGCTAAAATTAGAACATGGATCTTTACATCACAGCTGAACTTTTGGGTTTTGAGAACCCCATCCCATGCTTTGCAACTACCAGGCGGCCCAAGGACATGGTTAGAGGTCTGAATTATGCATCTGGCTCAGCAGGAATGCGAGATGAAACTGGCACCCATATGGTAATTAATCAAGAGTTAAATAATTTACACAACTTAATTATATAATTAAGCAAATTGATCTGTATATATAATTTTCTCCTTTTGCAGGGTGCTAATGTCAACTTGAATAAGCAGCTGCTGAATCACAAAGCTACAGTCAAGCACATTGCTTCTGTGATGGGGCATAAACAATCATCTAATAAGCACTATTTAAACAAGTGCTTATATTCAGTTGGAATGGGTAGCAATGACTACATGAACAATTACTTCCAGCCCAAGTTTTATCCCACCAGTACCAAATATACCCCTGAACAATATGCTACACTTCTCATCAAACAATATTCTCGCCAAATAAAGGTTAGCAATTAATTAACACCATGCACTTGTTTAATTAGTCTTTGAGACTTTGAAAGCAACTATATCAATACTAAATTTATTTTAAACACAAGACTTGTTTGTTATAAAGACTTTGTACATGTATGGAGCAAGGAAGGTGGCCTTGGTTGGATTGGGACAAGTAGGCTGCGCCCCATATTCAATTTCGACTGGAACAAATGGGTCTGCGTGCGTGGATAAAATGAACGATGCAGTTCAACTTTTCAACGAAAAGCTTAAGTCTCTCGTCGATCAGCTCACACCAATCTCACAGATGCAAAATTCATCTATGTTAACACTTATGGAATGTCCGGAAGTTCAGCGGATCGGACAACAACTGGTTTGTGGACTCTCTTTGTGCTATGATTTCTTTTAATTTCAATGTTTTCGAGTGCCATGAGCCGGTCAGGTCATGTGTGACGTTTTCACATAATATCTATATATATGATGTGAAAAATAGGTCATATATGACCAGCAGCCAGCTCGTATATACAAAATTAATTTCCTAGCTATATGATGGTTTCAGAAAGAATAAAAGTGACATTAATTAATTTGTTTTGTTTGATTTCAGGATTTAAGGTTTCGGACGTTAATTGTTGTCCAGTAAATGAAATAGGTCAATGTGTTCCTTCCGCAGCTCCATGCAAGAATAGGAGCGAGCATATGTTCTGGGACTTATTCCATCCTACTGAGATGGCCATTTAGTCACTGCAAGACGAGCATACAATTCTTCTAACCCGTCTGACACTTACCCAATGAATATTGGTCACCTAGCTCAACTTAGGCTATAACCATGGAGTTCTAGTAGCCAAGCACATAAATTTCAGATGGAAATTAATAGGGCACAAATGTTTTTTTTTGTTTGCCTTTAGGCTGAATAAATTATTATTTTAAAGACCCATCAAGTGAGGCTTCGCACACCTATTTAAATATATCCACTCTCTCTCTGATACGTATATATATGAAAATAGTTTGTACTCAGATTTACTTTCTTGTTCATCTCCTTGCTGTTTCTTTGCCCTTTTACCCCTCTCTTTACTCTTCTCAGCTTCTTGTTTGTTCTTTCCTCTTATCAGTTATTTTTTCCTTGATTTTCGTTCCCTGCAGGTAAGAATTTTCATCTCTTATATATATTTATATATATGAAGGAGGTCAAAGACTTTTAAATCAAGGGAGCTGATTTTCCCTCTCCTTTTTTCCTCCACTTACACTTCCTTTTGCTTTTTAATATTTTTAATCAATTTTGTTCTTTTTTGTTCTTTTTCTTTCCTTTTCTACCCTTATCCTATATTATTTATTTTTACTTCATTTTTATATTAGTTATTTTTCTTTATACTTAATTTTCCAGCTTTCCTCTATTTTCAGTTTTTTTTTCCTTTAATCGAGTAAGAAATAATTAACACTGTATATTTGTCTAGGCAAAATTACATGGTCCACCTACAAACACTCATGCCCCACGAATAAACCTTGCCATAGTTTTTTTGTTTTTTTGAAGGAAACAAATTTTAGGTGGCCACAAAGAAACAGAAATGCATCTAACTATACATTTTTACATTTTATTTTTTCATGTTCCTCTCCCTCTTCTCCCTCTCTTCACCATCATAACCATTCGGAAAACAGATATTGAATGAATTTTTTATTTATGAACTTGTGGACATGAATAGGAAAATGAAATTGAGTTTGAGACTATGAGTTTCAAATTCACATTAATGGAGTTCTCTTTGTTTCATATGAGATCATTTCATATCTTCATTTATTTTGGGTCAATCAAGGATTGAAAAGAAAGAAAAAATAAAAAGAATGTAAAAGAATTCTTCTCATATAAATATTTCGGCATTTTAAGTCTGTAGGGGAATCCAAAAGCCTGGGTTTTGTGTGTGTTACTTATAATGATGATGGAGAAATCCGAAAGCATGGATTTTGTTCACTCTCATTGATTGAGTACCCTATCAAAATATTAATGTAGGGTGAGGGTAGAATAGGAAATATAAAGAACAAAAAAGAACAAAATTGATTAAAAAGTATTAAAAAGCAAAAGGGAGTGTAAGTGGAGAAAAGAGGAGTGGAAAAATCAGCTTCCTAAATCAATTGTGTGTTCATATAAATGGACTGAATCCTGATTAGATATTGGTTTTGTTAAAAGTACCCTTTTGTACTTGGGTGTATTTGTATTTCTTTCCTAATACTTGTATGATGTATCGTTTTGATGTTCTATATGAAATTGATGTTTTGCTTAATTGTTTTATCTAACTGAGCTCCCTTTTTTGTTATTAAAATACTTTGATAATATCACAAAATTTGAAGAATTTCTGTTGAATATGAACCATGGTGGAATGAAAACAATTGATTCATTTGAAATAATTTGAAAACAATCGCAGAGAAAAGTGAAAAGCAAGAATTTTAAAACACTCACGAATACCCCGGTGACTCTTTTGTAACATGTACATAGAAAATGAATACAGAAGTAATGGACCGAACAGCGCTTTTATTTACCCAGCCGGCTAGGATGTGAGACTTGCAACCACGTACTGAGCTACCTTAAATAACTTCTTTGCCGGTAAATAAGAGACCATATCCACATCTAAACGAGACATAATCGATTACATCAAATGTGTGCCGTAACAAAGCAGAGCAAAATTTAAGAGAATTAAACTCAATGATATTTGAAGCCAAATTGATAGTCACCACGGCACGAACACTTCTCAGGACGTTTCATAATGAATCAGCGAATTGATGCATAGAAGAACCCTGTAAAATATTTCTAACGGTAAAACCATTGTTGAGAATTTGATACGGCCCAGCCCAATATATGTTGTGAAAAATCGATTATTCTGTGTAAGAATTTCAAGTAATTTCAGAATGAGCCAAGTCTCCGAACCAGCAAGCAGATATCGAGTCATACCGAGCCTCCTTACTCCCAATTACGGTGGGTCTACTAGTACAGTCCCTTGGGCCCTTCTGCCCTCTCCTATTGGTCCAATTCCAGTTGATGCACCATCTTTACTAGCAACCCGTCCCCCAACCAAGCCCACCCCTCTTCTCCCTGCATGAACAACGCAGTCCCCATTGATCGGTGGACTGCCCGTTATACTCCCGCACAATGCAACCCTTCTAACCTTCGTCGTCCTCATCATTTGGTTGCCACTAAAAAGTTCATCTGTGAGCATTATCACCAAGACCCTATTTTTAAAGTCAGCACGAACTATATCCACGTCGATCTTAAGTCCCAAATCCCTCTTATAAATCCAGTCATCCTCAATATTAGCATATTTTCTTACAATTTAGGTATAGACTTTCTTCAAAAACACTATGTTGTGGAAAATATAATGTTGTATCACCAAGCCCATTCAATTTGCGGTCTACAATGTGAGCAATTCTATAGAAGATTACCCTCCATGCCTTGCCTATGCCCATGGACCTTTTGACTCCTGTCTCTTCCAACCTGTTTTCTTTATCATGCTTGGATCCGTCAAGGCCGCCAATACGTGAACAACTCCGTGCCTGCCCCTGCTACACTCTAATTCCGTTTACTTCTCGGCTGTCTATCGATACGGCATAGAACCCATTTACGACAGTCTTCAAGATCATATGATCGGTTGGTCAGTGGGGTACTAACGCATCCTAGCCCTACACTTCCTACTTAAAAATCGGGGAATCCTTCCGTAGAGCCTATAAAAACAAAAAAGGTGGTAAGCGGGGGTGACTTTGTGTGAACCTATAAAATCAATCACCTCAGCTTGGACCATCCCCACCACCAGATCTCAAGTAATCCCAAATTACAAGTTAAGACCACCCACCTCCGCCAGACCCAACAAACACATAATCATAAGCGATTAGACCGCAATTATGTAATAAAAGGGCATAGGTGGGAAAAAACACTTATTGTCATACCATAATATCGCTATGAGACCATATGAATGGCGACGGAAACTCCCACGTCTTGGAGACTATACACGTTGATAGCGACTTTCGAACGCTTAGGCCAGCATAAGCCTAGTATACATAGGACGAAACGTGTCAAAATGTCATCTTTTCATGTTAGACAGCCAGCCGTTGGGACTATCTATATACGTTCCTTACGTCATTCCTATCCCCACCGTGTAGAGTTGATAACCAATGGCAACATAAACGATAGCCGACGGAGAGTCACCGGGGATCTCTGTTGTCGCCAGTGGCAATATAACACCCTCCCTACCTGGGCTAAGTAATTAACCTTCCCTATGGGGTTGATTTTTTCCCATTTGTTAAAAAAAAAGACACAACCAATAGACAAAGATTTGCAATGGGCAGAACCCGTAGTGATATACTTGTCTTTTGCTTCTCTCATCTCGTCGTCTCTGCCTCTCTCTCATGAAAATTTCTTTTAAGTACATTATAATTGTTGATATCTCTCTATAAGCTTGGAACTCATACATGTCAAAAAGGAAGGAATTTGTAGTTTGTTGATCTAATATTTACTTTGATAGGGAACATTAAGTTTCGGATGACGTATGCTTTAAACTTCGACTTCAAAGGGTCCAAATTAAAAAATGTTGCTAGACGGGCAACGAAAGTTCAGCCGAGTTATGTTGTCATATTATAAATTTAGTGGCCACCTGTGATCAAATGGTCCAAAACATCTAGCAAGAAAAATTTCCCACTTTAAAATTTTGTTATAATCAAGTATCGTTGGTAAGATATGCCCACAACACTGGAGGCTGATAATTAATTAGGCACAATTTTTTTTTTGTTTGTTACTCTTACCCCATTACAGCGGACTTCTGGGTTTAAGAAACCCCTCCCCCATTTTTCAACTACTTGAGGCCTTTCATACTTAGGAGGTCTGATTACTCATCTGGCGCACATGAATTCGAGCTGCATCTGGCACTGAGAATGTAACTCATCACACCAATTACATGACGTATATATACATATGTGCCAAACCGTTAATATTAAGTATTAATTTCATTCCACACTTTATATGAACCCCTTAATTCTGGTCCTCTATATCGATGCATTGTTTAATGTCACAGCCTTAGATCAGCATTTACGGAACTCACACATGTTACACGTCGCCTTGTCGCATTGCTTCCATATCTGCGACATAAAGCATTAGCTCTCAAGTATTTCAAAAACAGTTCTTTTATTTTTTATGGGAATCGGCAACAACGAGTTACATTAAACCAATTTACCTTTTCCGACTCCGTCTTTTAACACCAATGAATATATACACCTGAGCAATCATGCTTCAGTTCTTATTGAACATATTCCTCTCAAACAAATTAGGTACTTATTAGGTATTACTATTTCAGTTTAACACCAACACTTGTTTAGTTTCCTAATCTTTATTTTCGTCGAGCTTTGAGACCTTACTCGAAAAGGACTTTAATTTGTTTGATGTTGGTTTTGATTTAAGCCTTTGTATTCGTATGGTGCAGGCCGGTGGCATTGGTTTGGGTGGCACCAATATGCAATGCAACCAGAACAACCAATTTTAAATGCAGACAGCTTAGAGCTCTGCGTTGTACACGCTCAATGCCAGATCTGGAATATTCAAACGTCATCTATGTACAAACCAGCTTTCTCCCCCGTGTCACGTCCTGCTGGTCAACAACTTCTTCTGGTTGCACTTTTTGTGCCGGTCTCTTTTCTGTCTGCTGTGATCCTTCATATGCTCATTTCTCCGCTCGTAAATATGTACGTTAGATCCACTGTATACTGAGGATAGAGAATATTGACAGGTTCCACAACCACATAAACTTCCAGCTTTATTATTTCTAACACTAAAAGTGACAGTAATATATTGTTTTGTTGATTTCGATATTCAATGTCGAACATAGGCTGCTGTGCATTAAATGAACTTGGGCTATGCAATCCTTTCGAAACCTATTATGCCAGAATCGAAGGTGTACTATGCATTATGGGACTCATCCATCCCCTGCGGCCGCCAATAGGGGCCAGGGGGGGGGGGGGGGGGTGCAAAGCGGCATGGACCGGTTTCTCAAAGCCCCTTACGGACAACTGTATCCCTGGATATCAGTCACCTAGTTCACTTGTAGTGTAGGATCATCTGTTGGGGGCTCTAGATCCAAGGCCAATAAATTTCATATGGCCAACAGAAACAATCAACCATTATATATATATAATATATATATAGTATATAAGAGAGAGAGAGAGAGAGAGAGAAGAGAGAGAATTATATACTAGAAGTGTACTCTTGGATATGTATGAACCATATAATACTCAGACTATTCAAACAACATTATACAATGATCAATCACATGAGAGTTTGGAGGAACTGGTTAGTGTAACGTCTCTACACAGAGTTTTTAGGTAGTACGGCATTGCTGCCGGCACATATTTAAAATATACAGACAAAGACTCCCCCTTCTGCTAATGTACTTGGTAACCAAACGCCCTTCCACAGAGCAATTTGATGATGTTATTGCTTCCTACTACTTGACCCAGTGCCCGTAATCTTAGCATCATCGGTGTCTTACAATACCCACCCTGAGACAATTTAATTCGTTGGCAGAGACAGGTACGGGACGGGGGTCGTCCAACGCACATACTGCGCATTAATTTTAAAAGGAAACTGTTTGACAGGGATGTCATGTAATGGTTGCTTGCATCTAATTATGATGTTCAGATCAAAATTACAGTGTGAATGGGCATTTGTTATGAGTTTATAATATTGTGATTTGGTCGACTTCCACTAATGTGAGGCCATCTTATCTTGGTGCGTGAATTGTACTGGATGATTGGTTTTTAATGCATTCACTTTTTTTTTTTTTTTTTTTTTTTTTTTTTTTTTTTTTTTTTTTTTTTTTTTTTTTTTTTTTTTTTTTTTTTTTTTTTTTTTTTTTTTTTTTTTTTTTTTTTTTTTTTTTTTTTTTTTTTTTTTTTTTTTTTTTTTTTTTTTTTTTTTTTTTTTTTTTTTTTTTTTTTTTTTTTTTTTTTTTTTTTTTTTTTTTTTTTTTTTTTTTTTTTTTTTTTTTTTTTTTTTTTTTTTTTTTTTTTTTTTTTTTTTTTTTTTTTTTTTTTTTTTTTTTTTTTTTTTTTTTTTTTTTTTTTTTTTTTTTTTTTTTTTTTTTTTTTTTTTTTTTTTTTTTTTTTTTTTTTTTTTTTTTTTTTTTTTTTTTTTTTTTTTTTTTTTTTTTTTTTTTTTTTCTTCATTTGTCTAATTTGGTTGCCAAGAAAAATTCATCTGTGAGATAACAGAGTAATTTTAGAAAGCACACATCTCTTAGTCCCCAATCTTAGAAACATATCAGAATATGAACTGCTTAAGTTGGTTAACATTGAAAAATTTGATACACAAACAAACTTTTCAAACACATGTTGTGGAAAATATAATGTGGATAACAGAGCATAATTTATAAATGATGAGCAAAGTCTAAGAAGAGTACCCTCTCTCGTGCCGTGCCTTTGCCCATGCCACCTTATTTACGGCCATTCATTTATGTTTTTACTTTCTTTTTTTATCAATGCGGATGGGAGTCGAATTTGGGATCTCTTCCAAATATTGGAAAGAGAAGTACTACGAACCTTTAGTTGCAAGATCAATGATCGTGTATAATACAGTAATTCTATAAAATCTGAATCTTGTATTTTTAACAAATAATTAGACACTATCATATGCTCATCATTTGATGAATAACAATTTGGAATACTTTTGGTGTCATTAATTAGTTAGCATTAGATCCCACTGGGATTGTAATCCGCCAAGTCTGTTAATCAGTTTCTCATCGTGAGCATTCTATGGCAGATGAGGGCTTCATTGTATTTGTGTGAACCAAACTGCTTGGCTCCCACGACACATATTCATTCGACCAAACTCAATATTCACAGTATTAAATAAAAATAAAACAAAAACAAGACCCATTAATTCAATCCTCTCACTATATAGACATTCCCTCTGCATGCGCTCCATTCTGGCCTTCCACATCTTTGTTTTCATAATCAATACGTCCCTTTCTTTGTTCTCTTTTCTTTTCAGTGTTACTAGCCAGGGCTATATATATATTCTTTGATAACCAATGGCAAGAAATTATGAGATGGGTGTTAGATGGTTCAAGATGATACTTGGTGTTTTGGTGGTTTCAATATTATTATCACAATATTCTTGTGTTTATGGAGAAGCGCCGCAAGTACCATGTTTCTTCATCTTTGGTGATTCGTTGGTCGACAGTGGCAATAATAACTACCTCCCGACCTTGGCTAAAGTGAATTACCTTCCCTATGGGGTTGATTTTCCCATTGGTGCAACAGGAAGATTTTGCAATGGCAGAACCTCAGTTGATATACTTGGTCTTGCTTCTCTCTCTCTCTCTCTCTCTGAATTTCTTTTAAGTACATTATATTGTTGATATCTCTCTATAGCTTAGGAACTATACATGTCACAAAGAGGAATTTGTAGTTTGTTGATCTAATATTTACTATTGATACGATTAAGTTGAGGATGACGTATGCTTTAAACTTCGATTCAGGGTCCAAATTCACAAGGTGGCTAGACGGCACGAAAGTTCAGAGTTATGTTGTCATATTATAAATTTAGGCCACATGTGATCAATGGTCCAAAACATCTAGCAAGAAAATATTCCCCTTAAATTTTGTTATAATTAAGTATGTTGGTAAGATATGCACACAACACATGGAGGCTATAATTAATTAGGACAATTTTTTTTTTTTGTTACTTTACACATTACAGCTGAACTTCTGGGTTTTAAGAAACCCATCCCACCATTTGCAACTACTTGGGGCCTGGTCATACTTAGAGGTCTGAATTACGCATCTGGCGCCGCAGGAATTCGAGCTGAATCTGGCACTGAGATGGTAACTAATCACACCAAATTAACATGACTTATATATACATATGTGCAAAGTTAATATTAGTATTAATTCATTAAACAATTTATATGAAAACTTAATTTCTGTCCTCTATATATATGCAGGGTGTTAATGTCAACTTAGATCAGCAGTTACGAAATCACCATGTTACAGTCTTGCGCATTGCTTCCATTCTGCGACATAAAGCATTAGCTCTCAAGTATTTAACAAGTGCTTTTATTTTATGGGAATCGGCAACAACGATTACATTAACAATTACTTCCAGACTCAGTATTTTAACACCAGTCGAATATATACACCTGAGCAATATGCTTCAGTTCTTATTGAACAATATTCTCAACAAATTATGGTAATTATTAGTTATTAATTATTTAATTAACACCAAGCACTTGTTTAGTTTACTAATCTTTATCGTCGACTTTGAGACCTACTCGAAAAGGACTTATTTGTTTGATGTTGGTTTTGATTGAAGACTTTGTATAGGTATGGTGCAAGGAAGGTGGCCTTGGTTGGAGTGGCACCAATAGGCAATGCAACAGAACCTTTTAATGAAAAGCTTAGAGCTCTGGTGGACAAGCTCAATGCCGATCTGGAAGATGCACGATTCATCTATGTTAACGCTTCTTCAGTTCACGTCCTGCTGGTACTTGGTTACACTTTTGTGCCTCTCTTTTCTGCTGTGATCCTGTCATATGCGACATTTCTCTCGTAAATATGTACGTGAGATCCACTGTTACATGAGGAGAGAGATATATGACAGGGTCGCACAAACTAAAATTCCTAGCTTTATTTTCTGAAAACTAAAAGTGACATTAATTTGTTTTGTTGATTTCAGATTTCAAGGTTCCGAACATTAGCTGCTGTGCAGTAAATGAACTTGGGCTATGCAATCCTTTCGAACCTGTATGCCAGAATAGAAGTGACTATGCATTATGGGACTCATTCCATCCGACTGAGGCCGCCAATATAGCCAGTGCAGGAAGAGCATACAGTTCTCAAGACCCCATCGGACACTTATCCCATGGATATCAGTCACCTAGTTCAGCTTAGTGTATGATCATGTTGGGCTCTAGAGCCAGGCAAATAAAAATTTCATATGGCAAACAGAAACATCAACCATATATATATATATATATTATATATATATATAGAGAGAGAGAGAGAGAGAGAGAGAGAGAGAATTAATATACTATATGTACGCTTGGATGTATGAGACATATAATAATAGATATTCAAACCAACATTATAAAATATTCAATCACATGAGAGTTGGAGGAACTTGTTAGTGTAACGTCTCTCACAGAGTTTTTAGTAGTACACATTGCTGCAGGCACATATTTAAAATACAGACAAAGAAATCCCCTTCTACTAATGTACTTGGTACCAACGTCTTCCACAGAGCCAAGTTGATGATTTATGCTTCCTACTACTTGACAAAGTGCCCGTAGCTATCATCATCTGGTGTCTTTACATACCCACCATAGAAAATTAATTCGGCAGAGACGACGGTCGTCCAAGCACATTAACTGCACAGGAATGTAAAAGGAAACTGTTTGAAGGGATGCATGTAATGGTGCTTGCATCTAATATATGTGCAGTCAAATTACAGTGTGAATGGTAATTTGTTATGAAGTTGATAATTTGGGATATATGCGTACTTACACTAATTGAAGGGCCATCGGATCTTGGCGTGAATTGTACTGATGATTGGGTTGTAATGCATTCACTTGAAAATAGTTCCGAGAGTCATATGGCTGAGACTGCATGATCTCATAACTTCCCCCTCCAGCCATCACATTTATGTTTTGCTGGCTCCTCTCATTCTCAGCTATCTATATATCCCATTCACAAGCCCCATGAATCACTACTAATTAGGTACTACATACTACTAACACAAACACAATACAATACACACGCGAGCGCACATCACATGCATATTTTTCTAGAGAGGGAGAGAGAGAGAGAGGGATCACCTTTGCTCGTAGGAGCTGGTTGTTGTTATGCAAGTCAATTTCCTGCTAGGTGCATTATAATGTTAATGAAAACCAAGAAAAATTAGTTTCATTAACAGAACAAAACTTATATGAATGATTTTGAGCAGTGTGAGTGCAACTTCTGGTAACCTCAAATACCATTTTTTGGTAACATGTAAAGAATTCACTGTTAGTCAACTTATAGAAGCTAAAAGAACCATATTGAACATTACCTAATGACAACAAAATGGTTAAGAGAGGTTTTGTTAAAAATCAAAAGAAAATTTAAGAAAGCTTAACCAGAAATTTTAAGCTTCAATCAAGTTTTCATGAGAACTTTTGACCAAATTAAACATTCAGCAAACAAGTGATAACTTTTAACACTAGCTTCTAACATGCATGCACTCAGTTGATAAAGACAATTTGATGCCGGCCTACAGTCTCCAAATGCATATGATCGTGAGCCCCATTTACAATAGACCAAACATACCAGTACATGCATGTAAGTAAATTGTTTACTTGATAAGTTGGTAAACATGCATTGAGCAGTGACACTCAACAAACTTTTCAAATATGATGAGAAATAGTAATGCATGTAAGAGAATGCAATTTTATAAATGAGGAAGAGTCAAAGAGTGGTACCCTTTTCTGCATGTACTCAATTTCGGCAAACAAGAGCTCATTCTGAGAGAGAGGATCAAAGATTAATAAGAAAGAAATATATGAAAACAGAAAAGGAAAAACTTGTCAATGTCTATGCAAAAGCTATCAAAGTACAAGTAAATAATTCAGATCGCAAAAATTCATCATAAATATAGAAGAGATACCTTCTTGGATCTGATTCTGTTGATTCCTTTCTCTAGTTTACTCTCCAGATTCTTCAGGTCTTTCATATTCATAGAACTCAATGACTCGCCCATCATATGCCTGTCAAAGAAAAGGCTGCCAATTTGAAAATCTAGGATCTGGGAAAGCTTTTGGTAACTAGGGTTGAACTTGATCCCTTTAAGATTACCTGCTTGAGTTCTGCAAATTCCCTATCTGAGCGCGCAGTTTCGCAGCTTCTTGTTGGTAGTACTGAGAATTACATCCATAAACCAATGGTTAAAACATCTCATTGAAAATATGATCAAAATCAATAAACACTGTATTACTAGTTATGATGCATGCATTAAAAATTCATTCTTAGTGCTTTACCAATTATATATATATATATTCCACATAAGTATATGTGTGTGTGTGTGTGTGTGTGTAATATGTAATATATACAATTATTATAAATTAGGGCTCATATATGTAAAGCAATTCCATCAATTAATATATTAACTTCTTACCAAGGCATTCAACTAAAAGCTTTAGCTTTACCGGTATTTTTGGTTGTAATAGAATGAAAAGAACAACTGGATTTATATGGCTCATCCAAATTCCAGGATTGATATTGGAAATGATTATGATGAGACTAAAGAGATCCAAAATTAAAAAAGGAAAACAAGACTTGTCTTAGTCATGGATTGGTTTTGTTCAAGATCTACATAACTGAAACCAATTTCTAATCAGTAGTTCAATATTCACACCCTTAGAGGAGAAAGTATACGATAATGAAATCCAGAGACCAGAAAGAGCTAATCTCACTTTTAAAATCATACTCCAAACTTTTGAACTTTTCTGTCAAGTATCTGTCATCAGAGTAAATAATACCTGAGTACTAGCTTCGGAAACAGATCCGGTATTTGTAGACTCTGCACATGCCTTCTTGTACCTCTCAATTGTTTCTTTAACACTGCATGGCATGCAATCATAGCATTAATATATGAATCTATAAAAGACTAGAAAGTAATAATACATAACACTTCTAGTTACCACAAAAGAATGTCATCTATTGATACATGGATATATACACCTAATATTAGACATGTAGTCCAACCAATATGCATGAGACTAGTGCTCAAAGAAGAAAACCAAGTTAAATATGTACCAAATCCTCAAATGCTATAAGTAGGCTGCATTTATAGCATTGCTTAAACATATCAAAATATTTAAATAATCTCCAAAAACTGAAAAGTTTTCAGATAATGTATTCAGAATTTTAGTGTATAAGATGAACTTTAATAGACAAAGAAGTTTTTGAGTGTAAAGTTTCTTACCATGAGAAAAGCTACCTAGCAAAGGATTGTTTCTATTTCTGTGGCTTATTTCATCAAACTTTCAACAACAAGATTCTTGAAATAAGTTCCTCACTACTTTCTTCCTAAAGAGGAACTATGGAATTAAAGAGCAAAATATTAATAAACTTTTAGGGGACATAAAATTCTAAAACTTTATGAACATGGTGTGGGAGCCTATGGTTGCTGTGATGAATTAATTATCTAGTTAGTGACTTTAATTACCAAGGAATAACATATGAACCATCATGATGCCACTAGTTCTTTTCTAAACCATAAGATGTTACCATTTTCTATTGCCTTAAAGTAGTATCCTTCCTGTCAATGGGGTCTAGCCTATGGAAAAATACCTTGACTTACAAGAGGTTTCAAGTTCGAATCCCCATGGCATCTTAGTTGTGTGTGTATTATGTGTGAGAAATCCCCCTCCCCCTTAGGTATGTAGACTATATTGTACCAACCAACAAAAAAAAAAAAAATAAAACTTCTTGTAATAAAGAAAAAAAAAAATATGTATAGAAAATGTATGTGATTATTTGGATATTTTTTTTTTTTTTCAAATTTGAAATATTTGCTTTAAAAAACCCCTTAAATATATTAGCAATATCCATCTTGTAGAAATATAAAGAAAAAACTTAATAGCTTTGCTCCTATCCAAAGTAATGGATAGATGCATTATAGTGGGTCCCATTTCATGATACTTACAATTGTGTCAATTGCTTATCAACTAATTAAGCAGGATCCAAATACTATTAGGCTAGGCAATTAATAGTGGAGCTCTCTTCATAACCAGCTTCTTGTGTATGTTAATTAGACTAGATATAAACTTCTGATGTGCATGTCCGTTTACTGAAAACATATCATGTAAAGGGAGTTTCCAACCAAAGCCAAAATTTCCTGTGTTGGGAAAAGAGAGAGAGACACAGATACAGAGAAAGAGAAATATTCATTGAACTATTTATAAATGGTAATTAAAGTTGTTTCCACAAAAGGTATGCTTGAAATTGAACAAAGCATGATGCTTGTTACTTTCATCAGCTTTTATTATCCTCTCTAGGAGGATGAAGTCTTTTATCCACAGCAGAAATTCTGACTCAGATTCTACCTGCAGTGATATAAATTGGAATTTCTTTTCCCAAGCTGTAGCCTTTTGCCTCCCCTCAATTCTTTTTCCTAGGTACATATGCTATTGATATACATTAAGGGCAAATAATGCTACTGAGTTAAGTTGAGATTATGGTTAACCTCAATATTAGGCAAAGACTAACGGTCAAATTAAACTAACTCTTTCAGTTAACTGAACCTAAATAATGCATGATAAAACATCTCAGTTTCCTTGAGATCAAAACGAAAACTCAGCTGTCTGAGTTAGACCTGCTGACCTAGTCAATCAGTCTCAAATGACGGATGTGATGCACAACCACATATCAATATCATAATAAAAAATTGAATGAATTTATTATTATGAAAACACAACCTAAGAGTTCACTCTTTCCTATGGCATCTGATACCTTAAAATCCTCGACCTTGTGATTGGTTGCCTGTGCCACGATGGCGCAGCTCCCCAATATGATTGGTTCAACCATATTACAGGCCATAACTCTTGCCACTCATTACACAAGGGACATTGGCCTCAAGTTTACCCTATTACCCACCTCGAGTAATTCACAAGCAATTAAAAATTTGGGTTTATTTATACTTTAAAGAAGTGAAAGTAAATATATTAATATAAAATTTGATATTTTCTGTCTGAAACTCTGAGAACATCAAAGCCGTCTGTTTTAGCAGAGCAGGCAGCGACATATAAGCCAAATGCTCAGAACTCTCCCATTGGCTTGCAGTTGTCGTACGTTGTCTCTGCTCACTTATATCTCTCCCACACTAAGAACTTGCATAAATATATCTATGCAAGATCTTGAGCAAATGCAAAGGCCATTCTCCAATGCCCAGCAGTGACATCTTCATGATGACCCACTTGAGCTATGATCTCATACATACTCTCTTTCACTTCAAGAGCAATAATTTGGAAAATAATTCATAAAAGAATTTACCTTTGTGATAAAACCCAGGTAGGAAAAATAATAATAATAATAATAATAATAATTTGACCAGAAAGGTTAAAATTTAGGGTTGAAGAAACTGAAAAAAGGAAAGAGAACCCAGTGTAGGAATAATGACATAAAGCTCTTTTGTCAGAAGTCAAGAACCGAAAAATCGTGTGTGACGTGACCAAAGATTCTATTAACCGAGACAAACAAAAGAACCCAACACCTAACCCTAACCAGACCTCACCCATTTCCAAAGAAATGTGAAAATTGAGAAAAAAGAAGACATTTTGACACTTGGGTTTTGATTGGCTATGGAAAAATGTCTCCTTTACTCGATTTAAGGGTTACCCACTAAAAGATTTTGGACAAATTGATTACCCAGTGTAGTTCCTAGTGAACCCTAATTTGGTTATGTGGAATATTCCACGAAAAGAAAGTGAGATTTGGGAAATTTTAAGGGAGGTTAGGGGAAAAATCTTCTGGGTATGAGTGGTTGTGGCCTGATTTGGGTGTACAAGGGAGACTGTAACATATTTCAAGCAAAACTCATCTGGGTGTATTGGAACCCTAATATGTGCTTTTTTCAGAGAAGGTCTTGTCATTTTTATTTTACATATTGAATTGTACTTTTGTTTTCCTGGTGTCCATAACTGACGTGGTATTAGGAAGTGTCAAGGAGATTGGAGGTTGGGCTAATGGGGGCATGACAGCTTGTGTGTTGTAGGCCTTCTTAGCCTAATAGATGACATAGTCATGCAGAGAGAGAGAGAGAGAGAGAGAGAGAGAGAGAGAGAGAGAACAGCAGAAAATTAACAACAATGGAGGGAGGTAAGGAGCTGATCTCAGAGGCCTGCATAAATTCCCAAAACCACTACTTGTTGCTATTTACATCCATGATATGCTTCTTTTCCTATCTATTAGACCAGATCTATGCTTGCACCAAACCAAGAGCTAAGAAAATGATCATAAACAGAAAAGAAAAATTAATAAAAATACCCATTAAAAGCACATACATGGAAAAAAAACAAAAGATAAGAAAGAAAGACAAGTGAATCTTATAAGTTAGAGAGATAGAGAGAGAGAACTCAATCTCAACTCAACTGAGGACCATTACAATGATTATGTTTGCCTGCTTAAATCCACCCAAAGATCTACTGCAGAAGCAAAAGTCTTGAACACAGAAACACCAATAGCTTCTTAAAAATGCAAATTTGTAGCCAAATTTTGCACACAAAAAACCAACTTTAAGAAGAACATCCGAAAAAAAAAGGGGCTTTTAAAAGGAAAACTAAAACTACATTAGAAAACTTGGGTTGAAAGAAATTTTAAGAGCCTTCAGTAAGAAATCGAAAAGAAATAAAAGAAGGAAATTAAACGCAATACCTGTTGTTGGCATACTCATAAAGTCGGCCACGGTTAGAGAAGACTATGAGAGCAACCTCTGCATCACAGAGTACAGAGAGTTCATAGGCCTTCTTGAGCAACCCATTGCGCCTTTTGCAGAAGGTGACTTGACGGTTTGTTGTGTTTTCGATCCGTTTGATCTCGATCTTTCCCCTACCCAATTTTCTTTGGGGAGAGTCCAGAGACATGGATTTGTTTTCATAGGCCATAGTTGCAAGCTGAATCAAGCACAAAGAGATCAATCAAGGAGCTAATTAGTTAAAAGACCCAGTACTTCAGTTACTCTCTATCTACTTGATCATGAACAAAAAAGTTGAAGCAAGAAACATATGAAATGAAAACTTGGTGCAATACTACTACTACAACAACAACTAGCTAGCTCTAGCTAGGTAGCTAATTAAGCTAGCATCCCCAAGTTCAAGAAATTGTGAACTGAACAGAACTAAGTTTTGAATTGTTAACTTTTCTTTTGGATTCTTGGGGACCAAACAGAAACAGCTGGTAATTAAATAAATCTGGCTGAGAAGCCAAAAAGATTGATGGGACTAAAAGAAGCGAGGCAACTGAAGATGATTCATGAGATAATGTTTGAGTATTTTGCTCAATGACATGGTAAGAAAACAAAGAAAAGATCATGGATGGTGATAATTAAGGACAGAAACAGAGGTTTCTACCTTTTGGGTTTTCTTAGCTCTTTTTCTTTCTCACAAATCTAAACAAGAAGATATGCAGAAAATGGAAGCGAGGTGGGCTAAGAGGTGGCTATTTATAAAGGAATAAATGACATTTCCCAAACCCCTTCAATTTTTACTCTGCAATTTTTTAGATATTATTAATTATATGCAGATTCTTTTTTCTTTTTTTTTAAAAGTATGTATTGGAGATGAAGCAAAAGAGATTCTAATGGGAAATGGGAATGATTCAGACTCTATCAGCCATTCATTTATTAATTCGCCAAACAAAAAATCATTATATTAATTATTTAATTATCAAATGTATTTTCTTACCTGAGAGAGAGAGAGAGAGAGAGAGAGAGAGAGGGGGTACTTTCTGAAAGCGATTATTAATGTGGTGAATGAGACGTTGGGCTAGGCAGCTAGCGAAGCCAGAACACCCGCCTTTAGGTTAAAATCTTTATAATATTTTTTTTGTGTGTGTATAAATAGTAAATATAGGAGCAAAAATTTGAGGAAAATTTTCCCATTTATTTTGTTTTTGTTTTTTATTTGCTCTGACTTTTTTTAATTACTTTTACTTATGAAGTATTGGTTTTTATTTATTTAATGAAATAAATAATTGTTATTTTTAATGCAAAGGACATAGGTCGGTGGGACTTCACTACTGCTGACTATAACTTTACCTTTCATTTGTTGTCATTTCTAGTAATTAGTTGAATTAGTTTCTAAATATGGCATGCTTAATATATGACTTTTTCTACGCCTTAGACTAAGATAACAAAAGGTCAAGGTTTTACCAAACAGAAAAGGATTTGATATGTTAGTAAATGTTGTTCATAAGCTTATTTGAACTATATATAACTCTGTCTGCCATATGTCTAGCCATATATGCAGCTCCATAATCTTGCTGAGCAATATAGTCTTGATATATGTAGTGTATTGTAGCCCTTGCTCTGTTTTCTTTTTTCGTTGTGTTATTTTGTTGTTGTTGTTTGTTTGATACAAGCAGTAGTCTAAACTACTACAAATCAATCTAATTTATAGGAGGAGAGATTCGATGCAAGGATGCGGATTCACTACCGTAATTCAAAGGCCAAACCCACGTTTGTCTTATTTTTATGACTTTACCATCTCATCGTGCACGCACTCATATACTAATTAATTTGAACCTTAAGATATGGGGGACACAACATTTGACATCTGATTCGACCTAGCAAAAGAGGCAGCGCCCACCTGTGTACTGGTGGGGTTCTATTTGGTTTGTTATGCCATGTCACTCATGGTTTGTATGTAGAGGACATGTCACTTTTCCTTTACCCACCTTATTGCAAACATAGGGATGAAAACAAGCTGCCGAGGAAATGTGTAATGTTGGCCATGCTCTACCATTGGCAAAAACACAATCATCCATCTTTCTCTTAATGTTGCCACATATGTACAATAATCTACTTCATACTTGTACACTTAACTCAGGTGCTTGTATTCCCACACTAGCAAATTGTTTTAATTTCATATATTTGATTAGTGTGTGAATTTTTGGTTCCTAGTATACCTTTATATATTTCAAGCATGAAGATAAGGCATTGAAAGTAGATGTGAACTTGAGATTTTTGTTCTCGAAAGTCAAAAGTCATTGTGAAATCGAGTTGAAATATAGTCGCCCGTTGGATGAAAGGAGATCATAAGTCCAAATCTCATTGGAAAGCTAGAGACTTGTGTTGATTTGAATCGAGAATTGTGAAATTAAGAATGATTGTACTTGTGTTTTCCTGTAAGCAAATTAATATTAACCTTTGATATATGCCATCATTCTCGACCTATACAAGAGGACCTTGCCGTGTAAAACGATAGCCTCATTTTGACAAATCATATATGGAGACGTACTTTAAATAGGGTTGGAATGATGTAAGTTTTGGCAAGCTCTACCATATTTTCGTAGAAAATCACAACCTTGATTTTCAAATTGGAAGAAGAAGATGATTCAATGACACAAAGATTTTTCAATAGAAAATACGTGTGAAAATGACTAGTACATGTATAAAACTAAGAAGATCGAGAGAGTAATGTTCAAGAAATTATTATATGTGACCATAACATCACGTGACATACTAATGTGGCGTACACTAATTAACCAAAAGATTACTTGTAATGTTAGAATTTGTTTTAAAATCAGTAAGATAAACTTTTGGTATGTTTCTTCTCTTGTCTCTTGTACATATTTTACTGTGGTGACGCCATATATATATCATCAACCTTTATTGAAACATCAATATCATACTCAATCAAATGCCGTGATTCGATTAGATATGTATATATCATATAATTTTTCTTCTTCCTCTGTAGATATCATGTGTATGAACTTTCTCAAAATGTTCCAATACAACTTTTTAAATCATTTCGCCATGTCTGAGTTTGCTTAGTTATAATATAGAAAGGCCATGGTAATTATCCATGTCCTCATAGGTCAAAAGTCTTTAGCTTCACAACAAGAAAATCTCCCCCGTATCTACAACGAGGACCACATTGAGGGCAACTGGTACCATAAATCCTTGCTCACATACATATACATCCACACATGGTAAATGTAAAAAAGGGTTTTCAGTAAATTAGACCCTTGATCGAGATCGAACTCACGACCTATCCTATTCCTAATTTAGTGATTCTTCGAATGTAAATGAATCGTGCAAACTAGGAGTGTAGGAAGATAAAAATGAAAACCGAAGAGACTGGTAAAAAGGAAACTTTATATATAGCCCTTTGTTGACATTGGCCTACGAAAAGGAACAGTATAGCTAACCTACATATGAACATATTCTTCTATTGTGAAAACAAATTTCAGCAGAAAGGAAAACAAAAGTGAATTTGGTGTTATGAAATTCCCAAATTTAGTTTGATAGGACCCTAGGAATTTCGTAACGGCTCAAAAATATTCTTATTAGTTTTCATCATATACTAGCTATATGTTTCACGAAAACACTGTCAAGCCATTGTAAATCCAGAAACTAGGCAGCTTTGAATTGTTTAGCTAAGAAGGGAAAGGAACTAGTTTAGTTCATAGATGATAACCTTTATAATACCACTTTAGTGGTAAGTTCTACTTAACATATATTTGTAAACCCACACTAATTAAGTTAATTACCACATAATTAAACACTGAAATGTTGAAAAGTAATTCCAAGTACAAGCCCCAAAATCTTATGATTTTAATATATATTCTCTGGAAAAGGGACCACAAAAAAGCAACAATATACATTTCTTTCAAATGATGTTGAGAGGTGCCATTGAAGGTGCATGTCTTCAATGCAAGAACTGAGACCATAAATGCATCTCATAGTTCATATACTCATCTTAAAGTTCAAAGTCCCAATTAAAATTATTATAAAATATAAAAAATTATTTGGTTCCGTGAATTTCCACCTAATTATGGTTGCTTTGTACAACTTTAAGTGACACATTAATATTTAGTATAGAATGGGTCACTCTTTCAAAAGCTTACCAAAAATGGTTACAAAAGCTTATCTCAATTAGCTAGGTGGATGGTGAGAACCTCTCCTGCTACATGGCAGCTAGCAATGTTCAATGTATATGATACTATTGACCTTAGGAACAATTAGCCATGGGAGAAAAGGTGACCTTCTATGCTTTGTTTTCTAGTCTTGCAACGGTTTGTAGTTGTAGAATGCTTTTTTTATTATATATATATATAATGAAATAGCGGGGTAAAACCCCAAACAGTGGTAGAATTCGAACTTGAGTGCAAAGTGGGGAGTACGTCCGCTCTAGCTATAAGTCCACGTCTGCGTCACTGGCAGAATTGTTATTTCTTCCTTAACAGTGGTAGAATTTACTTGCCTCCCAGTGTATTAATTAAAGGTCATAATTCATGGACATGGACCTGTTATCCTTTTTAAATACTCTCTGATGTTAGAAGCACATAATACTAGCTTGCGGCTTAATGCATGCCCCTAAGAAATAGAGATATTTTGGATGGAGGATAGTTTATAACTCGAGCAAAAATATTAGGGTTTTCTTTGAAAACCATTGCCTTTGTTTTTGTTTTTGTTTTTTTTTCCAATCATGAAAGCAAAGCCTTTAGTCACCCAAATAGGAATGTAATTGAAAGAGAAAGAGAGTGAAAGGTTATGTTGAATTTGTGGTTGTGGTCCTTTTCAAAGGCTTATGTAATCCCCACTTGTTACTAAAGGTTCACGTCATTATTAGCACAACCACTCAATGCTAATCCGATTGTGATGGGAAGCTTAGAGGATCCTATCCCCATTATATTCTCAACTTACTGTAATGTATATATATACGCTAGTCTCTTGCACACGCATATGAGCGCCTTTTTTTTGTTCAATTTTACATTAATACGCCCTTAGACTGTGTGGTGGTTCTTTCATATTATGCTTTAATCTAATCTAAACTAATGGGAGGGAAGCACATTCACTCTAGCCAACTTGGCTAAGCCTGCAAATATTATATTTATGATATATTGATTTTAAAGCAACAAAATTAGAGCATGTAAAGAAATGATAGGTTTTCCACTGAATTTCATATGACTTGTACATCACGTATAGCATTCAACTTTCTCCTTGCCCCCTTCTCTCTTACTTCCTTATGTGACCAAACAAATTGGATCATCCCAAGTCCTTGCAATATAATAACGAATACTATGCCATCTAGTTCTACACAAAGCAATATAATTAGGGTATTAACTCATTGTCAACTCGCAATTAAGTAATCTCAGAATTTGCTTTTTCCCCCCAACAACAAGTTAAAACAAAGAAAATGCCTGAGCTAAACTTGGCAGGCCTTGTCCTAATCAATCTTAATTATTCTTCCTTGTCCCAAATTAACCCAAGTTAGTTTTATTTGTAAGTATTAATAAGTACCCATCACCAAGATGTAGCTTTTGTGTATGGAGGAATATCTGTGTTCTGGTGCATGTCTATTGCCTGCCATACGACCCATGCCAAAATAGAAATAGCCAAGCACAAGATTTACCTTTCACATTTGAAATTTTCCAGATTGGGAACTTGATTTTAATGTTTTAACTCTTAGCTACTCTCTTTTTTATGTGAAACCCAGTAAAAAAGGGTTATGGATGGTCAGGATTCCTGCAAAATTAGATAGTTTTTTGTATTAGATTTTAGTTTCTTGTATTCTCCATGGAATATAGATCTCGTGAGATTGCAATGTCACTCCCCCTGTTCCGATGAAGGAGACATGTAATCATAACTAGTAATTTTGTTTTTTCTTTATGAAACCACAGTTCAAAAACCAATCATGATTCATTTTCTCTTCTTTTTTCTTTTGGGTGGTCTGCAAGTACAATTATTATTTCAATTTCCAATTCCATGGTCACTTTGTTTCAAAGGTATTGAGTTGCAAGTTGCAACTGTGGAAGCTTCTGCTAGTACCCAAAACACAAAACTGAGAAGGTACATGTTTTTTCCCACTGTCAAATTTTAAGACCCTTGGGATCAAGTGACATACATTATTCCTACACTTTTTAAAAACAATTTGAGTCTCTAGAATCAAGTGATTATCTAACATTGTATCAAATTTTGATAATAAAAAGTCCTAAATTTGAAATCACCAATCTCCTTCTTTACTTGTTGGTCTCCTTTTTTTTTATATATATCTTTTTAAGGGTTTTTAACTCAAATGGTCCTTAAGTTTATATACCTGAGTTGTATTTTGGTCTCTCAACTAAATTATTCATTCAAATGGTCCACCAACTCTTTATTATTCGGTGAATTGGTTATACCATTACATTTTTCGTGAGTTTTAATCATGTGAATGGCACGTCAGGGGTACAGAAAGAGTATATGCGTCTTTTTCATAGCTCATTTTTATAAAATAAAAAAAAAATCTTAAAATTCATTATATAAAATGATAAATAGCATTTTTCGAAGGAAAAAAAAACATAAAAATAGAAAGAAAAAAATCTTAAGAACAAAAAAACCTCTCCAATCAACCCGTATGACATATGCACCTTGCAGTGCCAGTACAACGGCAAGACGATCAGTCACTTCACCATGAGGACATGGCCAAACCCTAACACTACGGTAAAATGTTAGACTACTATCAAAGTAGTCACCTGACAATATGTCCCTGGCCTTCTCCCAAGAGTCTGATCCAAGGTCTCCTTCAGGATCTGAAACCTCGCATCTTGTGAAGGATCCACAGACTGGAGCGGAGTATCGGGAGGAAGCTGGGAGGCAGACTCCCGAAGAACCAACTAGCTCTTCTCCATCATTGTTGCCTGTTTAACATAACATGAAATATTAATCGAGTTACACATGTGTTTTAACAGGTTGGCGGGTTGACCCAAAACCCACCCGTTTAATAAATGGGTCAAAACGAGTTGACCCGAAAATTACCCAATTATTAATTGTGCGGGTTAAAGTCCTGTTTTTTCCGTGTGGGTTTCAAGTCGTGTAGGAAATTGCCACCCCTAGCTGCAATCCTCATGAAGGATGCAAAAGCTCTGGGTATTATCCAAAATGTAGCCTCAGATAAGATTTTCCCATAAATTGCAAATATAGACTCTGCCAAGCAGCTTGGGAGCTGTTGTGTGGAGAATTTCATGGGGGAGATCATGTTAAATCAGTAAAACTTCAAAATCTCATACGTGAATTTGAATACACTAGAATGCATGATAATAAGCCCTTATCTGCTTACCTTACTAGAATAAAAAGTACTTATTAAAAAGGGGTCTAGCCGCGCGGCTATACTATGCGCCATGTGTCAAAACAGTTAAGCCAAACAGCTATAGTATTTTGTCAAAAAAATAAAGAAAAAATGGTTATAGTCATGAGGCTATACTATTTACAAAATAAAGAATAAAAATCAGAGTATAGCCGCACGGCTGTACGATTCGAGTATCGCTGCACGGCTATACTATTTCTAAAATAAATAAAAACCGCCTAGCCTATCGCCCACGTGTAAAAAACAGTCTAGCCGAGCAGCCATACTATTTTTATATAATAAAAATCATAGTATAGCCGGTCGGCGATACTATTTATTATTTTTTAAAATGGGACCCGCCTAGAGCTCAGCTGTAAAAACAGTATAGCCGGTCGGCTATACTTCATTGCCTCCTACCGCAAGATAATTCTCCACCACTGGATTGAAAGTAAGACGCACAATTTCAAATCGAACACCATTCTTGAAAAGGGACTTAACATTGGTTTTGTCTGCTGTCATCGTTGCAACATCAACTATAGCAACTTTATCACCTCCACCAACAAGAAGTCGCCCACGAATACTGATATTGAGCAAGGATTTGACAAGAAAACCACTAGCTAAATGTAAGTTCCTTGGCATTTGAATAGTCTGCACTGCACTTAGAGTTCAATTTGGGGAAGATGAGGAAGCTTGGTTGTTTGAGAGACTTGTGGACGGTTTTATCCTTATATTTGACGACAACGTTGACAAAATGTAACGATGGGACCAATTTGCTAAATAATAAAGAGTTGGTAGACCATTTGAACGAATAATTTAGTTGAGGGATCAAAATGCAACTCGGGTATAAGTTTGAGAACCATTTAAGTTAAAACCCCATCTTTTTTAATTTAGAATTTCATGTTTGTCCAACAAGGGATCCCGAGCCTCTGTGCTTGAACCATATTTTATAGGAATATGTTGCTCGAACCCAACTTTAATATAAGAAAAAGAAAACCCCAATTATGGCAATTAAGAGTCGCAAGTTATCTTCCAATTTGTCACACCTTCCAAAAGATCCTCGCATTCTTCACTAACTAGACGTAATTTGGTCTAACTAGTTAGTTATGTGGATACTTATTTGAGTTCATGAAGTTGGTCAATCAAGTCATTCAAAAGTTAATTCAGTCTAACCAGTTGCTTAGGCTCTTTCTTGTTGCCTAATTAAGTCATAATTAGGTGCAACGGCTAGTTTGACCCCATAATGAGAATACGAGTCCAATACTAAGCTGTTTCTCAAAAGATTTTGGTTAAACATAAAGTAACACGACCAACCACAAAAACGAAGAGATTTTGTTGTATAAGCAAACGAATTTGTGACCTCAATACATGCAACGCCAAAAGGCACCCAACTTATGTTGGGGTACTTGGGGAAAGTAGGCTCCAATCTGCATGTGGCTGTAGGCCATCAACGTCTCTCTGTTTTCAACACTTTGCATAATGAGTTATCTGTGATTCAAGTCTCATCTTATCTCTGTGATTCTGTGTGGCATGGGGCGTGTTATAGGTTGCCTCTACCAGTTCTTTGCTTCCTGCCCTTAAATCTTGTTGACAATGGCATCAACATAAATCAAGTCAAACAATATCATTCATCCAAAGGTTACATACAGTTTACAAGGATTAATCTTACAAATTCAAAAGTTCGGCATCAGCATGAAGTTCACACGACTCACGGGGATGCAAAGAAAAAAAAAATTCTTGGAAACAAATATTATGATTACAGATAAAATCTACTTATATGCAAAACATGTTATACACGAGATGATTCTCAGCCCAGGATATCAAAGGGAGAGTCAAAAAAATTTGGAAGCATTCAAATTGAATGACTAATTAGTGAATTACACACACAAGGAACAACCATCCTCTGCTGCTTTGATAACTTTCTTTCTGTCACCAAGCTGGAAATAGCAACTTCTACTGGCTGTTAAGACAAATGCAGAAAAGATTTCCATTTTATATGCTGCTGGTAGAACGTGATGAACGACTTCTGCTGCCCCGACCGGAGCGATCTTTCCTTAACATGGCTTCTATGTTTTGAAAGCATTTCAACGGTCTAACCTGTACTTGTTGCGTGGAGGGAAAGGAAAGCTCAGCTATATATAACTAACTAGTCACGCAGAAACGCACAAGAAAACAAAGTAAATAGAAAACCACCATACACAATGCCCTGACTAACTACATCAATTAACTTAGTAACAGCCTTTCGGGCTTTACAGCCATTCAACAACATTAGATGGACCAAATCTAAAGTTACCTCCAGTACTCAGCTTCTTGAATTAGTTTGCTAAAATGTATATCCAGAAAGATAGTTTGATTGATACTATTGTGATATATTCTGCACAAAGTTTACATTTTGTACACCATAATAATATCAACATTTACACAGAGAGAGAGAGAGAGAGAGAGAGAGAGAGAGAGAGAGGAGAGAGAGAGAGAGAGAGAGAGAGAGAGCACCTTCCAACGCCTTTTATGACCAAGAGAGTTATGAATAGATTCCAGCCTCAATATTATTTGCCTAAAAGCTGGTCTTTTAGCTGGATTCTCATTCCAGCACTCCTCAATCAACCTGTGAGCGGGTATCACATTTACAAGATCAGCTACATTTCTATGAGCCTAACACACACAGAAGTATAAGGAAAAAAATCATATTTTCTGAAGGAATATGAATTTTGATTAGCATCCGAAAAGTCATATGCTACATTAGCTAGTTCTCTGAGGAAGAACTACACAAAACAGATTGGTAAAGAAGTTAACAAATAGCTGGCAATTGCATTTTCAAGATAAAACACCAGCAGTCATGACAGAATACCACAAGTATTCAGTATTTTCCAGGATATAAACGGAGATGTTGTTTTGACCAAAATAAAGAAAAGAAAACAGAGACTGAACACTAATCTTAATTGACAACATCTGGGACAGTTGTTCTTAGAAACATATAGCACTTACTCTCTCAGACCATGTCCATAAAGCTTGTGTGGAGCTCTAAAAGGTGGGCGCTCTTTTTCAACATATGCTTTTGGAACTTCCTTATCATGCTTGGCAGAAAATGGTGGGCAGCCTTCTATCATCTACAATACAGCATCTTAGAAAGTCACTAATGAAGCCCAATAAATCAACTGATTGGTCATGTCAAGAAATTCTCATCTTCTTCAAAATAAACCAAATCAGGTAGTGATAACTTGGTATATCCACAAAGCATTTAATATTATGCTCTTCAATAATAACTTATTAAAAAAGAAAGTTCACTTAGAATGGGGGTACACACTATGATGGCATAGCAATAACTTCATAAATATTGTCGGTCAAGGATTAAAAATTGAGCCATATTTACCTCTTGTAGAATTAGAGCAAAAGAGAATACATCTACTTTGGTATCATATTCTTCGTTCTTGGAAACCTCAGGAGCTATGTATCGACCTGTCAATGCCAATTAACATATTCCACTCAGAAACTAAATACTAATCTGATGGCATGTAGATTTACAGCATAAAGGACTACTATATCCACCTTAAAATAGCACCCAAAAAAAAAATTTCCCTTTTCCAATGAAACTACAAATGCATACAACCCTAAACATATTATTTCGGCTAGGATCAATGCAACATATTAACTACAATGGACAAATACTCACATGAAGTGTCTTGACAAATCAAAGGTTTATCCTCTTTAACTGTCAACAACTTGCTAACTCCAAAATCCGCAACTTTCAGGTGTCCGGAATCATCCCGCAATATATTCCTGTTATCTTACTCGTGAGAAACATAAAAATAAAACGCCAACCGTTTCACACTATTATGCAAAATAACGATTCATGTTTTTAAAATTTTAGTGCTAATATGAGCATATGCTTCTTCAAGGGATAGATCACGTAAAACGCGGAAAGAGAAGGGGGAAAAGACCACTTGGGCTTTGCCTCACGTAAGTGCTAAGCGGAATGGGTATTGGATTGTCTTGGGTTCAATTCTTGCTATAAAAAAAATAACTGAAATGAAGAAGGACAAGAAACTTACGAAGGCTCAAGATCACGATGAATTATTGCTTCTGGCTTATTCTCATGCAAATAACTCATTCCCCTGCAAGATATCCAAAGATAATGTAGTGAGGAAAAATATCCAAGCAACAATACATGATCTTTCTCTCTTCTTTTGAAGTATGTATTATAGAATAATCAAATTAGTATATAATTTCTTTCTTATAAATCATAAAAATGAAGATAAGATCTTGTGCCTACAAATCTGATGAATCTTGTATGCAGAGCATCCAAGCATCACAACTTCTAAAAAGAAAAATTCTGGAAAACTAAATAGTTGTACCAGCTTTTAAAGGTTGCAGCAAAGGATAATTTCAGGAGTTGGAATGATTTAGGCTATACGTGCCTTTTGGCACTCCAAAAAATCATGTTAGTTATTGACCTCGGGGATTGAGTATTCTTGATAGGTAGTTCATAGTAAAACAAAATTCTCAGTGATATTTGCCAATGAAATCAAAATTTAGACCTTGAGTGGGAAAATTAAATTAAATTTCTTTCCCACTTTGAGTAATCTATTCCGACATTCACAGGAAAATGATTAACAAATAATTTCAATTATAAATGTCATCTGTCCCATACCCAAATTGTTAATTTATAAATAAATAAAATAGATAATTTGTTAGCCAAAGATATTTGGAATCTGATTATCAAGACCAATTCAAAGCAGTACCAGACCTTGCAATATCAAGTGCAAATCTTACAGCTGTAGTTGGCCTTAATGCTCCTTTTTTTTTCAAAAATGCACAAAGGTCTCCCTGCAATTAAAATACAGAATTATGGATCACAATAAAAATCTTTATATGCGCTTGTTTTTAAACTGAATATTATCCTCTCCAATTTTTCTCTCCATGCACCTTGGAGGAGGAATGCCAACTGAACAAAGTAAAAAGCTTTACGAGTATTATTGTTTCACGCAACCATGTCAACAATGACATCATGCCTATTTGATTCTCCAATAGTCAACGGAATCCTAAAACCAAATTTGGACACTGACATAGACCAAAGAGGATGGCAATGGAAGAGTAAATAAGCACCTCAAACATTGCACTTCACACTATAAAATTAGAACTTCAACTTTTACAAGTAAACATTATGAAATATGCTCATCCCGCCTACTATTTCACAATACAGAGAGATACAATGACAACAAATTCAAGGCAAAGAGTAAGAGGGCCAAATATAAGCACAGAATAGAGAAAAAAGAGAGAAGGGAATGATAATTCAGGAAACAGCCATGAGAGATTTAATCATGTAACAATATCCCATATTAAAAAATCAAAGGAATGGGAAAAACCTTAGGCAAATATTCTGTTACAATCATCATTGGACTGCTTTGAGTCACTGCACCCAAAAATTGGACTACGTTTGGATGTCTTATCTTTTGAAGAAATTCAAGCTCATCCCTGAATGCCTTCCTGAAGAAACACCAAATTGACCTATAAATTCAAAGAGCGTAAAGCAAGGAAATAGTGAATTGGAAAAACCATTAGTAGTTTATGAACAACCCACACTTTATCCTCATCAACAAGCACTTCCTCCCCCAGCCTTTTCACAGCAACCTGTATTCCTCGCCAGGATGCTATACGGTATGTTCCCTGGGCCACAACATTTTAACATATACAAATGAAGGCGAGTGACAAGACAATAGGCAGTTACTGATGCAAGATGAAGAGGATAATGGTTTCAAAATATTAAAAGAGGCACAACACCAATTAAACAACTAATCGAAAGTTTCTTATACAGTCCAACAAAAAAAAAGGTTCTAGTTAAAATAGCAGGGAGGTGGGAACCTGTAGTTTTCTTCGGGACTTGAAACAGAAATCAATAAAAAGAAAAAGAAAAAAAAACGAGACAAGATGATAACATAAAAAATTGGCTTTAAACATTCATTACAAAATGCAAGGACAGTTCCAAGATAACAGAGGAAACAAGAAATGAGAATACCATAATCAATGTCATGGAAAAGAAAAAAAAAAACTTACCTTGGTTATTTCAACACTGTCGGTAAAGTCAAGTTCTTTGGGATCAATTTCATATTCTGGGACTTCTCTGGCATACCTAACGTGCATGGGAGCCATCTGAAAATGAAAGCCATAAACTTCAGATATATAACAAGCACAATATCAACAAACCAAACAAACCCAGATCAGCTAAGCAAGAACACTCATATAATAAGCAATGAAAGTTTCAAATCAACCAAGTACGCATCCACAAATTCAGAAAGTACCAGAGGCTTTGCCCCACGCTTCTCCAAAAGCTTGATCACATCGTTATGCTTATAGTATATAGCATCTGCAAGAGGCTGTTCAAGCAACATTATCACCAATTAGCACATTTATTTCCCCCCAATTTACAATTCTTCACATTGGAAATTGAGTTTTTACTTACGGTGCTTCCCCATCGGTCTTTGGGGTCAACGTCAGCACCGCGCTCGAGCAGTAGCGAAACGACGTCGGTGAGGCCCTGACAAGCGGCGACATGGAGAGCCGTCCGATCATCGATGTCCTTGAAATTCACATCGATCCCGGAGTTCAACAGCTCCTTGACCCCATCCAAATCGGCTTCATTGGCCAAATACATGAGCTTCACTCGGGGATCGATCCCCTCCGGATCATCCTCCCCCTCGCCCACGAGCTCCTCCCATTCACACTCCGGCGCCAACGACGACTGCTTCCCCAAAGTGAACCTCAGCGGCGTCGTTTTCACATCCATTGTTAGCTTCTCAGACAAGCACAAATTTCCTTGGCTGAGCTGTAGACAGTAGCAGCTGAAGTTCTTTTCTCTATTTGCAAATTTTTTGCTATATACGCGACGGTTTCGTTGGGAAAGTGTTTTTGGTAGTAACGTTCACAATTTCCGTTTTATATTTTTTATCCTTGGGTTTGTTTCACTTGTTGGAAGCGCGTGGAGGGAAACTTCGACGGAACGCCAATGGGGTGCATGTTAAGAAGGATTCGGCTAACGTGAGCGGGTGCGGTCACTGCGCCACCTACGAACTGGTCGGTATGTGGATATCAGCCACCCCCTTGGGACCGTTGGCGCGTGAAGTGTGTGAACTGTCAATGTCATGGTCCGACACTCACGGGAATTATTTTTCTATTTGGCCTCCTAAAAAAAAGGATTACTTTTGCCAAGATTTTTTTGTTTCTTTCATACAAAGCGACAGTCGTGACACCATTGATTCACAGACGAATACGGAAGGTGTGAAAATGTGAAGAAATGTCTCAAATTGAAAAGTCGTCACACATGCAGAATGATTGATGAAATAAAAATATATCACGCATTTGAAAGTTGAAAAATCTTACTATGGCTTATAAGGAGTTAAGCTAAATATTCAATTTCTTTTTTTTCCCCAAAACAACATTTTTTTTCCCTTTTTTGGGCCCAACGATTTTTCTCTTATCGATTAACAAGGAGGGAGAATTATCTTGGAGACCAAATGAACATGCTGACAACGATTTGCATTATTCTCGCACGTGTTTATCTAGGCATAGGATTAGTATAACATTATCGGTTTCAAGCTTTGTTCGGAAGATGAAGAAAAACCAAGTCTAGTCTAGTCCCAATTTCCAAAAAATCCTGTTTTGGTCATCAATTTACGTCTGTGTCCAAATGGTGAATTGTTTTGTTGCAAGAAGAAGAAACAAAAAAGGAAAGAAAGAGAGAGAAGATGAGATGATGTTGGCATTGGCTAGGTCGACGGCTGCCACTTGTGATGGTGAAGTCGATTCACATTCATTGTGCTTAGCACAAGCCCCACCCAAATAATGGCAAGTGGGTTCACAAACTAAAATTAAAACTTTCTTCTTATTGGCTTGTTCAACGAACCATTAATGAGTAAATTAAAATTAAGAATAATTAATTACTATAATAATAAAAAGGCAAGCTTTGGGATGGGAATTTTGAGAGAGAGAGAGAGAGAGAGAGAGAGAGAGAGAGTCCTCCCTCTGGTGAGTTTTGCAAGTCATGATTATCCACAGAAATGAGGTTGGCTGCCGTTGACAAGTGACAAAAGTAATGGGTTTGGGTTAATTTTTTCATTTGACTCCTGTGATTATGGATAAGATCACATGGAGGCTGTCGCTTATCATCTATAAGCTACATTCGCACTGCATTTCTTTCTGTGCCATTTGTCATCTTGTTGACTTACATAAACCAGACCTCCCATCCCAATTTCTTCTCTTCACTGCAACTCTTTTTTGCTTTTTGGGTTTTTCATCAAAGGAAACAAGGACTCGGGCCTTTTTTAATTTTGCTTTAGAGTAGTTCCATTGGCCCAAAACAAAAGGGCAACAGGAACTTGGGCCGTTTTGTAAGTTTCCGTTCTATTAATCGAGTGGTTTCATTGGCCCAAAGAAAACAAAAAATCAGAAAGAAAAAGAGGCAACGAGTACCCTTTGTATCATTGGGATAGGTTTGATTAGGCTAATCAAACATTTTTATCTCAATTTAGTTTAATCTCATTTGGATCGGATCGGAGAAATGGTAACCTTAGCCGGAAATCCCATTAAATTCATGTCAAAAGGCTCATGTGCTTAAAGTCTCATAGAAAAAAGAAGGAACACAACACTTTCCAAACCAAGCGTTAATTTAAAACATATGACAGGGACACTGGCCATAAGTTATAAGCCTATAAACGTGCACTAAGAGAAGAGAACTAGTTGGCTTCAAGGGTGCACTCAGCAATCTTCTCCCATGATTTGAGAGTTTTATCTCCGGTGTCGGTTTTGTACAATGCAAGGCGAGTTACCGGGAAGCTCAGGCTGCCAATGCTCTCATCAAGACTGTTGGCTTTTTCTTGAGCTTTCTTCTTCTCTTCATCTGTCAGGTCCGCGTAAAGGAGGCTCAAGTGTGGGAAATAAGCTGCACCACAAAACCACACCCCATCCCATGCAACAACACAATCATTAATTCTAAAACAAGAACAATACTTTTGGTTGGTCCATCAAAATATGTTGCTTCAAATTTTCAGAACCAGAACAAGATTGGCTTATATGAACTGGGCAATGATCTATATGTTTGTTAAACATCAAATGGGCAATCTAAAAAAGCTAATATATCGGAAAAAGATGTAATCTTGAGAAATGCCATCAAAATGTCTAATATATACATGAGTTCAGTATATTACCGCTTATCTCAATCAATAATAACATATGCTTTTACAACTTAATATTTGATCAATTTTAATTGGCAGAAACCCTAATAAAATAAATAAAATAAAAGAAATTATAGTGTATTAGAACTTACGAGTGGAGCTATTGAAACCGAAATGGCCACAGCAGTGTGCACTAGTTTCCACCACCTGAGAAAAAATAAAATCACAACATAATTATAAATCCATATAAAATTGTAAAAGAGAAAATAGAAATTAACAAAAATACCTGAGGGGTTGGATTTATGAGGAGAAAAACACACTGGTAAAATAAAGTGCCGCCGGTAGCCACACGATCAACTTTGGCATCGTAGGCTTTGAGGCCCCGCGAAGCCGATTTGAACTTGTTGAGGGCGTCCTCAGGGGTTAGGCTGATGGCCCCCACAACGGTGATGTGGGGCTCGAACTCGGGCCCACTGAACTCGTCCCGGATGCCCTGCATCAGCTTCTTCAGCCTGGGCGCCACGTCATCCGGAGGGAGGGCCCACACTGAATACATGTTGTTCTCCGCCGGAGCAGTAGATTTTGGTTCTTCTGGGTTCGCCATGGGAAATGAGAAGGATTGAATGAAGAGGAGGAGAGATGAGCCCAAGAGTCCAACGCTGGTTATGGGGATTTTGGGATTCAATTTAAGGGTAATTTTTTATTTCATATTTTTCCGGTGTCATATCATCATCAAATAAATAGAATATTCTCGAGTATCATTCGACATTAATTAATAGACTTTTTAGTCGGTCCAAAAATATAAAGAACGAATAAACTCTTGGGTCAGTAGTTTTAATTTTTTTATTTAATTTTTTATTTAATATTATTAGAAAAAAAGGTAAAAAAATAATTGGAGGAGGTGTAACGATAAGTCTTTTAGAAAAAAAATAAAAAGAAAAGAAAAGTTTGCGGTTCAACTGTGTAGGAATAATACAAAAATCAAATATACTGAGGTGGTAGGTGTCGATCATAGAATCCGTCATCTTGTATTCAAGTTCGATTCTCCTTTCTCTACATTACTAGATGTTCAACATGTTGCATTTTTCTTATTAGAATACAATGTATTTCAAGCTAAATCATGCATTTCCTATGAATAAGAATAAAGTCTTTCGTTATAATGAAATGGAGTGGCTAATAAATAATAAAGATTTGGAGGCACCGTATTCTATTCTCATAATTTTTTTTTTATAACCTGAAAAAGAAAAGGAAAAAACAAAGAATTAAAGCTACTTGTGATCAGAATTCTCATGGTTTTGGACGGAAGGCACACAAAACATAACTATGGCTGGTTTGTCATCTTGTTTATTCACCCTTCAGATTCTGGTAAGTAGCTTGATTTGATACACTTGCAACATTTTCAAGTTATTATACACAAAAATGAAAGAAAAAGAAAAATATACATTTTGATTTTTTTTTTCTTTCTATTTTCTAAGTGAATTGACACTAGGGAATGTTTGGTTTGGTTGAAGGAAACAATATTTCTAACTCGAAGGAAACCTTTACAGATCCGATATTTATACTTATTTTATTATTTAAATACAAAATAAGAAACCAAAGATAAATACAATCAGCATTTTGTATCACTGCTTTATCACCTGGGTACTGTAGCACTTTTTGGTCAGAGAGGAATTGTCACATCCCGGGATCGGCTCCGCCGTAGTATGATATTATCCGCTTTGGGCCCCCTTCTCTGTCCTCACAGTTTTATTTCTGGGGTCACCCATCTTGGGATTGCTCTAGCTCAAACTTGCTTAACTTCGGAGTTCCCATGACTTCAAAGCCAGTGAGCTCTCAAAAGGCCTCGTGCTAGATGGAGGTGGGCATGTATATATAAGGCACATCACCCCTTTTCCGTTAGTTGATGTGGGATGTTACAGGAATTTATGAATTTCCTATGTTTTCCAGTTTCGATCTTGTCCTATTTTTATCTGTAACTTTCCAGCCGTTGATCCAAATTTTTTGTTCTTGATATGGTTGGATTCAGCATGAAAAACTAAAGAACCCACCGCGCAGAACAAATGTCAAAATCATTTACATAAATGTAGAGAATTCAGTAAAAATAACACTTAAATGTTCAAACAACAAACACAAGTGGCTCTTTGTACATCTTGAGTATATATTGAATGATATAATGACTAAGTTATTTGATTTCATACTTGGATGAATTAGACTATTTGATTTTTATATTTTACAAGGATAATTTGGTGTATTTGTTCAAGAACTTATGTTATGTGAAAGTATTATAAATTGTATTTTTATTAGTATGTTTTTATTACGGTACTACTGGCATGCCTAATCAATCCGAACTGAATATTAAGTTAACCGATCCGAAGTCAACTGAAGTCTTTGATTTGGTTAACGGAAGAGAAAATGGTCTACCGAAGTCTTTAGTTTGATTAACGAAAGAGCATTCTACTGTTCTGAACTGATCCGTACCCAGACCTAATTGACACTTTAAATTGGGCATGAATGCAATTGCGGCTTGCTGGAAAATAATGTGTAATTAATTAGTTTAAAATAATAAAATGTAACTAATTAATTTTCAATTTAATACAAGTTTGCTGACGTAAACTTATTAAAATCATTAGATCCATTAGATTTAGATCAATCTAATGGTTTGCATTAATTCTTTTAAATGCGTATAAATATACAAATGCGTTTAAATAGTTTGCATAGATTGATCTAGGGAAGGGCCGTCCAAAGAGGTTTTAGAAAGCAATTAAATAGTTACTCTCAACATGAAGAAATTACTAAATAGTTAATTAACTAGCCACGATTTTACATCAGTTATTATATTTCTCCATCCTCCATAACATAACATAAACCTTCTAGAATTGTGAAGAGAGTGCGAAGTGTGATCCAACTTAATTTGTCCTCTAAATATTTGGTGTTCATACGTGTAGCAGCTTAAACAACAAAACGATTTCAACCTTCCATCTAATTAATTAGGTGGAATATTATACAATTCAGATATATAAACAAGCTATTTAACATAAATATTGATACACAAAGTTACAGGTAGCTAAATTAAACACAACCCAAAACACAATTTGTACATTTAATTTAAGGTCTTATGGCTATCTAAATGATGCATGCATGCCGATTTAAGGAAAGGGTGCGATTTTCTTCATCTCAGTGTGCTTGACGTCAACCACGAAACCCTTGCCATGCTGCTTCCAGTAATCCGCCTGCGGATTACTCCACTCCGGCTCGGCTATCTCCACCCTCGACACCCTCAAAGCATCCGTTGATATGTTGTACTTGTCATCCCTCTTCTGCACCAACTCCGGCTTCACCATCCCCAAGTTCACCGCTTGGGGCGACATCATCAGCGCCGGCGCCCCCAGTGGAAGCCGATCACCTAATAATATATCAAAGCAATTAATTTAATTTATGTTTAAAACACACACACACATCTACCAAATTCTGTTTAATTAATTAGTAATTAAGCGCTGCGTGCAAGAGGCCCTTTTTTCCGTTTCTATTTTATTTACCTCGATCAACCTGCCATGTGCACCAGAATTTGCCATAAGTTTTGGTCAAATTATTGAGCTCAGGCTGGCCAATCATATCGGGGATCCGAGGGTTGACCCAGAGGCCTGCTTTGATCTCATAAGCATGGGAATGCCACAGCTTTTGCTCATCCGGAGGCAGAGTCTCAAATATCCTATCAGACACCACATACTCCACACCTGCAAAAATACCACAACTTGGAAGTTAATTAAGCCTTTCCGAAACAACGTCGTTTCAGTGTAGCTTTTATATCTTTACCGATGAGTCGGGCGTGGGAGTCGTCGGAGTCGTAGACGGCGCACTGGAGGAAGTCCTGGTTGAGGCGGGTGACGTAGTGGTGGGTCTCGATCTGACGTGTGATGTCGTGGCTGTAGAGGGCGAAGGTGCACACGTGCTGGCTCATCTGGTTCACCGGCTTCAGGGACTGCATCATCTCCGCTCCTTTGTCCAACACGTGTTGCCCCATCGTCATCGGCTTTCCCGGCGGCGTCGGATGGTCGCCCTGGAAGGCCGGGTTCGGAGTCGGTGTCTTGTCACTTGAAGCCATCTCAAACGACGTCTTTCTCTGTGACTATGATCAGTGCAAGTATAGACTCTCTGGTTGTAAATACTTTCATATATGTGATCAGAAGGATTCCAAGGAGAGAGAATTGATAAAGGAGTGGGAATACGTGGTGTGTTGTGAGGCTTCCACGTGGACATGCATGTTGCATGGGGGAGGTGTGAGGTGGCTGAGGGTTGTGATTTGAGGTTGCCAAATGTAGATGATTTGAGGTTGAGTTGAACTTGTAAAGTGGCTACAGTGACATCTGTCCAGTTCGTTTGGTTCTTGTTTTTCACTTTGTATTTTGAAACCTCTTATAACAATGAAAATTAAATTAAGGCAATCAAATTAAGTTGGAAAATGTGGGAATAATCGAAACTCATCATGATTTTCATTGAGAATGAACACAACAAGTAGTAGCTGGAAAGGAAAGCAAACGTGCTAGGGCTAAATCATCATATTGAAACTATCCAACTTTTCACACATGACATTATTACATTAAATTAACAACATACATTTAGTATTTCTTCTTGGATCCTGGTGATGAGGATGAGAAGTCATTCCTCAATTTTCTTGTTCTGTTTTGAGAGCAGGATGGGGCTCCCAGGCCTGTACTTGTACCTCTTAGCAACAAACACATAGACAATGAAGTTGATCAAGCTCATGAAAGAAAGCAACCAATAGAAAAGATTCAAGTGGTTCAAGTTGATGTTGTTCCCAGCCAACCAACCTCCACTTCTTGTCACATCCTTTGTTGCACCATTCACAATCTTCACCAATATGGTGCTGAAAAAATACCCAAGTGCCATGGAGCTCCACAGAAAGCAAGTTGAGATAGATTTCAAGCCCATAGGCGCCTCTGAGTAGAAAAACTCAAGAAGCCCCACATAAGTGAACAAGTCTGCAATTCCAAATATGAAGTACTGGAAACAGAGCCAGAATGTGCTGATGGGCAGTGGCTGAAGCACTGGCCTTGCCAGCAGCATCTTGTGGTCTCTTGCCACATCTTTTCTCTTCACTTCCATGATGCCAGCCACAGCCATGGAGACACAGGACAGGATTAGCCCTACCCCTACGCGCTGCAGGTGGGTTATGCCGGAGGGTATGCCAGTAATTTTGCTTGCTATCGGCACAAAGATGCGATCGTAGAAAGGGATTATGATGATCAGGAACAGAACTGGGATGATGGAGAGTGAGGCCGGTGGGATTTTGAAGGATTTGGTGATGCTTGTGTCCATGGTGAGGCCCTGTTGGATTGAGAAGGTTTGGAGCTGAGCCAGGCAAAGGGTCATTATAATTGTGCAGCCGAATATAGGGACCATGCCTAGTATGATTTTTGCATTTTCCACTTGGGTCACTCTGCAGAGCTTCCATGGGTTTGGAGGCTGCTGTTCATCAACTTGCCCTGTTGTTGATGGTTGGATGGCTGCTTTGTCCAAAAATCTGAACAGAAATTCAATTTGATATATTAAGTTGTGAGATTGTGAATCAAGATAATATTTGAAAGTGCGCATTTGATTCGCATTTTGATAACATAACATGCCGGAAATATGACATGCTTAATTTTGCCACTCTTCGAATGTAGAAGGTCATGTGTTTTGGTAAAAAATTGATAAGGTACCTGAAAATGGATCTGTGAGGTAGAAATTCTTCTTCAAGAGCAGCTTCCTTGTCTTTGTTAATCTCATACAAATCTGCAGGGTCCTCAGGAAGGCTAAGGTTTCTGTTACGGATGGCTGCAACATACACCTGAAAGGACATGAGCAAGACGTCAACTAGTTAACGAATTGATCTGAAGGAACAGAGTATATTTGGAAGTATCCATTTAAGGATCTTCCTTGAGCCGTCTCCTTCTTAGATTCCCTATATCTAAGCACCAAAAGAAAACAAAACATACACTACATCTTAATGACCTAGTCAATCTATGATATTAATTTGGATTAACTTATAAAAAACCATATCTTTCCTTAACCTCCAAAGAGGGATCTTTTCTTTTTTAGTCCATTGAAAGCAAAAACTTTAGGGTGAGACAGTCATATACATCCTCTTTTTCACATCAACACATCGTACGTGCCGTTCAAGTAAATGGATGATTGTGAGAAAAGAGCGTATACGTCCTCCTCCACCAAAAAATTTATCCATGGAAAGGCATGACTAGATTACTTACTCTTTGTTAATTACCTAAGTCTTGGAACTAAATTTTACAGGGTTAAAAAGGAAACAAACCTGTATAATTTCAACTATGGCACTAGTTCCTCTGATAGGTTGTATCCGGTACAAAGGCAATCCTGCAAAAAAGATGACCACAGCCAAGAACATGGCAATTGTGGAGGACCCGAAGCCCCAATCCCATCCTCTATTATCTTGGATCCACACAATTAGTGTCAAACTGACTGCACCACCCAAGCACACTGCCAGCAACAGCAAGTTGAAGAAACTGGACATCTGCCTTGCCTCTCTTGGGTCTTTTTCATCAAACTGATCAGCACCATGTGATGGCAACGTGGCCTTGATCCCAGCAGCCCCGGCAGCCAAGATGTAGAGGGCAATAAAAAGCAGTGCAGCATTTCCACCACCAACTTTCTCACACATAGCAGTTGGATCAAACACATTACAGAGTGGTGGCCTCAGTTTGGGGTAGTGAGCTTGCACAGTTAGTAATGCTAGTCCCTGAAAGAAAATTTTGCAACATTCATTATATCCATCAAACACCATCCAGTTACAAAACCCAATTCAATTTGTGATGAGGACTAATTTGACATACCACAAACTCGAAGCATCCGGAAGTGAGAAGAGTTTTGAATCTGCCAAAGAAGGTGTCTGCAAGGATGGCCACGATAATGGAGAGAATATAACCAGTTCCCATGTAGTTGGTAAGCTGGTTAGCTGCATCTGCTAGTTCAAAGTGCATGACCCCATTGAAGTATGTAACCAAGTTCACAGCCAGGGCAAAAGTTGCCATGTTCTCAAAACCAAATGTTGCTGCAACATGTATATAGGGAACCCAAAATGGTAAATTAACTAGTAAACCAGTATAAAGGTGATCGTGATGTGTGTGTACTAAAAGAGTACCTAGTATGAGCACAGCAGTTCTCATTCCTCCATGTTTATATTTCACAGCCGACCTTCCCTTCCAATCCACCTTCCCTTCAACAAGCTCAAGTTTATCCTGAAGGGTACAGAAGAATTTATGTTAATTGAAAAATAAGATAATCCCATGAATTTGTTAAGTTTTTTTGAGGAACTTGAACTGAAATAAACTGCGCTGAAATTACCATCGATCTAGCTACAAGGATATGATGTGATCTCTGGTGCTTAAGAGAAGAGGCTACGATGTGTATTTGAGAAAATGGTTGAGAAGCTAATTGAAACTGAGGTTTGTATATATAAGGCTTCACATAGAAGGACGTGAGGCTAGTGGGGGAAGTTATGTAACGACCAATTGTCATGCCCATAATGCCCTTTAATTTGTTGGAATGTTGGTGCATGTTTTGCCATAACATTGCCGACTTCATGTGTAAGAGATTCCCAAGACGTTGTCAAGGATTGTCCAAGAGGAGACATGAACAAGGACAGCAGAATGAGAGCTACCCATTTAACATGTACTTCTGTAGAATATAATAAAATAATCTTATTGGTGCTTAGAAAAAAATGTGTTTCAATTTTTTCAATTAAGGATATATGAAATGTGAGAACTTGTAGCTCTAGTGGTAAGTGTATCTTACTCATACACATGACGAGATTAGACTCTCGTCTTCAGCTATAATATCTTTCGATTTTGTTTTTCGTGTGCTTTAACATAATAGCCTGGGAATGTCAAATTACAAAAGCCTAACCAATTTTTGTGTCAAGTTTCCATTATCTAAATTGTTGCTTGAATGTTCTTTCTACAGGGTTGATAATACTTCTTGTTGACTCAGGAAAATGAAGAGGAAAGAAACTAGATGGGCATATGGAGGAAGTATTCAAAAGGGGTTGAGTGTAATTCCAAATTGTTGGGCACTTTCGAATTCTAAAATTGTAGAAATGTTACATAGAGAAACATTACAAGAAGAATAGTTCGCATGTCCACCCAATTCCAAAAGCATCTGAACACCCAATCTGTCTTTGCCCTTGGAGGACCTTTGCACTTGGACTTTACTATCTGCCCCTTTCTTCAATGACTGTATCTTGCAATCTCATTTTGCAGCAATCATTCACATCACAGCAGCATAGTTTTCACGTAGACATGAACGGTTGGTTGAAAGCTAAAGAACCCTTTTGTTAATGCAAATGTCAGCCTAAATATGCAAGTTAATTTGCATTTTAGTTTGTGGGCTCAACATTAAAAAGGACTTGTATGTTGTTATTGTACAAAAGTTAAAACATACAGCTGACAGATACCAGTACAGACATATGAATGGCTCACGCTGTGTTACATATACGAAATATTATACTCAGAAATTCAAACCCGAACACTGTTTTATACTGTGATTAACGTATAATGGGTGTGGATAATTAAGTCAGATGTGGGGCTACATAACCCTAACGCGTATAGCAATTTGCCTGCTCCAGTTGCAGCCGGATTTTCTTTTTCAATCAACGAAGGGTGGTGGATTTGAACTTAGAACCTCTTTCAATATTTGAAAGAAAAGCATCACTAATTGATCAGCCGGATTCATAATCTAATCTCTCTCACAACAGGTATGTGTTGATGCAGACAATAAATTTCCCATTCGGCTTAAAAACTTGTTTAGATTACAAACTCAGCCAACATTCAATTATAGTAATAAGATACTGGTTTCTCTCTCTCCTTGGGTGGAGTAATTCTGGTTTGGTAACTAGATACTAATTATGGCACTGAAAAACAAAAAAAAAGATTAGAAAAAAAGAAGACGACAAAATATGAGTGATTAGGTGCATACATAGTTTTCATCATCACTAGGCTGAGTCACTATTGTCTCATTATTGCAGCTACTTGCATACTTCACTAGCAAAGAAGTCTAAAATAATAAGTACATAGTTTCCACCACTGGGCGGTAGTTAGCATTGTCTCATTGCAGGTGCTTCCACAAGCAAAGAACTTCCCAACAAGTTTTCTAAGAGCCATGCGAAACTCGGCTCAAAAAGTTTAAATTGCATTCAACATGAAGTTGGGATTATATATTTTCTTATTAAACCAAAAGACTTTTCTTGATGAGTTCTCGAGCAAATATAAAATACTAGCTGCGTGCACATCCAGACATGAAATGAAAATCGAAACATTGCACCGACAAAGAATATATGCATTGCCAGACCACTAGTCAATCATCCTACACAGGCGTTGATGTCACTGGAAAATAAATTACTTCATATATTAAGTAAACAAGTATATAATTATTCAACAACTTACAATGTCCTCCAAAACGAACAAAGAAAAAAGGAAAATCCCCAACCAATTCTAGAAGAAAACCCTCAGATAAATAATGATGTGACTATCAATTGACGATGACTAAGAAACAAAAATAACAAAATGTACAGAACAGGGGTTGCCTGTGCAAAGAATGCTGACTCAAATTTTGGTGGAAAGCCTACAATTACCGAAACAAAAGGGCAATGATCAGTAGTTCAGCAAGGAGTATTTTACGCGCAATACAATCTTTCCCTTGTCAACTCCAAGCTTAGCCCCTGTGACTAACCAATGACCTGGAATATCTTGAGGCCCTTTTGACATTTCTGTCAAGTCCACTAGTTTTGCTAGTTTTGCCATATGGCTTGAACTATCTTCCTTTTTATCATCAGATGTTCTGTTGTTTAAATATGAGTGTGATGAAGAAGAACCATCAGATCTCTGTGCAGAAGAAGGGGCGGAGGGGCTGTGATCCCAAACAGACCGCCTAATCGTGCAGCCTGGTACTTTGGAGAAGAGGAGCTTGAGGTGCAATACATTTTTGGCACCAAAATCCCAAACACCAAGCTGACCACCTGTGACAATGTGAACACCAGAAAGGTCACCAATAGAAGTCTCCACGTGCTCTATTGGTGCAGTGCTTACATGGGAGAAGTTCTTCCACTTGATTGGCTCAAACCAACGGCTGTCTTGCTCCTCAGGACCTTGCCACCTGGGTGCACCTATCGCCATGTGCGCATCCCAATGGGGTTGAAGGATTTTTGGAAGGGACACTAGATGTTGCAAATGTATGGCAAGTCGGTTCTGTTTGCTGCCTTCTAGGTTCAGTCTAAGCCCAGTGACAGGCTTGCGTCCTACTGTTACCTGCGAGGCCAATAGATTTTTTAATATACGTACAGAAACATTCTTTATGGTTAGACAAATATTGAGATGCAGTGAAGGGATTCTTAAATTTATTTATTGATAATTAACCTCAAGAGGGCCTACCCCCCCCCCTTCCCCCTCCCCCCCCCCCCCCCCCCCCCCCCCCCCCACCCCAACCCCACACACATATTTTAACATTAACATGACAGGCCTAAAATTATTGAAGAAAAGTTTCGTTCCAGGATTGTCTTTTTCTTGTAATAAATAAAATCAGATTCTGTCAACTCCTAGCATTTTAGCTGTTGAATCTTGGAGCACTGTCTCAAAGAAATTTAATTTAAATTATGTAGATTATAAACCAAATACTAGATGCTGTTTTCCATCTTATTTTCTGTTACCTCAATGCTTTTTAAATTTAACATTCACATGCTTTTCATACTTTCCGCTACGACCATCCTCTGTATTTATCTTTTCTCCCCTTAATATTATTAGCTCAAAAGTTTGAAATTCGGTTCCTAGTGAAATGGAATGTAGAAGGAAATGAAAGAGTCATTCTTTTCCCACACAATAATTTGATAACAAAGTCATTAAAGGACTAATGACAACCAACAAGAATACCTGATCTGGACTGATATAAAGCTTGGGACCCATCAAGCTGAACTGAAGGGATGAACACACAGGTTCTTTTCGTTGCAGATTATTCTGCTCCGGGGCCCAAACTTGAGCAATTTGAAAATCCAAGAAATATTGCAGATCTTCAATTGGTGGCTTATCTGGTAAAAACAATTACAAACATATAATAAATGTTAAAAACACCTGTAATGCCCAAACAGGTGGAGCTACATAGTTGTAGAAACACCTAAAAAAGACCCTGTTCCCAAAATAGTGAATGAAGCGATTTCAATTCATAGATTCTTTCTGGGTTACCACTTATCAGCATGTCAGGGAAACTTTCCACAACTTCACAAGTTTAGGTAACAGAAAAATAAAGAAATGAATAGTATGTAATGAGCAATAGACAAGGTTTAAATTCACAAGAAAGACATTGTTTTTAAAATCTTTGAAGACTTTCTAACAAGCACAATCTTTCTACTTAATACCAATGACATGCCATCTGGCCCACCATCACCCAAAGCTGCCCAGGCAGTGCTACAACCAAAAAGTGCATAGGTGGGTAAGTCTACCTTTTTTTTTTTTTTTTTTTTTTTTTTTGGTAGTGGGGTCACGTAGGTAAGCATAACTTTTAATATGTAACAAAGTACAAGGTTCTGTATAATAATTCAAACCAACCATATATTGTTAATAATTACAATAATATATCTAATATCAGATTGCATTCAAAGCCACATTTTTAGAACAGTGAGTTTTAGATTGGGTCTTACATTCTAGATATAACTCAATCGCACGACTCAAATGCTTTATTCCAGGCACTCCTTCAAGCAAAGAAACAATGGGTGTAAATGTCATATTAATCACATCTGGTGCTAGCTGTACAGTCTCCGCCCACTTGACATGACTCTGCTCAAGATCATCGCCCCCTCTTCTCCTAAAGATGACTGTAACATCCTGAAACGAGAAACAAAGTTTAAGGATCTTCACACACAAATGCAATAATCAATGAACAGTGACAACTCAAAATTTATTTCAAGAATGAGTGGAAAGTTTGAGCTGGATGATTGAAGTTCCTTGGTAAAACCACACCAAAAAAATAATAAAATAAGAAGGAAAAATATGTTGTGAAATGCTTAAGACACAAACCTTGTCCTTGTATTTTAATGGGCCAGGAGTTGACTGGCTTTTTGAGTCCACAAACCTATGATCACCAATGTCTTTCACATAATTCTCAATGTCTGATGTTGACAAAGGAGATGACTGGTGCTGCCTGATATAGACCACATCTCTTCCCCCAATAGTTGCAGATGTGACGATATGGGTACCAAAACTCTCGATAAAACTGAATAATGAACAAGAGGAAAAAAAAGAAGAAGAAAACAGTCTATCAAAATTCTGGTGCTTTACAGATCAAATTGATCTAGTTACCTTATTTAAGAAACACTCAGCAGTTATGAATCGCCAGATATTGTTGTTTAGCATTATAAATTAAAATCAATTCAATATGAATTACTGGGGGAGCATGTCTAAATTCATGCAGTAAAAGATGTAACCATAAGAGCAACCCAGCATAATCCAAAGATGGCATATCTTGTTCTTCTTGTTAGAACAGACCTAGTTTGTGTTTCAATAAACAGTTACTAGTATCATTACATTCATGTTTGGACATAGTACAGAATGTTTTGGATCAAGTGCCTCCATTTATCATGTGCAGGTTCTGATAATTAATCAATCAATTTGTCATCAGAAAGCTCTTACTTGCATTTATCACCCATTGATCAAGGTAGGAACATACTATGACTCAAAGTAGGTATTAGACTAAGTAATCAGGCACTGCCAACAAGTGAGATCGTCCTCTGGAAGATCTATTAGTTTTACATATAGATAGGAAACTGAGTTATTCAAATTTGAAATTAGCCTATCAACTTTATTGATAATTGTTTTTATTATTTATATTTGAGAGTATTAGAATTACAAAAGAAAAAAAAATAACAGACAGGATTTTCAGGTTTGAATTTTGATTCGCTATCACATATAGTTGCTTACTTTGCCAAGGCCGCAGGATCCCATGAGTAAGGAACAGCACGCTTGATTTCCTCGTGCAAAACTAAATTCACTTTTTCTAATTTAACTTTGTATAGTGGAATGAAGTATCCAACCATAGCAAGGGATTTGGTTGCTGCTGCATCAACTTGCCAAGAACCAGTGAAATTAAACATGGCATTAAAGCTTCCAAGGGGAGTGCGTCCTGACATTCCTGATTTCTTGTTGAAGTATTCTGCCATCTGGAGTTTCAAGATCAAAGGCATAAGATCATAAAATTGTACTTTAACAACAAGGTAAAATGGTTTGCTATAATTAGGAGAAAGTAAGTCAAAATACCAATGCATGCATGAAATCGTAACCACATAGGTATAGATACCACTGATTCTATAAACAGAAGACATAGTTCAAAAATGAAAAATCTAATTTAAGAAAATACACATCTGAACTTGGTTACTGTTGGAATATAAATTGTTAGATCACAACAGCTTAAGTTTTATGTGTAAGCATGTTCACAGGATCTCAGGACAACTTTATTCTCTAATGAACTAAACAGGTTTGGTTAAGCAAACTATACAAACTGTTTATTTCAAATAACTTATTCACACCATTCTTCTTCATTTAGCCATCTCTCTGTTGTCCAAGTATGCCACATTTTCCCAATTGTAACTTGCTACTATCACCTGCTTATGTTTTGAACCCTCAAGAAGGAAGATAAACATTCACTAGAACTTTGGCCTAACGAGCTCATAGTGCATTGTTCTGCAAGAGATGAGTAATTTATTCTCTGCATATCACAAACAATTCAAGACAACCTAGCATATAATGCTGATTCTCAAGGTTTTTTCCTCGCTAAGTAGTATCTATGAAGAAAAACAATTCAGAAGCCCAGAAGAAGACAAAGACATGATCTTTTCTAACTTTCAGACTATGCCATGGAAAACAACCATATCAAGTGTTGACGTACCTAAAGATAACTGGATTCACATATAAGCAATTGACACAAGCAAACTTGAATAAAGCCCAACAGGGCACAAAATATGAAATCCCAAAACCATGAAAACCCAGCAAAGCAACATGTACCCTTCACCATCGAATTACAAAGCTTAAAACAAACCAAGATGGCAACTTTTAGTACTCAACTAAAATAAAACCAAGAAATCTGAATTCCTAGCAAGCCCAATACTGAACTGAAGTTTCTGCAGTGACATAAGCAGCAACAAGAACCTATGTTACCCAAATACACCAAAAAAATCATGGAATTTGAATCTAAACTCATAATAAACCAAAAACCCATAATCCAAAAGTGGATCAAAAAGCACCTCATGGAAGCTGCAGACGGGATTTTTCTCAGTGGTCCTCTGGCCACGTACGCAATCGATATCGACAGGCACATTTGGCACAACAACACCATCAGACAAAACAAGATCTTTAGCCTGATCTTCATCAAGAATCACAAGCCTGGACCCAGGTGTCCCTTTGCAGTAGAGAAGCCTAATATCGGAAGTGACATCAAAGCCACGACCCAGAGCTTGGATTGAGTTGGAGAGAGTGGTGATCAAGCGTCTGAGCTTGAGGTTCTGGTTGAGGTTCCCATAGAAAAAGGGTCTTTGTCTTTCACTGGCGAAGGGAAAGAAGGGAAGCAGAACAAGGAGAAGAAATTGATGTCGTTGTTGGTGCCTTGTGGTTGGCTGGGAGAATCATTTGATTTTCTTTCTTTTAAAGTATTCCCAAATAGCAAGTGTTTATGTTTATGTTTTGTTTTGGTGTTTTGCGGTGGCTCTAAAGTTTAGACTATGTAGAGAGTTGGTGGGCATTTCTTGTTGAGGCTTCTTCTTCTTGTACCAAAGCCAAAGGCAGCCTTTGACTGCAATAATGGCTAAAAACGCGTGCAAATGTGTTTATGTGGGATATATGTGTATGGACATAGACTAATCAAGAGGATTCTGAGTTGACTGGACTTGCAAGGATTTAAGTTCAAACTCAACCCAAAAGTCAAACCAAGCCAAGTGGCCCAAGTTCCTTCTGCTTGCACTTAAAATCTGCAAGGGGAAGGTCATAACTTTGAACATTAAGTATTGTCTTAGTTGCCTTTTGCTTTGTGTACAAAAAGGCCAATGATGCCATGTTCCAACTCGCATATTTTATGTGGTTATTCTATGCACAAGTATTAAACTTTATGTTTTTTTTACACAAGTGATTGGGGAATGTGAATTCGAACATGACCTTGAATGCAAGAGTAAAAGATCTTAATTATCTACAAACCCTTTGCAGTTCGATATTATATTTATGTAAGCTGATGTTTATGTAGAAAGAAAAACACAAATATGTAATCAGTACTTGAATTTTGAAGGGATAATAAAATGTCCTAAAATACAAAAACAGAAAGGTACATCTTGCAAATGAATCCGGTTCTTACAATCTATAATCTAAGAAGCAATTTTAATTGGAACTAGTTTAACCAAACCAAAAACCTTTTTCAATAAACAAAGAGTTGATTTTTGTCTTTTCCTTTTTTTTGGGTGGACAGAACATGACAGAGAGTTGAAAAAGAGAATTATGAGAAGGGCATAAAAACCCCCACTAGGCCATCAAGTTGGACCTGTTACTATTATGTTCATTTTTTTCACATTTGTTGGGGTGGCTGGCCGGAAAGTACTGATCATGATTTACCAAAAAAAGAAGATCTGATTTTCATGTGGTCGAAAGTACTGATCTTTCCATAAACAAATGAGAGAAATTCTGCGATCTCCATCTGTCTGCATGCAAAATTCTTTACTGATATTTGGGAGGAGACCTGGTCATCAACCGTTAATCATTTAGTAACCATGACAAGCAAATTTAGGCAAAAATACCAAATTACTAAGCATTTCCATTGCCAAACAAAACTTCCCTAAATTTAGATTTGTTTTGAAAAACATGAAGAAAAGCTGTAACCAACCAATTTTGTGGTGCTTAATTTGTGAAAGCCAGATGGGCAAATTACTTGAGATTGCAAAAACAGCGGAGAAATTTTTGCACAGCCTCTCAAACAAACCAAACCAAACTGGCCCTGCCGCTCCATATAACACTCCCTATTCACCCTCTCCTCCCCATCACCTATAAGCAGCATCCTTGGCCCAAACCAAGGAGGCAGTGGAAAAGCCAAAAATGCAGGCCTCTGGTTGCTTCCTAGTTTTCTTTCTTTTCTTTTCTTCATTCTCTTCCTTCTCCTCTGCTCTAACCGATGCCGAAGCGTCCTCTATTGCACGTAGACAGCTGTTAGCCCTTCCTGAAGGCGGTGACCTTCCTGATCATTATGAATTTGAGGTTGAGTTGAACCTGAACTTTCCCAACACCAGGCTTAGACGTGCATACATTGCACTTCAAGCATGGAAAAAGGCCATGTACTCAGACCCTCTTAAAACAACAGAGAACTGGGTTGGTGCTAATGTCTGCTCTTATACTGGAGTGTTCTGTGCAAAAGCTCTTGATGACCCAGAATTAGAGGTTGTGGCTGGCATTGATCTCAACCATGCCGACATTGCAGGATACCTTCCTGTTGAATTAGGCTTGTTGACCGACATCGCCTTGTTCCACATAAACTCCAACAGGTTCTGTGGTATCATCCCCAAGAGCTTCTCTAGGCTAACTATTCTCCACGAGTTCGATGTTAGCAACAACCGATTCGTGGGATCGTTCCCAGAAGTTGTCCTGCATATTCCAAACCTCAAGTATCTTGACCTCAGGTTTAATAATTTTGAGGGGAAATTGCCTCCTGAGCTCTTCAACAAGAAATTGGATGGCCTGTTCTTGAACGACAACAGGTTCACATCCACCATTCCTGACACGCTTGGTAACTCCCCTGTCTCAGTTCTTGTGGTCGCCAACAATGATCTTGAGGGCTGCATCCCTAACAGCATTGGAAAGATGGTAAACACTTTGAACGAGATCATCTTGTCCAACAACAAGTTTGCTGGGTGTTTGCCTCCTGAAATCGGATATCTCTCAAAGGTGACTGTGTTTGATATTAGATCAAACACATTCAGTGGGATCTTGTCCAAAACTTTCAAAGGCCTAGAGAAGTTGGAGGAGGTGGATATTTCACACAACATGCTAACTGGGTTTGTTCCCGAGAGTATATGCACATTGCCAAACTTAGTGAACTTCACATTCTCTTATAACTTCTTCAATGGTGAGACCCAAGAATGTGTACCGTCTTCTCGGAAGAACGCTGTGTTTGATGACATAAGCAACTGCTTGCCAGATAGGCCTCAACAAAAGTCAGCAAAAGAATGTCAAGTTGTTGTTAGCAAACCAGTGGATTGCGGTAAGGCAAAGTGTGGAGGTGGACAAGGACCATCAAAACCATCTCAGCCTCCAGTTGAGAAGCCAAAGACACCAAAGCCAGAACAACCTAAACAACAACCTCCTCCACAACCTAAGCAACAACCTCCTCCACAACCTAAGCAACAACCACCAAAACCATCACCGGAATTGGTTCCAACACCTTCTACACCCAAACCACAACCCCCTAAAGAAGAACCTCCCAAGGAGGAACAACCCCCCAAAGAGGAGCCACCAAAGGAACAACCTCCAAAAGAGGAGCCACCCAAGGAACAACCTCCCAAGGAGGAGCCACCAAAGGAGGAACCACCCAAGGAGGAGTCACCAAAGGAAGAACCACCCAAGGAGGAGCCACTAAAGGAGGAACCACCCAAGGAGGAGCCACCAAAGGAAGAATCACCCAAGGAGGAATCACCAAAGGAAGAATCACCCAAGGAGGAATCACCAAAGGAGGAACCACCCAAGGAGGAGCCACCAAAGGAGGAATCACCCAAGGAGGAGCCACCAAAGGAGGAATCACCCAAAGAGGAGCCACCAAAGGAGGAACCACCCAAGGAGCAGCCACCAAAGGAAGAACCATCCAAGGAGGAGCCACCAAAGGAAGAACCTCCCAAAGAGCAGTCACCAAAGGAAGAACCATCCAAGGAGGAGCCACCAAAGGAAGAACCTCATAAGGAGGAACCACCAAAGGAAGAACCTCCCAAAGAGCAACCATCAAAGGAAGAACCTCCCAAGGAGGAGCCACCAAAGGAAGAACAACCCAAGGAGGAGCCACCAAAGGAAGAACCTTCCAAAGAGCAACCACCAAAGGAAGAATCTCATAAGGAGGAGCCACCAAAAGAAGAATCATCCAAGGAGGAGCCACCAAAGGAAGAACCTCCCAAAGAGGAACCACCAAAAGAAGAACCTCCCAAAGAGCAGCCATCAAAGGAAGAACCTCACAAGGAGGAACCACCCAAAGAACAGCCTCCTAAGGAGGAACCACCCAAAGAACAGCCTCATAAGGAGGAGCCACCCAAGGAGCAACCTCCCAAAGAAGAGCCACCAAAGGAAGCACCTCCCAAAGAGGAGCCACCTAAAGAACAGCCTCTTAAGGAGGAGCCACCCAAGGAGCAACCTCCTAAAGAAGAGCCACCAAAGGAAGCACCTCCAAAAGAGGAGCCACCTAAAGAACAACCTCACAAAGAGGAACCACCCAAAGAAACTCCCACACCAAAACCATCTCCCGAACCAGTTGCTAGCCCCCCTGAAATAGTTGAAGAAGGTCCATCACCACCTGAGCCTACCACTACAAGTCCTAGGGTTCCAGTTCATCCTCCCCCTCCAGCACCTGTAACAATGCCACCATCGCCTGAACCCACAGGGCAAAGTCCTGTAGTTTCAATCCACCCTCCTCCTCCACCAATTCACTCTCTTCCACCACCAATTAATTCACCCCCACAACCAGTTAATTCACCCCCACCACCAGTTCAATCACCTCCCCCACCAGTCCATTCTCCACCACCACCAGTCCACTCTCCTCCACCACCAGTCCATTCTCCCCCACCTCCAGTCCATTCTCCACCACCACCGGTCCACTCTCCTCCACCCCCGGTCCAATCACCCCTACCACCAGCACCAGTCCACTCTCCACCAGCACTGGTCCACTCTCCTCCACCCCTAGTTCACTCTCCACCACCCCCGGTCCAATCACCTCCACCACCAGCACCAGTCTACTCTCCACCACCCCCGGTCCAATCACCCCCACCACCAGCACCAGTCCACTCTCCACCACCACCGATCCACTCTCCACCACCCCCGATCCAATCACCCCCACCACCACCACCAGTCCACTCTCCACCACCACCGATCCATTCTCCACCACCCCCGGTCCAATCACCCCCACCACCAGCACCCCCGATCCAATCACCCCCACCACCAGCACCAGTCCACTCTCCACCACCCCCGATCCAATCACCCCCACCACCAGCACCAGTCCACTCTCCACCACCACCGGTCAACTCTCCTCCACCCCCAGTCCAATCACCCCCACCACCAGCACCAGTCCACTCTCCACCACCACCGGTCAACTCTCCTCCACCCCCAGTCCAATCACCCCCACCACCAGCACCAGTCCACTCTCCACCACCACCGGTTCACTCTCCTCCACCACCAGTCCACTCTCCACCACCCCCTGTCCACTCTCCACCACCACCAGCACCAGTCTACTCGCCGCCACCTCCAGTCCAATCACCACCACCACCTACCCAGTCTCCACCGCCTCCAAAAAACTCTCCTCCCCCACCTTCTCCGTCTCCTTCACCTCCTCCTCTCGTAGTCTCATCACCCCCTCCAGTAGATGACTTTGTCTTGCCACCAACCTTCGGCTCCCAATACTCATCTCCACCTCCACCAATGTTCCAGGGCTACTAAGCATTATGATATCAACCTTCATAACCTACATGACTTTATTTATAAATATTTACAATCTCAAAGAAATACACCCACTTTTGTTAGTTTACCATAGCTTGTTGTATAATTCATGACATCAAAGTGTAAATGCTTTTCATATGCCTACTTAATGCAATAAAGGACATTATCAGCAAATAATTCCATAATTTGTATTTTGCTTTTGGTTGTTTTTTAATTGAATGTGTTGCTTTATCAATTTGGGACTCAGCTTTGGTGCATGTTTTTAATTAAGGCGATACTTCCTTGTATGATCAAAATATTTTTCTATATATCTTTGTTAAGTTTTGTTTAGCCAATGTTTGTAGCTTTCCTTAACAAACATGTAATCTCATATGTATGATCAAGCTCAAAGAATTTAGGCTAGTTCAAGTTAGTGCTAAGTTGACTACTGTGGCTGAGATCAACTTCATAATTACCCAATGCAATCAAGCTCAGTGAAGGTAATATCTTTATGTATGCATTGCATGCATTATAGTGTTCTCCTGCATGCATCATTAGTTGTGATGTATGCAATTCTTCTTAGCTATCTTTAGAAATTAGGACTTGGGTATTTGCTAGAAAGTTAAAGTACATTGAAGAGTTTTTGAGGTTACAAAACCAAGATAATTTTTGCATTCATTTATAATGGGCATCATTAGGAAAATCAGCATCTGCATCACAATAATTTGTCTAGATGACCAGTCATATAGGCCAATATTTCCAGCACTGGATTTTTAACCAAGGCACGTGATTTTGCTTATTATAAGTCCAATCATTGGTTGCCAAGTGTCCTTTTGACCTATCAAAAAGGCTGGGGCTGGTATGGACTCACCAAATCTCTCATTTTACATTTTTCATATGCGTTTTTAGAGAGAGTTCTAGTGAGAGATTGTGCATAAAGTAGGTTTTACTTTTGGAGAGTAGAGTTCATGGGTTCTTGAATTCTTTTTGGGCTTTCATTGAAATTTCATTTCTCAAACTTTTGTCAGTAATACGAAGTTTTCATCTATCATCTCTTTCATTTTCACCATTTTAAAAAACTTAGTTTTCTTTTTAGTTTGTCTGAGAGTGTTCACGACATAGAAATGAGTTTTCAATATTTCATTTTGAAAGCTACTTCTTTTTTAGAAAATCTGACCATAGCTTTGCATATCAAAGTTTTAATCTCTCATCTCTTTCATTTGCACCATTTTGGAAAACTTGGTTTTCTCTTTGGTTTGTCCGAGAGTGTTCATGGCTTCTGGAAATGAGGTTTTCAAATAGCTTTTGAAATTTGCTTCCATTTTCGAAATCCACTTCATCCATTGAGATTTTTTAGAGTAAAACTTTTACTTTGCATTCTCTACTTTGTGAGGTTTGGATTTTCATTATTAGATTTTGAAAATTAGTTTTTGAAATATACTGTGGTTTTTGAAATTTGCATCTAGGGTTTAGTTTAAACACTTCATCATCCTAGCTAGATTAGATTCTCTGTTGATTTCTTCAAGAGGATGATTTCTTTAAGAAATTGACCATTTCATTATAGAATCTATATTTCATTTATCAGTTACGATCCGAAGCTGAGTTGCGGTGCCATGGGGTGAAGAAGTTGATGGACTGGCTGCCATTTCCATGAAGGACAAGCTACTAGCTCAACTAAGTTTGGAGAAGAAGGTTGCACAGGGAGATATTGATTATTTCCTAAATAGATCTAGGATTGTTTGAGCTTGTGATTACTTTTTCTATAAGAATCTTCTTCACTTAGTGGATTGCCTGGTCGGAGTGATGACCTGCAATTTTTCCCAATGGTGGGTTTCTGGGTGAACATTTCTGGTGTTGTGTTCTTGATTTTATGATTAGTCATACTATATCTGTTATCTTTGAAATGCTAATGAATGTTTACACACCTTTCACTCTAGTTGTTGCTAGTACATGAGATGCCTAGATTGACGGGTCCTTCTGAGATGCCTAGGTTGTCATATAGTTCTCTTTTAGGCTTGAAGGTTTTAACATTTGATTTGTGGTAAGTATGTTCTGGGCTTGTTTGTTCATAGGTATATGACTAGTAATTGACTAGTCATATTGTTACTAGGAGCAATATCATTGTTGTCTTAAATCTATCTATTGGGATTTTAATTTACTCACTTCACCTAAGTACCAATTTCAATTTGCTTGTTATTATCTTCTTCATTTTTTTGCTTAAAAGGCTAGTTCCTATAATTCAAAACCCTAGCCGCTCTCTCCCTGTAGGAGGAAGAAGCGTCACTGCCCCTCCTCCCCCTTCTCTATTCTCATCTTTTCCTTTTAGGTTAGTGAATAAGTCTATTAGGGCGTTTTGAAAAAAAGGCCCCTTGTGATGGTTTCTTTTGAGCCATGGTTAGATTGAAGTTCCCCATTACCCATTTTAGTCTATGTTCTTAATCAAATCCTGTTCCTATTTTAGTCTTTAACAAAGTTGTTTTCATTTATTTGTTCGCTCTTATGCGCATGTAGATCGTTGGAAATTATATTTTCCTCAAATCTGTTACGGATGCGGTGGTGGGTGTGGCCGCGACATTGCTTCATCAAGTGGTGGTGGTAGGGTTCGTCTAGGCTCATGGATTGTTTTAGGGTTTTGGTTATGTTGGGTTTGTGGGCTTTGTTTGGGCTTATGGTTAATTATGGTGATATGGGCTAGTAGTTTTAGTGCGGTTTTTGTCCACGTTACTTGTGTTTTTAGCATGTTAGTTTGTTGCCATTTTGGGATTGGTATTTTTGATATCTTATTGACGTCTTTGATTGTACAATGAAGTTTATCTAATGAACCAAAAAAAAAAAAAAAAAAAAAAAAAAAAAAAAAAAAAAAAAAAAAGTCAAGTACCAATATCAATAATAAATACTTCTTAAACTCGTAAACAACCTAAGCGACCACCAACATGTACAATCCAGTCCAACTCCAAATTTGCTTAGTTTGTAGATTTTACACTTCCACCCAATTTAGGATTAAATCCAATCCAATCCAATCCTTTTCATATGCCTAAAGGGGTAACTTGATGTGTGGCTGTGATTGGATTTGGAAGAAGAAGGCGTTGGAGCCATTAATACAATTCAAGATTCAAGATCAGTTGCAGACAGATCTTGAAGATGGGGCGATGAGAGAGAGAGAGAGAGAGAGAGAGAGAGAGAGATAAAAGTGGAAGAGTTTTGGAAAGGAAACGAAGACAAAAGGAATGAAATTTCAAAATGAGGGCTCTCAGAATTCTATTCAAAATTTGAAACAAAAATCTAGCCGTTATGATTTGTAACGTCTAGTTTTCTTATTTTGTTTCTCTTCTTTTTTCATATTTTTTTTCTTTTTGTCCTTTCAAAAATTGACTTGTGACAGGTGGGTCAAGTCATTTCACATTGGGCAAACCCGTACCTTTTAAAAAGTAGATTTCATAACGTGAGTTCTTTTTGGGAACATTTTCTTCGTCATTGTTTTCTTCTACTTCATTTTTGCCCCAAAGAGATACAAGTTTCCTAGCTACTCTTAAAAGTGACAGCATAATATGAAATTTCTAAGGTTTAACTTTGACCATAATATGTTATCTTTTGAGGTGCCCTTTGTGAAAATCTCACATCGAAAATCTACACTCTATAAAGGTGTTTATAAACAAAGCACTATGATGGTTTGGTAAGTGTGGTTAATATTGGAGAGTTGGGCTAATGGACTAGGCTATAGCCCCAGCTTTGGATTTGGCTTTCATTAATAATAATTATATTAATCAAAGACTTGGGGAGAGGTTGTTTTCTTAGTTTGCTATTCACCAGGTATAGCTGCGCAGCTATATTTTTAAAATATTCTATTTTGGAGTATAGCCGGGCGGCTATACTGTTTTATTATTTATTATTTATTTTTATTTTTATATGTTTATATTTTAAAAATATAAAATTATATTCTTTACTTTTGTATTTTGGCCAACTTCTTTAATTTAATACATGTAATTAAGTAATACCTTAACCTTTTTTTAATTACTTTAATTAGTAATTATGTTTTAATTATTATTTCTTTAGTGAATATTTAAATATTTTACTAATTTCATAAATTAATTGGTAAATAGTAATTAATTGTTTTGAATTATTTTGTGGACTTTGTTTTTTGTTATTTGATATTAAATAATCATTAAAATACGTGCATATGTGTACAACACGTGTATTATACGTTTGCTTTTATTATACCGAATCTTTAAGACGTATACGAAAAACGGAAGTATTATTGAAAAATATGTATGTACGTGTATAATACGAGTATCAAATGAGAAAATGCTAAATTCTTTATATGGGTAATAACTTTGGAAAAGTAAAAAATTAAAAGGGGACAATAGCTATACCTTGGTAATGGCCTAAACGTAATGGATAATACTCTAGACTAGTCTTATAAATACCATAATCTGAATTTCTCTTTTTTAATTACTTTAATTATTACTTATGTTTTAATTATTGTTTACTTAGTGAACAATTAGTTTTTAAGAATTTTATTGACCTAAAGATAATAAGTTTATATTTATTCTTTTTTTAAAAACCTCTCCCAACGACATTTCGTTGGTTGATGTAAATTTCGTCAGGAGAGGTTGTTTTCTTAATTTGCAAATCACATGGTATAGCCGTGCAGCAATATTTTTAAAATATGTGTATAGCCATACGACTATATTGTTCAAATATTATATTTAAGGAGTATAGTCATGCCGTGATACTTTTTTATTTTTTATTTTTATATTTTTATATTTATAAAAAAGTATAGCCGCACGGCTATACCTTTAAAATATTCTATTAATAGGAATGCTTGATCCTCGTTTGAAGCGACTGTTGTCTGTGTTTGTCAGTTTGAAGAGATAAAACTCCTCTGAGTTTGGGCAACAAGCAAAGAGGGTTACTCTAGGGGCCCGTTTGGTTCATGGGAAAGGAGGCTTGGGAATGGGAATTCAATTGCTTTCTCATGTTTGGTAAGTCCAGGGATGGGAAATGGTTACCTGACACGTGGGAAAGTAAGGGAAAAGTGAAGCCCTCCTCTTAACTTGGGTTTTGTTTTCCCTCCTCATGGGAAAGTTTGGGAAAATGAGCCAACATTCAATGCACAATTTTCATGACTATTTTGTCCCTATGAACAATTTATAATTACAACGTATCATTAAATGCATTCTTTTTTTATTTGATTTAATATGAGTATAATTGGAAAATTATACAAACTTTGTTTTCCATTCCTACTCAAAACAAACATGGGAAAGGAAACAAAGTGAAATCTTCCGGTTACTTTCCCAACATTACCAAATGTGGGAAATGAATCTTTCATTCCCATTCCTTGGGAAATGACATGGGAAATGATTTCCCCTCAAATCTATTCTGTGAACCAAACGGGGCCTAGGTGTTTGTTTGAAGGGAAAGGTGAATACTTTTTCTTCTCCTTCTGGGTAATTTGGCGGTAAAAAGAGTGAGTGTTTGTTTGTTTAAAAAGAAAAAAGTTATCTTCCTGGTATTTTAACAGAAAATCAAGGCGAATTGCGAAGAAGACGAGGCCCTCTCTCTCTCTATCTCTCTCTCTAGTTTGTCTCTTTTTACATAATTTTGTTCTATATTAGGTTAATTATTGTGTAAACAAAAGTAGATTTACTTTTCTTCTTCTTTAAAAAAAAAATTAAAAAGTTTCACTTTTCCTTTTGGACCCAAAAATACAAACCCATCAAATCTAAATTATTCATGTGATTTGTACATTAATAAACAAATTACATGATTTTTTAAAATTAGATAAAATAGGTTTGAGGATAAAAATAGAAAAATGATTCTATTAGAAGAATAGAAACTTAGTGCAGGAGCATAATATTGTATTATTTATGAAGGGAACTTGATTAGTACATGTCACAATTTGGATGGAGGGGTAATGCTAGTATGCTACACCTTGGTTTAAAATGATGAACAAATTTGCACTTAATCTTATTTTTTCATATAAAGAAAAACATGAATGAATCAAATAAATGCAGTTGAGGATTTAATTCATGAACAAGGCTTAGTGCTAGGGATGGAATTAGAGGTATACTTTAAATATTCTAATTGCCTTTAAGCAGACATACATTGTTGGTCTTAGTGTTGGTGAGATGGATTAGTTAATAAGATTTGCCTTCCTTAACATACTGTACAACAAACCAACTAAATATGCGTTGCCTAATTTTAAAGAGCCAGAGAGGCACACAACTCAAGTTTGCAAATCCTGCAGAGAAATTCTTGCACAGCCTCTCAAATAAACCAACCAAACAGACCTTTCCTCTCAATATAATCTCCCTTGCTCCCCCTCTCCTCCTCATCAGCCTTGGGCCTAATAACCCAAACAATGAAGGCTGCCTATTTTCTAGTTTTCTTTTTTCTCTTCTCTTCCTCATCTTTCTCTTCTGCTCTAACTGATGCTGAAGCGTCCTTCATTGCCCGTCGCCAGCTCCTACATTTTCACGCAAGCTATGACCTGCGCAGCGACCATGAATATGAAGTTGAGTTGAACTTAAAGTTTCCACATCCCAGGCTTAGAAGTGCATACGTTGCACTTCAAGCTTGGAAAAAGGCCATATACTCAGACCCTCTTAAAACTACTGAGAACTGGGTTGGTGCTAATGTTTGTGCTTACACTGGAGTATTTTGTGCCCCGGCTCTTGATGACCCACAGTTAGAGGTTGTGGCTGGCATTGACATCAACCATGCAGACATTGCAGGGTACCTTCCTGTTGAATTAGGCATGTTGAGTGACATTGCCGTGTTCCACATCAACACGAACAGGTTCTGTGGTATCATCCCTAAGAGCTTTGCTAGGCTAACTCTTCTCCACGAGCTCGACGTTAGCAACAACCGCTTTGTGGGATCGTTCCCAGAGGTGGTCCTGCAAATTCCAAACCTCAAGTACCTTGACCTTAGGTTCAATGACTTTGAGGGGAAATTGCCTCCTGAGCTCTTCAACAAGGAATTGGATGCCCTGTTCCTGAACAACAACAGGTTCACATCCACCATCCCTAACACTCTTGGCAACTCCCCCATCTCTGTTCTTGTGGTCGCAAACAATCATCTAGAGGGCTGCATCCCTAATAGCATTGGAAAAATGGTAAACAATTTAAATGAGGCCATCTTTTCCCACAACAAGTTTGCTGGGTGTTTGCCTCCTGAAATTGGGTACCTCTCAAACGTGACTGTGTTTGATGTTAGTTCAAACACATTGAGTGGGCTCCTGTCCAAGACTTTCAAAGGCCTTGAGAAGGTGGAGGAGTTGAACATTGCACACAACATGCTAACTGGGTTTGTTCCCGAGAGTCTATGCAAGTTACCTAGCTTGGGAAATTTTACGTTTTCCTACAACTACTTCAACGGCGAGGATCAAGAATGTGTGCCATCTTCTCGGATGGACACACTGTTTGATGACACAAGCAACTGCTTACCATATAGGCCTAAGCAGAAGTCAGCAAAACAATGTCAAGTTGTGGTGAACAAGCCAGTGGATTGTGGCAGGGCAAAGTGCGGAGGTGGACCAGGACCTTCAAAACCTTCTTCTCTTGCACCCAATGAGGAGCCACCCAAACAACAGCCTTCTAAAGAGGAACCACCCAAACAACAACAGCCTCAAGAAGAAACTCCCACACTAGAGCCACAATTACCTAAACCAAAGCTATCTCCGGAGCCAGTTCCAGAGACTCCAGAACCAGTTGCTAGCCCCCCTCAAGTAGTTGTAGCACCATCATCACCCCCACCCACACCCACACCCACACCCACAAGGCAAAGTCCTATTATTCTAGTTCGCCCTCACTCACCACCAATTCACTCTTCACCACCACCAGTCAACTCATCCCCACCACATGTCCACTTTCCTCCACCACCCGTAGCAACACCGTCATCGCCCACACCCACACGACAAAGTCCCATTGTTCCAATTCGACCCGACTCACCACCACCTCCAGTCAACTCACCCCCACCACCTGTCCACTCTACTCCACCACCTGTCCACTCTACTCCACCACCCAAAGCAACATCGCCATCTCCTGCACCCACACGACAAAGTCCTATTGTTCCAATTCACCCCGACTCTCCACCACCCCCAATCAACTCACCCCCACCACCTATCCACTCTCCTCCACCATCCGTAATAACACCACCATCGCCAGCACCCATAGGGCAAAGTCCCATTGTTCCAATTCGACCTGACTCACTGCCACCCCCAATCAACTCCCTTCCACCACCACCTGTAGCAACATCACCATCTCCAGCACCCACAGGGCAAAGTCCTACTATCCCTCACTCACCACCTGTGAACTCATCCCAACCACCAGTCCACTTTCCTCCACTGCCGGCTTCACCCACAAGGCAAAGTCCTATTGTTCCAGTTCACTCTCCTCCACCCCTAGTCTACTCACCACAACCATCATCAATTCACTCTCCTCCACCACTAATCAACTCTCCACCACCACCACCACCAATCCACTCGCCCCCATCACCAGTCCACTCGCCTCCTCTACTGGTCCACTCTCCACCACCACCTGTCCACTCACCTCCTCCACCAATTCACTCTCCACCACCACCAGTCAACTCACCCCCTCCACCAGTCAACTCACCCCCCTCCACCAGTCCACTCACCTCCTCCACCAGTGCATTCACCCCCACCACTAGTCCACTCTCCTCCACCCCCAGTCCACTATCCTCCACCCCCAGTCAACTCACCCCTACATCCAATCCAATCTCCACCTCCCTCAGTCCACTCTCCTCCACCACCAGTCCACTCTCCACCGCCCTCAGTCCACTCTCCTCCACCCCCACCGCCAGTTCACTCACCTCCTCCACCAGTGCATTCACCCCCACCACCAGTCCACTCTCCTCCACCCCCAGTCAACTTACCCCCACCGCCAGTCCAATCTCCACCTCCCCCAGTCCACTCTCCTCCACCACCAGTCAACTCACCCCCACCACCAATCCATTCTCCACCACACACAGTCCACTCTCCTTCATCCCCAGTCCACTCTTCTCCACCCTCAGTCAACTCACCCCCACCGCCAGTTCACTCGCCTTCTCCACCAGTGCATTCACCCCCACCACCAGTCCACTCTCCACCACCACCAGTCCACTCTCCTCCACCCCCAGTCAACTCACCCCCACCACCAGTCCACTCTCCACCACCCCCAGTCCACTCTCCTCCACCCCCAGTCAACTCACCCCCCACCGCCAATCCAATCTCCACCTTCCCCAGTCCACTCTCCTCCACCACCAGTCAACTCACCCCCACCACTAGTCCACTATCCACCACCCCTAGTCCACTCTCCTCCACCCCTAGTCAACTCACCCCCACTGCCAGTTCACTCGCCTCCTCCACCAGTGCATTCACCTCCACCACCAGTTCATTCTCCACCACCACCAATCCACTCTCCTCCACCACCAATCAACTCGCCCCCACCACCAGTACAATATCCTCCACCTCCAGTTCACTCTCCACCACCACCACTGATCTACTCACCGCCACCTCCAGTCCAATCACCACCACCACCCACCCAGTCTCCACCACCTTCTCCTTCTCTTTCAACTCCTCCTCCCGTTGTCTCATCACCCCCTCTAGTAGATGACTTTGTTTTACCACCAAACTTCGGCTCCCAATACTCATCTCCGCCTCCACCAATGTTCCTGGGCTACTAAGCATTATGACATCAGACCCTTCAAAAAGCAATTGTTTTTAATTTTGTTATATATAAATTATGCAATCTCACATAAATGCACCCACTATTGTTAGTTGATCATAGCTTGTACTTCATGACATCAATCAAAGTGTAAATCTTCTTTCATATGCCTACTTAATGCAATAAAGGAAATTTTACATTCATTGATATTTTGCTTTTTTGCTTTGTTTTAATATTCTGTTTGATGTGCATGAATGAAACTCCCATCAAATCATATCCAACCACATATTTTAATATAATTAATAATGGTACAAATAATGGAATGCGAAGGCCATGTACATAGTTCTAATTTTGGATATCTGATTTTGAGTGTGAATCTGATGATTTGACTATTGAGAATCAAAATTTATTGTATACAAATCCTGGACAGACGATGAGGAAGAGGTCGTCCCTCTTGCATCCGATAAATAAATGAGGCTTTGAGTCTCACACCAACTCTGTTGAACACTCAGATTAGACTCATCTCTTAAGGACTTAAACCTCATTTCATCACAATAAATACTCGGATTTATGTTCAGTTCATGAACAATGGCTCGGCCCTCAAGCATGCTCACCACTGCAGACATTGAAGGTCTTAGAGCTGGTGATGGATTAGTGCAGAGTAGAGCTACCTTAATCATTCTCATTGCCTCTTCCTTATTGAACTCAGACCCCAACTTTGGATCTACCAGCTCCATCAGATTTCCTTTCTGTTGCAAAACAAACGCCTGCGACATCCAAAAAGGAAATAGATTTTAAAATAAACTTTCTTGATTGTTGTTATATATATGTATATATGTATATTGTTTAGAAAATTTTGATGTCAGTACTGAAGAGAAATTGAAAGTAGAACATCATTTGCAACTTGCAACATAAAAAAGTTCATTTCCTGATCAAAAAGTGTAGGGTAACACAAAGCTGGATGACGAATATGTCAAATGGAAAATAGTTCCTACTAACTCATCTACTAAACAAAATGCAGTAAGATCTTACCCAATCAAGAAGGCAGACATAATTCTCGTTTGGCCGATATTTGATGTTGTTTTTGCCGGATACAAGTTCCAGTGCAACAACCCCGAAGCCGTAAACATCTACTTTATCAGTTAAATGGCCCCATAATGCATATTCTGGCGCCATGTATCCTCTACAAAACAAATGGGAAGAGTGTTTTATCATTATGATCAAATATAAAAAAAATCAAATTTGGAAGATAAAAATCAATTAGGGTTCCACAATGAAGGAAAGAGAAAGAGAAGGGAACGTTTGCTCACATAGTTCCAGCTACTCTGGTACTAATGTGACTCTTCTCCTCTTCATTCAGCTTGGCCAAACCAAAGTCAGAGATTTTAGGGTTCAGGTCCCTGTCAAGCAGTATATTGGTAGTTTTGATGTCTCTATGAACAATTTTGAGTGTTGACTCCTCATGCATGAAAGCCAGACCTCTTGCAATGCCTACGCATATTTTCTGCCTTGTAGGCCAATCCAGTTTCAGTATACCTTTCTCTTGACCTGAATTCAAACATAACCTCTCAAATAAGATTCATTCATCAAACTAGTATTGAACTTATAACATGTTTACCATCCAATTTAAGTTTTCCAGCTTACCAAATAAAGAATGTGCAAGGCTGTTGTTCTCCATGTACTCATATACCAACAGTAACTGGTTTCCTTCAATGCAGCATCCGTACAATCTAACAAGATTTGGGTGTTTTAAGGCAGAAATCATGCCTATTTCATTAACAAATTCACGATTTCCTTGCTTCGATTTTGAAGAAAGTTGCTTAACTGCAATAATAGTACCGTCTAATAGTTCTCCCTGCAATTTGAAATAGAATACATTTGAGAAATGTTGCTCATGTTGCTCATGTTGCTCATACACAACACTTTTTAGTGTCATAGACCAAAGTCAAAGAAAAACAAAAGGAGAAGTGCTTGCATATTTAGGGGAAACAAAAAGGAGTTGTAGAATACCTTGTAAACAGCTCCAAAGCCACCTTCCCCAAGCTTGTTTGCAGCATCAAAGTTGTTAGTGGCAGCTTTGATTTGTTTGAATCTAAAGAAACCAGTTTGCAGATCTAATCCTCTCAGATCTGTTCATGTGACAAGAGGTTAGCATATTGAACTTATTTTCACTGAGAATTTGAGAGCCTTTTGGCTTATCAGACAACATTGGAAAAGAATAACACTGAAAAATCAAGCAACTACAAGAAACATTTATTCTTGCAGATTTCCATATGGACATAACATAACTCAAATTGCCAAGTCTTATTTCCTTTTTTGCACGGTATTCTAGTACCTTGTTCCCTAGTAGATGCCCTGCCTCCGAAGCAGCATCTCAACCAAAGAATGCCAATAGTCATGAAAATAAGACACAACACTGAAACAGCTCCAACCACAATGAATATCTTCTTTTTGCTATCATCAGGCGGTTCGAAATCTAGAAGTGAAAGCAGAGCCAAGAACAGTGATGAACAAGATGGCAGTCAAAATAAAGAGAAAACTTACAACTTAAATTACCTACCAGACTCCACCGAGATAGCAGATATAAGAGAACCATATATTCCTCTTTTCGGAGCATTAGTTGTTCCTTTCCCAGCCCAATGAAAGCGGATCTCTAAAGTCATAACATTGACAACTGCTTTAAATACCTTTATCATTTCCTTATCAACCCCTTGTGCTTCCTTTTGAATATTAAAATCCTTCAATACCAGTTTTTCCTGTAATAATTACTATACTTAATCATTCAAGTTAAAAACTAAGAGCGAAAGGGAGTGATTAAGAAAATTGTTAAGAACATTGGAGGAAGGAAGCCTATGTTGATAGGTGGTTGAGTTTTTAGAGAAAATATGGAGAATAGTTCAGTTTATCCAAATGCTTAAAAAATAAAAATTAACTAACATGGAGAATAGTTATTTATGCTTCATCTCATTTATGGTGAACATAAAAGGATGACTACCTGGATATAAACATCAAAAATTCGTCTTCCAACGCCGTAATAAGACCTGTTGTTTCTGATAACTATTTCTGCAAAGTGTAGTTTCACAGTGTAATTTCCATTTGCTAAGCAACGGGCATAATATGTGAGAGAAAGAGGAGATATTCGGGCTGTACTGTACAATTCAGAGTCAGTCATATTGAGTATGGAGCTATTTCTTGCTATATACTCTTGGTCATAATTCATAAGCCCAAAATCACCAGTGCTACTAAATCCCCAATTCCCTGTGTCATGAAAAAACTTTGCTCCACCTCCTGAAGCTTCATCACCATCATATTTGATGCTTCCAATGGTGGCTTGTTTTCCACCACAATTTATATGCACCGAATACTGCTCTATAGAGAAAAAACAGCATACAAAGGTAGAAGACAAATGGACTCAAAACAACATTGTATGTGAAAACAGAAACATACACTTGAGATATTCTACGACAGATTTAGTTACCTTTTGAACATGGATTGAGGCAATGGCTAAGAATCCTACATTGATATATACAACAAAAGCGTAATTAGCTTACGAACAATGAATGAGGAAAAATGAATAAACTCCCTGTGGAACTCATTGAGTTTGAAGCTTACGAGTTGTTCTGCCTGGAAAAACTTTTGAACACATTACTGATGAAAACAACAACCTAGTTACTTTCGCATATTTAGATAGCCAAAGAGCACAAAATATGTAAATCTCAAGCAAAGTAAATGAAAAGAAGAAGATATATAAATAATAAAAAAAGATTTAATCTTACAAGTTGTCTTGACATGTAGTTGGGACAGAGTTCTCTGAAAAGTTATTGTAGGAAAGATCTATTATGCTGCATGCAAATTTAAAGTTCTCTATTAACAGAGATTCCAAGAAAAAAGAATATCAGAATATTTTGGAAAAATTTGTACCATGAATGACTGAATTTGAGCAGAACAGAGAGGAAATTATTCAACATTTCAAAGACAGCAGCAAGATAGAAAATTTTGGACTTAACCACTCATCATCAATACAATACCCCAGCCTTCTTATAATCATGAACCTTCAGCCAAAAAGTACTTGTATACATAACCTTATCCATTGTGTAATTTGCCTCATCTTTCGTGTAGCGTTATAATCTGTCTACCAAGTCACTATATTCTTAATCATAGACATTTATCTGTTGAAGCCTCAGAAGCACAGACACAAATTAATGAGGAAAGGTTGCAATCAACATGTAGGTATGCACACTACATGCGTGCTAGTGGTATACATATGATCTGAGTAACCTGAGTAAATGATGGATATAAACAGAACTCTAACCATAAATAAGTAAGATTTAGGAGGAAGAAACATACTAGCGACTATCTCTATATTTGATCCACTCCGGAAGCCCAGTAAGCAAGTTACTTGTCAGATATCTGATCATTGAGAAATATGTTTACACGTGAATAAAAAATTATTTGTATCAATGTTTCTTAAGGTTACACATAAGATACATAATGTATCATGTTCCTCATTATGTGAGCTATAACCCATATGAATTTGACTTACATTGTGGCCAATCTCCATATATCCACAAGATTTGGAATGTTCCCTTTCAATCTGTTGAAGCTAAGATCCCTGCAAAAGAAATAGGTTTGGGGGTAATCAGAAGTTATGTACTTGTGATGCTGGGAATACGGTACAGAAATTTTTTTATCAAATGACACTTCAGTAAATTGAAAAGGCAAATGATAAATACTGAGGCCAAATTTTTGTTTTCCTCTTCACGTAGTAATTAAATTGTAATATAGTAGCAAGGCTTTCCCAAATTTTACATATGGATCTACAACCATTCAAAAAATTTAGCACTTTTAAGGTTTTCACATATATGTAACCTCAAGCAAAAGTACAGAGAATGAATAAACAGAAGTATTACAAAAGTTTCAGACTTGTCATATTAGAGATATATTCAGGGATTGTTCCTCTTATATTGCAGCTCCTTAACATCCTGCAATTTGAAGCAACCCATATAAGAAAATAAATGTTATATACTTGTAGGTTATTCTAATCAGAAAGGATACTAAAAGTCTAAAACCATAAAGATTGCTCACAAAGTCTCATGTCTTTCATATTTGATAAGTTTGGAAAATCTGAACTCTCACCACTTAAGTCACTAATCGCTCTGCAAAAGATCACCTCAAGTTAACTATTAGGAATACAAGTCTCTTCAGCAATGATATCTCAAAAGAGAATGAAAACAATCTGAAACCTAAAATAATTGAGAACTTAGAAGCCAAGACTCACAGGTATGACATTTTAGTTAATGCAGAAAGGCTAGGAGGAATGGGCCCTTCAAGACCACTCCCTTGCATCTCTCTGTAAGCAACACATTTGAAATGGATTTATATTTTAACTGAAGATACTTGAAGATGACAGAGATATAAGATGCATGCTAGAAAAGATCTCTTACAACATCTCGAGCTCTTTCCAACTAAGAAAATAGTTCGGTATTTTCCCAGTGAAGTTGTTACTGCCAATCCAACTGCAGAATATTTTGAACCACACCCAAAAAAAAAAAAAAAAAAAAAAAAAAAAAAAAAAAAAAAAAGAACCTGAACTCGAAACATCTTAATTATGTAAAATACAGTAAAAATCACTTCCAGTGTTTTTAATTTGGTCATATTAGTGAGAGACACAGGCAACTCTCCTGTGAGATTATTAGCACGAAGATAGCTGTAGTTAATTACCCATGGCATGTCAAAACTTGTATCTTGTTATGTTCAACTTGGTTATGAAAATCAAAGAATGTCAAACTATGAACTTTGGAAAAAGAAAAATCCCACTGACAGAATCTCCATGTTAATCAACTTCCCCAGCTCCGGAGGAATGGTTCCAGAAAATAAGTTGCTTTCCAAGGCCCTGAAAGATAGTCACTTCATGTTCGCAGCCAAACCAAACCAATTGGTACAAAAGTAAATGTAAATGAGATAACAGCAAGTGAGAAAGATTGAAAGCATACAAAGCTTGGAGAGTAAAAATGTTTCCCAAATAGCTAGGGATTGGTCCTGATAAGTTGTTCACGCTGAGAACCCTGCACCATGTACATTCCGTTAGTTCAATCATTGGCACGAAAACTACTAATTGGCAACCTCAAACATGAGTGTAGATGCCACTTACAGAAATTCCAACTTCGTAGAAGTCCATTCGTGCGGTATGGAACCACCAAGGTAATTCTGGCCCAGATTACTATGAAAAAAGAAAAAAGAGTGCTATTAATTAGGATAAGAACCAACAGATTTGAGATGGTAAAAGCTGAAGCAGTTATTGAAAAGCTCTGCTCTTCATACAGTTGCTTAATGTAAGGTAGCTTCACCAGTGCTGGTGGAAGCACACCATCAAGTTCCTGTCCCACAAGAAAACTGCACGACAAGGATCCAAAAAATCAAAGGTTGATTCTTGACTAATCACTCCAAACAGAACCAGCAACCATCATATTTAATTAGGAAAATGAATTTATGAATGAACCAGTGCAGCAAGAATTTAAAGCATACAAATGGCAAAAATATATACATACATGCTTTGGATATGGCACACATTGCCAGGGAAGGAGCAATTGCAGAAGAGAGTGTTGTTGTACTGATCTGTATGTGGGGTTGAGAAAGTTGGAACATTGCTACACGGGTCTCTGAAATTCCAGTCCTTTTTATGCAGTTGTGCAGCTATTTCACGAAGGGCTTCAACTGCCATCACACCCACATAAAGCAAAAATCCCATCAAATATTCCTTCTATTTTTATTTTTATTTATAAAAAAAAAAAACCAAAAACTACATTTAGAAAGCAGCAGCAGCAGCAGCCTACCCTCATCATGTGGAAGAGTCATGTTCTGTGGCTGTGCTGTTGATGATATTGGTCCCATATTGCACATAAGCACTATGAGCACAATATTAATTTGGCTGAACAAGAAGATTATGTCCATTGGAACATTAAGAATCCTTACCATTTTTCTTCACCACCCGCACTTCACATTCCTTGAGCACTATCCAAACCCTTTATAAAATCATCCATGGAGTCTATTAAATTTCTCACTCACTTCCCAAGCAAGCGACCCTTTTTTTTTCAAAGACTTGGTGAATTAACTTTGATTAAATAACCTTTAGTCCATTTAATTAATTATCCAAATTTCAAGGCCCCAACATGCATGTGCTCTTCTCATATAAATTATAATCCAAACTTGACTAGCTAGATTAATCAATTCATAAGAATTATTCATTGATTATGTAATTCATTGACCTGCAGACTTCATTATTCTAAAGGCTTCTTGTGATCAACTTGGAATGTGCAAGAAGGATAACCAGTGCTGAATTAGTGCATAGGTTTAGTAAGGTCAAGGTCAACCAATCGCATCATAAACATTGCTCAGAAGATTCATAAAAAAATGTTTAACTATCTAGTTCTTCTTTTTTTTTCCTTTTTTTTTCTTTTTTTTTTTCCTACCAAATGAACAGAGGAAAGCGCCAAAATCAGATTCTCGTCAGGGTCACAATGAAAAAAAATATCGAATTGTGGTTAATTTATTTTAGATTTTGTGATTAAATAAGTAGACGAATACTTTTTTTTTCTCTTTGGTTCATACACAAAATATTAACTACAATTCTCAAAAGCGTGTGTAGGATTTGGAACTATACATCCATCATCATATAGTAAACAGATAAAGCCTAATTTTGACTATCCATGACTAGTCTAGTACATAAGGTATAATTCAAACTTCAGGATTTTCTATGAAAGGGAAATGCCATGATCTGTCTGTTTATAGCTTTGCTAGATGCATGTTATATATGTAGTTCCAACAAGAGCATGTGTGTACATGTGGTAAATGAAAATTTAAACTGCGTATAGTAGTCATCAGTCATAATTCAAGGATGTCTTATATGGGGTAATTGTCAAACGTATGGTGTCAAAGATATGTACAGTCTATTGTCCTAGTGTTGTGAATTTTAGACAACCTGAAAAATGGAGATTATAAAGATTAGTCTAAACACAAATTATACTCGCAAGTGCACAAGGTCAATCGTAATATAGTATGGCAAATATGAGGTCATTCCCACGAGGATTGAGTTCAACTTCCAATTAGTCTAACCTAATTTACTTCACAAAATACTTTAACTATTCTAATTATATAAACAAGAAATTAAACACGTAGCATACTCACGTAAACATGAAACGGGTTTTTGAAAGAATGATTTAATTAACAAGAAATTAAAAGACAAAACAAGTAGGAAGTCACGAAACACAAGAATGAGAAATTCAAATTGATAGAAGCACTAGGACAATGAATTCACCACTAGTAATCCGATTTAGCCTCTTATTCACCTACCTATTAACTAACCATTTGATGTCGCCGCTTAGTTTTCCTTTTTCATGAATTACCTATGGTATTTAGGCTAACTCGTATATTCCTACATGCAATTCGCCTTTGGTATTTAGGTCCAATATCAACACATAGAAATTCATTAAGATTAGTGAAAACTTCGAACAAGCATGTAAACCCTAGGAGTATGGTATTTACCTTAGACGAATTACAAATTCTAATCACAAGAAGCAAGCCTCAAATTAAGTATGGTATTTACTCTAATTTGCATTCGATTAACTCAATTAAAAGTCTAGAAGGTGATCAAGCATCAAGACAAGAAACCAAGTTGTTACACACAGTGATTAAGAATCCAACATCAAATGACAATCAATAAATAGGTAAAATAAGAAAACTAGATTATCATACTAGGGCTACATCATACCCTAGCAAAAGAAAATTAGTTACGCATAATCATAGAATTCGACATAAGCAAAAACATAACGAAGAAACAATCAAACTTAGCCAATTGCGGTACTCTTCCTGTGTCTCCAATTTCTCCTAGTCTTTGCATGTCTCCGCAAAGGAGTTGTTTCTCATGCTTAAATAAAACATCACACATCTATTCCTACCCTAGTTGGGCTTTTACAGCAGCCCAAGAATAAAGAAAAACCTAATTAAAACATAAATCCAAAATGGATAAGTAATTGACTCATCTTCCTACTTTGACTAGGATAACACTTCAGTTACTTTGCACGCACGTTTGGGGTTGTTCCTCCTCAAAGAAAATTCGGGAAAAATATATAAATTGTAGATTTTTTGTCTTATGTTTCCAGCCATATATCGCACGCCTTGAGAAAAAATCAAGAAAGTCTTCAAATAGTCATTCTTCCACAACAGCACAGTTTTGACGGGATTGCACCTTATGCTGACTTAACTTCAAAGACTACTCCGAAAATTCTAAAAAAATTCCACAATCATCTTCGAGGTCTTAGGCCCCGTTTGGGATTGCTTTTTTTTTTGTTGTCATAAATCTGCTTAACTTTAAAGTTAAGTTGTTTAAGATGTTTGGTAAAAATAAAATATCATGCTTATTTTAAAAGCAATAGTCTTTTGATAGCAGCTTTTAAAAGCAACCTTGGGGTTGCTTTTTAAAGCTACTTTCAATTGAAGGTAGTGCGCTCCCTTTAATGAATTTTTTGCAATTCCACAAATACCCTTATTAGGTTAGAAATTTATCTCTCGTATTTCTCTCAAGTCGGCAAACACCAACGTTTGGTATTTCCTGTAGCCTCCCAAGTTATCAATCTATTCGCTCAATCTCTTGTAGCCTTCCAAAATTTGCAAATGATTCGCTCAATCTATTTTCAAACGTAAATTATCAATCTCTTCAAAGCTATTGATTATAGTTTTTAGGGATATATGTATTCTTCAATCTCTCGTGTATGATAGTTTTTAGGGATGGAATCCATATGGTCCAAAAGGTCCTTCAATGGCAGGGCAACCTTGCTCTCCTTCAACTCTAATTCTTCCAAGTTGAAAGCTTTCTTACCCATTGTTGGGTTTCTTGTCCTGTAAAAGGCCCAAGCTTTACTCTGTTTTCATCCAAGTCACTCAACTATTTACCAAAGTATATTCTCGGTTTTAGCAGTTCACAAGTACAATGATTAATGAGATTCAAATTCGGATCTTCATATAATTTATGGGTTCATGGTGAAAAAAGTTGAAGCAAATTTGAAAAGCCTAGTGCTTAGTTTTCAAAACCTTAAAGTTACCAAACGCTCTGACACTGCTTTTCACACTCACATCACTTCTAAAATTATAATTTACCAAACGTTTAACTGCTTTACTTTACAGCTGATTTTTTTTAAAGCACAACATAATCAACTTTTTTTTAAAGCGGCAGCAATCCCAAACTGGGCCTTAGCTTTCATCTCCAATTGGTCTCGTACTAAAACTCCACCAAAAAGTTGTATTTCCGTTGAAAACAAATTACTTGCTCTGGAAAGCTGAAAATTGAGAAAATAAAGTAATAAGTCCTTTTTAAATCCAATTCTCCTACAAAAACTAAGTATAAAGAGTACATAAATGTGTAAATTTATGGACTTATCACCTAGCTTTTCTTGCAATTGTTGTTTAGTAAAGTCAAACTTCTATTTTGGTACCAGTAGCTGCTTTCTGAGGCAGGGCACTCAAATATTGAGAATCAAGACCAACTGCGTAGACATCCTAGACAGACGATGAGGTAGAGGCTGTCCATTTTTCATTGGATGAATAAATGAGGCTTCGAGTCTCATCATAGGAGCTGTGATCAATATCAGAGTCCTCTGTGAAGGCCTTAAACCCCAATTCATCACCGTAAATACTCGGGTTTATCTTCACCTCATGAACAATAGTTTGCCCTTCAAGCATGCTCACTACTGCAGACATTGTAGGTCTTAGTGCCGGTGATGGATTGGCGCATAGTAGAGCTACCTTAATCATTCTCATTGCCTCTTCCTTGTTGAACTGAGACCCTAACTTTGGATCCACCAGCTCCATCAAATTTCCTTTTTGTTGCAAAACAAGGGCCTGCAGCATTGACAACAAATGGAGAGGGTACGATATGAAAATATTTCAATAAGAAAAGCAACCTATTTCCACTTGTACTTCTGCATGCTAAACGAATGTGATGAAGATATTACCCAATCCAGAAGGCATACAAAATTCTCATTCGGCCGATATTTGATGTTGTTTTTCCCAGATAGGAGTTCCAATGCAACAACCCCAAAACTGTAAACATCTGCTTTATCAGTTAAATAACCCCACAATGCATACTCCGGCGCCATGTATCCTCTGCACAGTAATAAATACTCCATGAGTTTCTCCTTCAAAGCATTCATGTTATCTAAACTAAGAGCTCTGTCATCTGTTTCAAAACTTCATCACTCGATGAGAGAAACTAAGAGAAGCAAAAGAACAAAACAGAAACACCAATGAATGAAAGAGAAAAGAAAAAAAATGAAGGGCTGCTCACATAGTGCCAGCAACTCTGGTGCTGATATGGGTCTTCTCCTCTTCGTCCAGCTTAGCCAAACCAAAGTCAGATATCTTAGGGTTAAGGTCCTCGTCAAGCAGTATATTGTTTGTTTTGATGTCTCTATGAACAATTTTCAGTGCTGACTCCTCATGCAGATAAGCCAGACCTCTTGCAATGCCAACACATATTTTCTGCCTTGTACGCCAGTCCAATTTCTTTAGGCCTTCCTCTGGACCTGAATTTAACAAAAACTACTAAGGAGATTCATGAAACTATTTATAATACAAGTGTATATTCCACTTCTAGATTGTCCAGCTTACCAAACAAAGTATGTGCAAGGCTATTGTTGGCCATGTATTCGTATACCAACAATAATTGATTTCCTTCAATGCAACATCCATACAATTTCACAAGATTTGGATGTTGTAAAGCAGAAATCATGCCTATTTCATTCACAAATTCGCGATTTCCTTGCTTTGATTTTGGAGAAAGTTGCTTAACTGCAATAATAGTCCCATCTAATAATTCGCCCTGCAATTTGAAATATAATACTTTTGAGGAATGTAGGTCATCCATAATACTCTATAAGGGTGAGAGAACAAAGCATTAAAAACAAAAACAAAAACAAAAACAA